CTTTGATATCAATGCTCAGGATGCAAATAGATACATAGTGTCCTTTGCCCGTTCCCATTTTCTGTATGTCAATTCATAGAGTTACGGGCTCCACCCTATCAACGTCAATCCATGAATGCAATTGTTTCTACTCTATCATATCGTACCTACCTGCCAATCTACCGTATACGGGGTGAACAGCTACAGTAGCTACCTAAGGTACACGTCAAACCAAACAAAATAAGATCCTGTCCCCGGATTTCTTGGCTTCTTCCACCTTGTTCTTCTCCTGAGTCACACATTCCATCCCGCTAAGGCAAGGCTGGCCTAGCTCCACGTTGGTTCCCGGTCCCACCCTCGCCTGCCCGAATTTTTTTCAGGCCGTCTCACCTGCTGGCGAATTAATCTCGCCCGACAAAAGTTCCCCATTTTCTGCGGGCTCAGCACTGCCAGGCTCGTCAGGGACCCAAAACACACACCCAGACACCACTGCAGGTGGCTCGGCCTTCATCCTGCCCCCCCGTCCGAGAAACCGCGGGACCAAATCATATCAAACACCGTTTTCCTCCTCACCCTGCACCGTTCACACACACATTTACAGTCCTTCTCTCTCTTCTCTCTTCTTTTTGTCCCTTCTTTTTCATCCCCCAATTATACCCCCTTTAATCTGAAGAGCGCGTTTGTTTGGCGGCTTTATTGTCGTCAAATGAACCTGCAAGTGCGCATTTCCCCTTCTTTAAAACAAGTAAGTATGCCATTTCGCTGGAGTCTATTGCCCGTTTCCCTATCCCCGGTGGTGCAGGTCACGGGGGCGTCGCGTTGGTCAGGAACTTTTCCCGAGTTCGAGCCACGGCTCCCCCAACGCAACGAACGTACCATGATGACCTCACCCAATTCCTCAGCTCCCAAGCCAGGTAGACTGAACACGCGACAACCGGCTCTTCAGAAACAAGCCAATGCAGAGTACTAACTGCCCACACAGCACCCCCCTCCTAAAGGCTTCTCCTAAATGCCTGGGTCCATCTACAACTCCCTGTACACGACTTTTGTTCGTCAAGGATTCGCCAAATCTTTCACCCACGGCTACGCACAGTCTGTCGTAGCCGCTACACATCCCCATGTTCTAAACTCACAGAACCGCCCCTCCTTTGCGAGGCGGCACAGCAGCCGTTTTGGCCGGCTTCAAGCATACCAGCAACTTCAGAGCGCCTTCCACACCAGCGCAGCTGCCTCGTCTGGTCTCCCGGTCGAGCATCGTCACGAGAAATCTCTCAGCCATGGAGGGCTAGATGCCTACTTTGAGCACCTCCAGAAGAAGGAGGCTGCTGCGGAGGGCGAGGAGGAGCTGGAGGAGGAATGGGTCCAGTTTCAGTTCCCCAAGCGCATCGAGTGGAAGCCATCGCCGTCTTCTATTCTGCTGGGCTCCGAAGGTAGGACTCATGATGCCGAGGCATATGATGGCTCGAGCCATTCCGGCATTCCGGCGGAGGCGGAGGCAGCGCTGGCGCACATCGATGCCGCCATTGAGAAAGAGATTGCAGCCAGGAAAGAGTTAGAGGCTCTGGAAGAGGAGGCTCTGTCGTCCCGGACTCCAACACCTTCTCCTGCCTCCGACATTCGCGCACGCTCCGCAACACCCATCTCGCGAACTCTAACACCCGCGAGCATCGCCCGCTCAGCTACGCCGCCCGTCGATCCTCAGTCTCAGACATATGCCGACCATCTGACCAAGCTATCCGAATCAGCTCGATATGCAGAGATTCCTGCTGTGTTCGAGGCAATGCTGGTGGCGGGCGTCCGGCCCTTGGCGACTGCATACAATGCGCTGCTCATGGCCGCCATTCACCTGCCATCCGAGAAGATTGAGATTGTTTCCAAGGCTCTGGACGTCTATGCAGACATGCTTCGACGAAAGATCTCACCCGACAGCGACACATACAACATCCTGGTTGGACTGCTTGCTGCTCGGTCGCTCGAAGTCTCATCGCTAAAGAAGAACTTGGAGGACAAGCGACTTCGCTTTGGCGGCATGGATGAGCCAGGCAAGTTCATGTTCGCTTCGCATGAGCTTGAGCACGCTATCCTCTCAGAAGACGACCGTCTCGACCTGGCTATCAAGCTGTTCCAGTCGTCTGTCATGACCGAGAAGGATCTGTACTCTTCCGAGACTTATCATCAGCTCATCTCCGCTCTGGCTCAGTCGGGTCGCGTGTCTGATATGCTCCAGCTGTTTGAGCATATGGAAATGAACAAGGCTACCCCTTTCGCAGCTACATTCCCTGCCATGATCACGGCATTTGCCAACTCAGGGGACCTCGTCAGCGCAGTAGAATGCTATAATGAGTATAGAAATCTCGCTATTGCTAACGACAAGGGCGAGGCAACACTCAAGGACCGCTTGGACGCTCAAGTCTATGCCGCCGTCATCAATGCTTATGTCGTTTCAGACAAGCTGCAAGGCGCAATGAAGTTTTACAAGAAGATCACACAGGAGTATGGTGCTAACGCCGCTGACATCAAAGATGCTATCATCAGCCTTGGCTTCGTGAAGGGCTTCATTCAACGTGGCATTCACCAGGATGCTCTCCGCTGGGCGCAGAGCGTGGACAACGAGATGCGTGCTCAGACCATGGGCGAGGTTGCTGCCTTTGCAGCCGATAACGGAGACAAGCAAACCGCAATCGCTGCATTCGCAAACATTCCTCAAGGCTTCGGTGATGTCGCAGCTCCGGCCATGGCTTTACTGGCCATGAGTGTCCGAGAAGGCGATGTCGCCGAGGCTTCCAGGTATTGGCACGTCCTCAGCAGCCCTGAGATGATGGTTGATTCATCCTTCATCGAGCCCACCGCCATGTATGCCGTGGCCATGATTGGATCTGGTCAGGTCCTCGAAGGTCTGTCTCAATCAGAAGTGATGTTCCAGAGGATTCGCCAATCTGCTTCTGAGAGCACTCCTCATCTCATGGATGAGGTCGACGAAGCTGCAGAGTTCGTCTCGAGGTTTATGGCTGCTCGAGGCATTGTCGACCCCCGTGAAGTTGCTTCACAGGTCTCCTACCCGGCTCAGAGCCTCGCTACATCACCATACACTGCCACGCCTACCGTTGCGAGTTACGAAGATACCTTTGATCCTTATGCCCACAACACTGATTTCAAGGGCTCGTCTCTCATTTCTGATGATTTGGAAGGCGCCCATGGCCGCAAGGGTCCTAAGCTTCACGACGCACTCTCCCGATTTCGGAACATGCGCCGAGCTGGCCGCCACCCACGCTACATCACCTATGCTAAGCTGATTTCGGCTGCTGCTCGCGACGGAAAGATGGATATGTGCCACGACATCCTCAACATGGCCCGTGCTGATGTACCTCTTCTACCCCAATATGCTGTCGTCCGGTATGGCTGGTCTTCCATCCTTGATGCCATGGTTGGTGCTTGCTTGACGCTCGGTAACCGAGGTCTCGCCGAGCAGTACCACCAAGAGCTGCTCGAAATGGGTGCCACCCCGTCCGCCAACACTTTTGGCTTGTACATCACCACGCTCAAGGAATCGACCAAGACTTTCGATGAGGCTTCTGAGGCTGTCAAGATCTTTCATCGCGCAAAGGCCGAAGGAGTTGAGCCTAGCTCCTTCCTGTACAATGCACTGATCGGAAAGCTTGGCAAGGCCCGCCGTATCGATGATTGTCTCTTTTACTTCGCTGAGATGCGTGCTCTGGGAATCAAACCCACTTCAGTGACCTATGGTACTATCGTCAACGCTCTCTGCCGTGTATCAGATGAGAAGTTCGCCGAGGAGCTCTTCGATGAAATGGAGGCGATGCCGAACTACAAGGCTCGGCCAGCTCCCTACAACAGCATGATGCAGTTCTTTTTGACAACCAAGCGCGACAAGTCCAAGGTTCTTGCTTACTACGAGCGCATGAAGGCTAAGAACATTGCACCCACTGCTCACACCTACAAGCTGCTAGTCGACACGCACGCAACTCTGGAGCCCGTTGACATGAATGCTGCCGAGGCCGTTCTGGAGGTGATCCGAACTAATGGTCAGAAGCCCGAGCCCGTCCACTACGCGTCGCTTATCCACGCTCGCGGTTGTGTCATGCACGACATGGATGGTGCACGCCGCATCTTCGATTCAGTCATGAAGGATCCCTCTGTTCAGGCCAATGCCTCTCTGTTCCAGGCACTGTTCGAGGCCATGGTTGCCAACCACCGTGTTGCCGATACCGAGCCATTGCTTGCTCAAATGCGTCGGAAGCATGTGGAGCTGACACCGTATATTGCCAACACCTTGATTCATGGTTGGGCAGCAGAGAAGAATATTTCACGAGCTAAGGACATCTATGGAGCTGTTGGCCGAGAGCGACGTGAGCCAAGCACATATGAGGCGATGACCCGAGCCTTCCTTGCCGTTGAGGAAAGGGAAAGTGCTAAGGGCGTTGTCACTGAGATGCTTAGCCGTGGATACCCCAGTGCAGTTGTCAACAAGGTGCTGGAGCTGCTTGGTGGCGGGAGCCAGGAGACTGCTTCCGTTGCTTGAATTAAGACTGTGATATGTCACAGCTAGTCGTCTTCTCGACGCCATCATTACCTATTTTCCTGTGTTCTGCACCTCCTTTGAATTTCCTTGCTTGATACCCCCATGGTGTAGTGAAGGACATCTGACAGACCAAATCGTCAGTTAAAAGTCTCGGGCTGGGAGTGGACATTGGAGGTCGATTGAACACATGAAGCATTGTGTGCAGCCATTTCCTTTACTTTCAGGGTTTCCTATGTTACAAATATGCGGTCAATCTGGATTGATGTCAGCGGGTCATGTTTTGCGTCCGGCGTTACTAGGGGCAAAGGTCAATAATGGCAACAAGGCTGACGAGCATCGATGCGGCCGGTTGTGTTGGGAAGGGCAATATCTTGTTTCAATGAGGGCGAACATGGTTGGTTATCGGGCTGCGGCCCTTATAGAACAAACTCCACTCTGCATATATGCAAAAAGATCAAAAAGGATCAAGCGACGAGGTATCGGGTAATGGGAAGCATCTAAGCCGTTCATAGAAAGGCGGCTAACGGATTGGTTCGGCTCTGGATTTGGTTCCATCGAGCCTCAGGTAGTTTACGGCATGTAATGGGGCATGCCCAACGCGAGTCTAGTCGCTTGTGTACAACAGTACAGTAGCATGAAGAAATTCGTGTCTCACCTCAATCATTCTTTGCCTCGTTCTCTGAGCCATGACTTCTTCCCTGCCTTTTCATGCGGTATATGCAACTGGCTGACATGGACGGACGGAGTTAACGAGCCTATTGCTGTCTCTCGAGCCTCCTTGCTGGCGTCATCAAGTTTCTCGGCGTGGCTCACAACAAATGGCCAATTACCCTTGGTTATTCGAGGGAGGTACGAGCCGGTTCACCTACCAATTACTCAGTGGTAGCTTCATTAGCTCCGTGTCTGCAATGGCGTCAAGCATGGAGGCGGCACAACGGCCGCATACTCTGGGGCGGCGATGCTGGATCTAAGAACCGGATTTAGTCGATGTCAAAGCTACCAGAGCAGCAAGTGGCAGCTATGATTGCGAGTACACGATGTACGACAACAACGAACGCCTGAGCAGACAGATATATTCTAAGTCCTGGGGCCACTCGGAAGTGAGAAAGCTGCAATGTGAGGTGAAAGACATTCACTTCCTATCTAGATCTTTAAACATATTGCCATAACCAGTTTTCAGGAACCGATAAGTTAAACATGTCTTCATCAACATCTGCCAATGTCACAAGTGGGCTGAATCGCGAAAAGAACAGTCCCAACTGGAGCCTCACTTCTGACCAGGTCGCGCAGAGACTCCATGCCGAGATGGTTGGGAAGACGGGTATGCCAGCTTCGTTTTAGAAGTATTGATAAACACAGTTATTAACCTCACGATACGTAGTCATCATCACCGGCGTCTCAAAGGATGGCCTCGGTGCAGAGGCCGCCCGGGTTGTATCGCAACACAGTCCCAAGCTGCTACTCCTAGCCTCACGAAACACGAGGAATGTAGCAGAGGTCATCGACGCCATCAAGCCCAACGCATCTCCCGATGCCGTCATCGAGCCGCTCGAGCTCGACCTGGCCAGCCAGAAGTCTGTCCGAGCCGCAGCCGCCAAAGTGCTCGAGATGACGCCCGTTGTCGATGTGCTGATCAACAACGCCGGTGTCATGATGATCCCCACCTACCAGACGACGCCGGAGGGCATCGAGATGCACTTTGGCACGAACCACATTGGCCACTTCCTGTTCACGAACCTGCTCATGCCGGCACTGCGCAAGGCCCCGGCGGGCCCACGCGTCCTGAACATCTCCTCCGCAGGCAACGGGGGCTCGCCGGTGCGGTTTGACGACTACAACTTTGGCGAGGGGGAGAGCTATGAGCCATTTCTTGGATATGCGCAGTCCAAGTGTGCCAATATGCTGTTCAGCGTCGCGTTGGCGCGGAAATTGGGGGATAAGGGGCTGTACGCCTTTAGCATTGATCCCGGCTGTGAGTCATGGGTGACTTTGAAATACTTAGGTCTTTGAAGACTAATCAGGTGGTACAGCTGTCGCGGGGACAAATCTGAGCCGCGAGATCCCCAAGGAAGAGCTAGTCGCGCGAGGCTGGTTCCTCGAGAATGGCGACCCGAACCCTGCGTTGCCCTACAAGTCGGCAGCGCAGAGTGTGGCGACATACATTATGGCTGCGTACGATCCGAGCATGAAGGGTGTGTGGCAAACTTTCCTGGATGGGTATTGATCATGAGAGACGAGGCTAACTTCGAGAGATGTAGAACACAATGGGTCTGCTCTACTGGCTTGTTCTATCGATACAGAGGTCGCGCCACATTCGAGGGATCCCGAGAGTGCTGACAAGCTCTGGAAACTAAGTGAGAAGCTTGTTGGACAGGAGTTTAATTACTGATCTGGGGCCCTTGGCTAAAGCGTGAGGTTACGCTGTGAACGAGTCTCACCTACAAAATAGTTCAATACTACTGAGGTTGAGGTAAAAGAAGTGAGTCATTTTCGGTGTGTATGGTGTGACAACGATACTACATCGTCTGCTATCCATTGTTCCATAAACCCAGTCTATGTCAAAACTTGGAGCGAGATATGATACTGGTAAGTTTCCATGAATCACTTTGCTTACAGATAGCTGTTTCATTGACGTTCTTGGGGTTGTGTTGTGAAAGACGCGAGCTTGAGAGCAATACTAGGCGTGAACAACTGCCGATATTACCTCGCATCCACAGACGATTATCACATGGACTTGCTGAGTTCGCCTCGTGAAACTTATTATCGATGATGGTCAGGGCTGATCGAGCTCCTCTATTCGGATTACGTTATCTTTCTACAGAGCCCATCCGTTGTTTCCTCTCTTGCCTAACTGTCGTGAATAATTCAGCCATTTGGGTGGTGGTAACGGAGATGTCATCTCGGGGCTACAGTAAGATCTTGATTACGCCCTTAAGTTGTAGTATCATCGTTGAATTCAAAGAATGCAGATGTAGGCCTGACAAATTACAGCTTACTCACCGTGCAGCATCTCAAGAGAGAGTCCTGTCTTGACGATTGACGAGCCATCGATGGTTTGAGGCGTTTGCCCAATAGACTGGGCGCGCCAATCGAAGCTCGGAAGGACTTGTTTGAAAGGAGTAAGAGCTGATACTGCAGGACGACACATTGCGGCAACCACTTGCTCGGATTACTGAACATGACATGCACTAGTCGCACCAACACATCCTTGCCAGGGCGCGCAATTGACTTTCAACAGGTCAACACCATGAAAAGATCACAACGAGTATATCGTCATAGGCAGATTGCGAAGGACGAGTGCCAAGATTGTATAAAGGAGTTACAATGCGTCGCTCAAGAATGAAGAAAGATTCACCAGAACCCAAAGTCATTCTACAACTCCCTTCTTCGTATCGTCAATATTAGAACTCGAAGAAGTCGCAACTTGATTTGTCTTTATCAAATATTCAAAAACAATCATGGCTACTCGATCGCTGAACTCTTTCGTCTTGATCGGCTCCGGGGCTGGCATCGGTCAATCTGTTGCAGCGCTATTCGCCTCAAAGAGATACAGCAAGGTTGCTCTTGTTGCGAGGCGACAGGAGCAACTTGACATTGACCGCAAGGCTGTTGAAGACACAGCGCCTGGTGTTACAGTTCATACATATGTCACGGACGTTGCAGATAGACAGCGATTTTCGGAGACCTTAAACAAAATCTCTACAGACGTTGGCGTCCCAGAGACTGTCTACTTCAATGCGGCTATCATTCGCCCTACTTCGATTCTCGAGGAAAATGAAGATGATATGATTTACGACTTCAAGGTAAGCCCTCCTGTTTACATGGTCCAAGAAAGTCACTTTCTGACCTGAGTTCTATTAGATCACGAACACGGCACTTCTTCACACAGCACAATGGGCTCTTCCACAGTTGACAAAGCTTGTCAAGTCCGATGCATTGGCCAAACCGTCTTTACTAGTGACTGGCACCTGGTTGTCTCGGGACCCTGTTACTCAGATCTTTACTCTGTCATTGGTGAAAGCTGCTCAGCGCAACCTCTGTCAGTCTCTGGCTGAGGTTTACGGTCCACAAGGTGTTCACATCGGGATGGTACGTGTGATGGGGATTGTCGACAAGGCTGCTAAGACCGTGAATCCCGAAAACATTGCCGCTCATGCTTGGGGCCTGTTTAATGAGCAAAAAGACAAGCAGACCTTTGAGATTGAAGTGAATTAGTGATGAGCTTGGAAAAGGAAATAGGAAGAATCTTCAAAGTTTGGAACATGAAGACACGCGCAAGTGGCTGGGGCAAAATATATCTCTAAATGTTTGAAAGTAGGAAGTCTAGCTTGAGTGCTTCAAATCTAATTCCTTAACTTTGACGAGGCAATTGGAAAAGAGTGCATAATCTGATAACTTGGGGGTGCGGAAAACGATAACCGGCCTCTCCACAAAAGTGACGGCTTACGGTGAGATTTCAATTACAGTTTCATACTGCCGAGCCTGGGGTTGAGTAGGATTGCGACTGTGCCGCCTTATGGCCTGTCGGAAATGACTACAGTGCAGGGCAGGCCAAGCGGTTTCTAGGTCAAAAGTGATACTAGTCCAGTGGGTCCTGATGATCCTACTCATCCTTCCCCCATTCTTGACAAGCTCAAGAGAGCAGTCGCGTTTCTCTTTCTACGTTAAAGTTAAAGACCTGTCTCGCTCATTGTGAGATGTTTCTCCTCAATCGTAATAGTATCACCGTTCATCAAAATATGCTAGCATGGCTCCACTAACGTCGAAACAGCCTTTCAAGGCCTTATACACCATATTCTTTCTACTCAAAACTCCGCCACAACTCATATTGCTCTATCTCAAGTATCTCATAAAACCATTTCGCCCCTTGAAAGAATGGAGTGCCACGGAAAATCTTTTAAGCCAGATAGGGAAGATCATGTTCCAGTATATCACAGCTACCCGTTCCGGACTTCTGCTGTACGCGGACCCTGTAGCGGCCGGAGACAGACACTCACATATTGAACCCGCTGCCGAGAATCTCTATTCGGGCGTCTTAACTAAGTCGAAAGACGTCAAGCCTGGGCCGGTCGATGCAGTCTGGTTCCCAAGTGCGGCTCCTGTACGAGATGCTGATCCAGCTGTTTTAAAGAAGGAGAAAGTCGTCTTGCACTTTCCGGGAGGTGCATACATCATGGCATTTGGTCACAAAGATTCTGGACTGGAAGTCGCAGATGCCATGACGAAGCATATGAAAGCTGACAGGACTATCTGGGCTCAGTACCGTCTATCACACTCTCCGGAGACTCGCTTTCCTGCAGCGCTACAAGATACACTCACATTCTACCAATACGTATTATCTCTCGGCTTTGATCCTAATAATGTCATTTTATCAGGCGACTCGGCCGGAGGCAACGCGGTCATAGCTCTACTACGCTATTTGGAAGATAGGGCGCACAACGAGGATGTAGAAACGCAAGCTACTCTTCCACTGCCTGGGGGTGCCATCGTCTTCTCTCCCTGGGTGAATGTCACTCTAAATGCCGGAAAAGAATACGATCAGTATAGCAACGCGCAATGCGATTGTTTATGGGGCCCCCTTTTACAATGGGGTGTTGACGCCTTTATTCCCGGAGAGGATCTCTCGAGCGAAGTCCAATCGTATATCTCACCGCTGCATCACCCGTTCAAGACCTCTGTGCCTCTTGTTATCCATGCTGGAGAGGCTGAGGCTTTCTACCCTGATATCAAGGGCTTCGCCGACGAGATGGTGGAGTTGAATGGTGATAGAGTACAATACCATTCAACGGCACGGGCAGCACATGATATTCTACTCTCGCACAAGACCTTTGGCCTCACAGAAGAGCGTGCTGCTGTTCTCGAGAGTGCTCGCGAGTTTTTCGAACATGGGAGTAATTGAAGAAAATATTTGATACCCGCGACTGAGCTATCAGCAGGCCACTGTAGGCAATGTATTCACTACGTCTCAAATGACTTTTGCAAGTCGTTATCTTAATAATGCTATTCATAAAAGCTCAAGCTCTTACACGCAACAACCTATGTTTGGGAAAGTAAATGGAATGTCCCAAGTTGAACGCCATGTCTCTAATCAGCAAAATAAGCCGCGCTTCCTCGCAGACAAACGAATTGCATTGCAACTGTGCTTAATGCCCATGTTGCTTCAAACCTGTCAATAGTCGCAATATTTTGTAGATTTGCATGCTTGATTCTCTGCGTAATGGGCGCATATCTCCGTCAGTACTACTCCATATACCTGAATTGCGGGTGCTTATGTCCTAAAGCACGAATTTGGTCTCCAGAGAGGCCTTCCACGCGATGATCACGCTTGCCTTGAGAGCGGATTTTGTTCTCGTATTTGCAATGTAGTAGACCAAAGGCGCATAGAGTGAAGCAAAATAATTGGAGGGTGAAATTGATCGTATGACCAGTGTGGAACGTTGGTGAGTCTTTCGATAGATATGTCCACCTAATGAAAGGACTAAGTTAGCAGGCCATGTGTAGAGCTCTGCATGCAACTTACGTTGAGAGAACGCCACCCACGGATCCGATCATGACCATATAACCACCAGCGACGGCGGCAACAGCAGGACTGCCCGTATCTGAACAACGCGTGTTAGAATTGTCTGAATTACTTATATCCCTGAAACAAGAATTGAGGTTCTTACTGTTGATGCCCCAACTCAAAAATCCTGAGCTGGCAGCGAAAACACCAATTGCGCTAAGGTAGACAGCAGCGTATTTAGCGTTGACCTCGTCCGAGAAGCGCAGCATGCCGTAACCTGTGATCGAGAGAACTATTGCACTGAGCATGAAAACTCCTCGCCTGTTGGTGCGATCACTAAAGTGGCCAAGGGCTATAGTAATACAGCAGGCCACCAGATACGGTGGAACCGACAACAGTTGAGCCTTGGTCGAAGTCCAGCCGAATTCCTTAAGAATAGTTGGAATAAACGCTCCCATTCCTTGCACACACGAGTTGGTACAGAAGAAACACCATGCGCAAACATTGGTGTGAACATTGAAGATAGCCTGTCGAACGTGGCTCCAAGTCACGCGCTCCGTTGGATGCTTCTCGATGTCAATAAAGATATGCTCTTAGCGCTGAGAGATAATTCTTACCGCATCGTGCTCTCGCTGCATACGTTCGCCAGCAATATATTGTTGTCTCGAAGTCAGATATTTCCAAGAGCTCGGGCTCTGCGGCATGAAGTAGACCGCCGCTCCAGCAATGAGCACTGTGACGAGGCCCTCGAAAAAGAAAATGTTACGCCAACTGCAATGTGTTAACAAAGTGTTTGTATCGACTTTTATGTGTCAACACCCGGTAACTCACGTTTCAATCGTAGCAGAAGACGTCCCCCAGGCTGGAATGCGACTGAGGGGAAGACTTTGTCAGCTATTGTCTACGCGACAGTTTGGGGTACTTGTCATACCTAAGAGCAGCAGCCAGAAGACCACCAAATGAACTAGCTAAAGCACTAGACGCGATGAAAATACTCATTCTAAAGAAGAGCTCGGCCTTTTTGTAAAAGCAGCTTAAGAAGAAGGCTGTGGCAGGCATCGCTCCGCCCTCGAAGATACCCAAGATGGCTCGGGCAACGGCTAGTCCGGCATATGACTGCACAAAAGCTGTGCAGAGCGAGACCAGACCGAAGCTGAAGACAAGGAAGGGCACTGTAGTCAAACTCAATATTAGTTCAAACGGAAATCGATACTAGGCAGGCTTGATGCCGACAACGAATGTGTACTGACTATAGAACCTCGGTCCAACATGTTTGAGGATGATATTGCTAGGCACTTCCACACTGTTACCAGAGTAAGTCTGTGTTTGATGATAAAGCAATTATGTGGTGAAATTGCCAATAGTAATGAGATGTACCTTAAGTAAACGATGAAGAAGATCGACAATATGATGTTATAGCGATAACCGATCAAGTTCAGGTCGTCTGCCATGCCTTCGATCTTGGCGTTTCTGAGGTTGTGCATATATTAGTGAATATTCGCTGCGGTAGGGCAGATTTATCATCCAGAGCTGTACTTACCCGATGTTTGCACGATCGATAGCACAGCACATGTCTACGAATGGTCAGAGGTTAGCGATTTGCCCTCTTGCCCAATTCACGCCACAGGCAATCACTAACAAAGAACCGTAACCATAGGAACGATTGTCAAGTCGAACTTGCGACGAATTGCCTTCTCCTCGGCATCCGTCCAGTCAGCATGTATGTCCACCTCGCCATCCTCGACAACGTCTGTGCTGGTGTTGCTGGAACCAGCGGGCTCCGTCTTGAGAACATGATCCTCCAACTTCTCTGCTATTGATGACATGATAATGTATGATGACGCGAGAGAGTTGAATGATTTTGCCAATGTCCCCGAGAACAGTTACCCAGAAATTGGCAATGTCCCCAAGTCTGACTCTTTGCTGGCCTTACCCTGTATCTTTATTAAGTCCTCAAAAACACTAGATCCGATACCACGCATATCAGATGCATCTTGACCTTTCCTATCTTTGTTTGTCAGCCCTGCTCCTAGCCCCTCCTTGCCGATTTACCTATCTCAATTAGTCCAACTTGGTCACCCCCGTAACTCATGAGGGCCAGTTGCCTCGTGGTCGGATCCACATCCCTATCTCTGTAGGTTGCTCAGGCCAATCAGACTCAACCCGTCATCCGTAATCTTTACCGGGCCGTCACCGGCGAGTGGGGCCGCCTTGGTTCGGCATCACACTGCCGACACGTGACTACCATGAGGATGAACCGCAATCGGCTAAAGAAGTCCAAATTCATGGACGGACAGGGAAGCTGGTCACGGCATGTATGTTGGACAAAAGAACATCGCTGTGGGTCCCCGCCGGTGATACAAGCCCCGGTCTCAACACTGCAACTTTGAATGCATATTTACGGTAGTCATCCGGCATTGTATTTGAAACAATACATGAGCATTATCATTCGAGGTGTCATCCTGTTGATGGTCACTTTTAAGCAGTAATACAGAGTACTCCTAAGTTACGCATACAGCCATAACTGTTCATACCTTCTTCTTTTCTTTTCTCTTCTTTGTTCTCGGTTGTCGCACTTACAACCAGTTCCCTCCTTTTCCAAAATGGCACCTAAAATTACTATTTCTATTGATAGAGGCGGCACCTTTACCGATGTGCACGCCATTGTCCCTGGCAAGCCCGATATAGTGCTTAAGCTGTTATCAGTCGATCCGGGCAACTATGCCGATGCGCCGACAGAGGGCATACGCCGTGTGCTTGAGTCTGCAACCGGGCAAATAATCCCCCGAGGTGTCCCATTACGCCTAGACGGCATTGAGTGTCTACGTATGGGTACTACTGTTGCGACTAATGCCCTACTTGAGCGTAAGGGCACGCGCTCAGCCCTGTTAACGACCAAGGGGTTCCGGGACCTGCTAAGAATTGGCAATCAAGCCCGTCCTGACATCTTCGACCTCTCTGCCCGCCGGCCGGATGTTTTGTTTGAAGCTGTTGTCGAGGTTGACGAACGCATTATCCCATCTCATCCTCGATCTGACAAAGCGGCCCTTACAACTTACCGTGCCATCGAAGGCGTTACAGGCGAAACATATCATGTGCTCCGAGAGCTGGATGTAGCAGCTGTCACAGAGGAGCTGCGCGCTCTCAAGAACCAAGGCTTTGGCTCAGTTGCCGTTGCTCTCGTCAATTCTTTCGCTTGTCCCGAGCATGAACGGGTCATCGGAGACATTGCATCAGACCTTGGGTTCTCTGTAGCGCTTTCATCGGTTCTCCAACCAATGATTAAGGTTGTGCCAAGAGGTATGTCAGCGACTGCCGATGCCTACCTGACACCGGTAATCAAATCGTATATCGACTCTATTTCGGCCAACTTCGAAGGAGGGCTTGCTGGTACTCACGGATGCCGAGTTGAATTTATGCAATCTGATGGCGGATTGGTCGATTTCCGTCACTTCAGCGGGCTCCGAGCTATTCTATCAGGTCCTGCTGCAGGAGTAGTTGGATTTTCCGCAACCAGCTACGACGCTGAAGCACGTGTTCCTATCATTGGTTTTGATATGGGCGGGACATCGACTGATGTATCGCGTTTCGATGGCCATCTTGATCATACTTTCTCATCTAGCATTTCCGGTGTGCATATTCAAGCACCCCAGCTTGATATCAACACAGTCGCCGCAGGCGGCGGCTCCATCCTGTCATGGCGAAATGGCCTGTTTCAGGTTGGCCCCGAGTCTGCCTCTGCTCATCCAGGCCCGGCATGCTACCGAAAAGGGGGCCCTTTGACAGTGACTGACGCGAATCTCTTCCTGGGGAGACTGTTACCTGAGTACTTCCCTAAGATCTTTGGCCCTAACGAGGATCAGCCACTTGACCGGCAAATCACAACAAAGCTCTTTGCTGAGCTGACAGAAAAGATAAATGCTGACCAGTCTGTACATTATACCCCTGAGCAGGTGGCTCTTGGATTCCTGAAGGTCGCGGACGAGTCCATGACACGCCCGATACGTAACCTTACCGAGGCACGTGGCTTCGAGACTGCTTCTCATCACCTGGCCTGCTTTGGTGGTGCTGGTGGTCAACACGCATGTAATGTGGCGGCGTCACTTGGCATCTCAAGAATCATTGTGCACAAATACTCGTCAATACTTTCTGCGTACGGTCTAGCCCTTGCAGATATCGTCCACGAGGCACAGGAGCCATTTGCCGCCGAGTATCATAGCTCAAAAGCCTCAATTGCCGACCGCCTGAATGCACTGCAGCGGCGTTCAGTGTCTCATCTGAGTGGCCAAGGATTTACAGCTCGGCAGCTGAGGCATGAGATGTACCTGAATATGAGATATGAAGGGTCTGACACCAGTTTGATGATCTTGGAACCTGAAGATGGCGATTTCTCCAAAGCTTTCATCGATCGACATCATCGCGAATTCAGCTTTACACTTGACCGCTCAGTTCTGGTTGATGATGTTCGCGTGCGCACTGTCGCTGCTTCACAGACTGTGTCCGAGAAGAGTCCACTTCAACAGCTAAAGGAGGCAACTCTAGGTGAAGCAGGTACACCTACAGAAATCAAAAAGGTGTTTTTCGATGCCGATTCAGGCTACGTTGACACCCCTGTTTATAAGCTGCGAGAGCTCGGTCAAAACGCTCGCCTGCATGGACCTGCCATCATCATAGATGAGACCCAGACCATTGTGGTGGCACCAAATGCCATTGCCTATGTTCTTCAGACTTGCCTTGTCATTGATCTAGAGAGCGAGACAAGCCCCAAGAGCAGTGATGACGTAAAGGCCTTGAAGGTCGACCCCATCCGCCTGACTATCTTCGGTCACCGGTTTATGTCTGTAGCAGAGCAGATGGGCCGCACACTACAGAAGACAGCTGTGTCAACAAATATTAAAGAGCGATTGGACTTCTCGTGCGCATTGTTCTCTCCGGACGGGGGCCTTGTAGCCAATGCCCCTCATGTTCCTGTCCACCTGGGATCCATGCAGTTTGCAGTACGCTTTCAACACAAGAGGTGGCTCGGTCAGCTCAAGGAAGGAGATGTGCTTGTGGCGAACCATCCCGTTTCCGGTGGCACTCACTTGCCTGATGTTACCGTTGTTACTCCTGTATTCGCTAAAGGCACAAACGAGATAATATTTTACGTAGCCTCAAGAGGCCATCATGCCGACATTGGTGGCATCCTTCCAGGATCAATGCCTCCTAACTCGACCGAGTTGTGGCAAGAAGGCACGGCTATTGAATCGGAAAAGGTAGTGTCTGGTGGCGTTTTCAATGAAGCACGAATGCGGGAGCTGTTCTTGGACATTCCGGCTCGTTACGAGGGCTGCTCTGGCAGCCGTAACATCAGCGATAACATGTCCGATCTGAAGGCACAGATCGCGGCTAACGCTCGTGGTATTGCACTTATTCAAAACCTAATTGAAGAGTATGGACTGAAGACGGTGCAAATGTACATGCTAGCTATCCAAGTTACGGCAGAACAAGCTGTACGAAACCTTCTTCAGGGCTTGTACAAGCGTTTCGACGGACAACCGCTTGAGTCACTCGACTATATGGATGACGGAACACCCATTCGCCTCAAAATCACTATTGATGAAGACGGTTCAGCCGTATTTGACTTCTCAGGCACAGGCCCTGAAGTGCATGGCAACATCAATGCTCCTGAAGCCATCACGCATTCCGCTATCATCTACGCACTAAGGTGCATGATCAACGCCGATATTCCACTCAACCAAGGTTGTTTGAGTCCAATCGACATCAAGATACCGAGGCCAAGTATTCTGAGCCCCACGCGAGCGGCAGCTGTTGTAGGTGGTAACGTAACTACATCTCAAAGAGTCACAGATGTCGTGCTCAAGGCACTTGGTGCCTGTGCGGCCTCGCAAGGCTGCCTGAACAACTTGACCTTTGGCATCGATGCCAAGAAGGATGAGGCCACTGGAGTAGTTGTCCCCGGATTTGGTTACTATGAAACGTGAGAAGAATCCTCCAACTTGTGTTTATAAGATTAAATAAGCTGACAAACATACAAATAGAATTGCAGGTGGAGCTGGAGCTGGACCGACCTGGCATGGCGAGAGCGGAGTACACGTTCACATGACCAACACGCGTATCACTGATCCAGAAATCCTTGAAAAGCGATACCCATGTGTGCTGAGGCGGTTTGAGCTCCGTGAAAATACTGGCGGCCGGGGCCACTTCCGTGGCGGCGACGGCGTGGCACGTGAAATCGAGTTTCTCACGCCTGTGCAATGCTCGATCCTGTCAGAGCGGCGTGTTCATCGGCCATACGGCATGGAGGGTGGAGAGCCGGCAGCGACTGGCCTCAATCTGTGGCTGAGCAAGGACGAGTTCACTGGTGAAGATCGAACAGTTAATATGGGCGGAAAGGGCTCCGTTGCCATGAAGCCGGGAGATCGGGTAGTGATTAATACACCTGGTGGCGGTGGCTGGGGGGCACCCAATGGATTGACAAATGGACACAAGAATTGAGATATCATAGATGGAGTACACTATATTTGGATAAACCTCACAAAACAATGTTGGGACTTATTATATTGCTGAACTGTCTGGCTTAGAATCATTGAATCGCTGTGCGCGCTCCTTATAACACCACCAGTGAAGGTGTTAATCTTACAATTAATCACACAAGTATTTTCGGATTGGCAGGACGTATCCGCAAGTACTTGAACAGCAGCCTGATAGGATACTATAAGCTGCCCACCTCAGCAGTCTCTTCCAGAGTGTTGTCTTGCATTAATGCCATTCCAATCCATTGCCGATCCATATCTATACCGATGGAATCGATCACTTCAGCCCAGACCGACGGGTCTTCAGTGGTGTCAAGGTTAAAGGGAATATGAGGCTGTGACTGTTGTCCGTTGTCAATGTCCTGTGGTATCACCCACGCTGGTTGCTCATCGTGCACCTCCTCTCGAGCTGGATCACCGCCCTCTCTCGGTGGGGCTAGCTTTCTTGTGGCGCGGATTTTAGTCAACAGGGTGTGACAGGCTCGAATGTATTTATTGCCCTTCTCTGCCATGCTCTGTAATACTGCGAGTGCAGTGTCCATCGCCGAGGCGTTCATCTCCCTGTAAGGAAAGGCTATGTTGACCATAACGAGGAGAAGCGCGGCTGAGAAAGCCTGCTCACCATCTATGAAGCCATAAGTAGCTGCAGTAGGGAGCGGATCTGTTAGCAAAGCCTATAAGAATCATACTTGAGAGAGAAAGAATGGTGGATTAAAGGCGACATACCAACAAGATTAAACTTAGCCGCGGCATTCAGTATCGAGGTACTAGATCGTGCTGCTGCAATTGATGCATCGATAACACTGACAATGTCAGGGGACAGTCCATCTTCCCATCGTGCGCCGCTCGCACGCTGTCCGTTTGCCGTAGCTGTCATCTGGCGCTGGACAGCGTACAGCAATAATGGCCTGGCTGTCATATTGATACAGTGGTAGTAGTGGAGATATGTCGATACAATTTCTCGATTAATATGCTTTTCAAAGTCGCCGGGCTCAAGGCGCACCTCAGCCGGCAATTGGGCAAACCATTCCGACAGGCTCTTCATGATATTCTGTATGGAAGCGGACAAGCTGGTGCCGGATTGGCGCTTCTTGCGATAGACCTCCTGGCCGATGCGACCAAGTATTCGCGAGAGTTGCGTGTAATTACGGAGCACAGACGAAGGCCGCGGATCTTCGCCCTCGATTGGGCTTGGGAGTAGTACGTCAATGTCATCGTCACTGATCGATATCGGATGCCCGGATGTGACGCAGAGAAGGCGCTCAAGGCTGTATGTCGACCACCAAAGGCGCCGGCGTCGCTCGCGCAGATAGATATCCATATCCTGGTCTAGAACCTCTTGATGTAGCCCCAAGGATATTGCCATGCGGAGCGCAACCCCAATATATAAATAAGCGGAGTCTCTTCGATTGATCGTTTGCATGTAGTACGCAACGTAGCTCAGGACTTCAACGAAGAGGATTGACCCGTCCTCGCGCGCATCTGGGAGAAATTGTAGGGCATGTTTGAAGTAGTGAAAGCCAGGAGGCCCGTCATTTCCTGTCCACTGATTGACAGAATACATCTGTCCAAATGCAAAGACGAGCAGAATCTGGCAGTATATCAGGCAGTCTTCGCGCTCACCCAAGTCAGGGGGCGAGGCGTAAACGCGCTTCAGTCGTTGGTGGAAACACTGCTCGTCAAGGAATGAGAAGATCGTGCCAATGTAGGCATGCTGTGCCTGATAAAGTCGTTTGGCAAAGTCATACGGTGGAAGCTGGGGCATCTCGTGCATTTCGGGCATCATTGGAGCCCGGCGCAACCAGGAAGTATCCTCATAGTGCGGATACATGTGCCATGCGAGCGTCTCGGTCGTAGGATTGAGCCGGTTAGCGATGTAAGTTGACGACGAGTTACCCATGTAATCTACGATATCAGTGAGCTCATCACCAAAATCGTATACAAGAAAGTCTACGGCTTACGATATTGGCCTGGACGACAGAGCACCCAGTTATCCGCCCCTGAAAATGCCCAGTCGACTTCTGTCGCCGTGGTGTCGGCTGGACTGGGCATCCCATCGTGTACTCGTGTGCCAGATCCGCGAGCTTGCGATTGCAGCCGCAGGAGATAACTGTGCCCAGAGCTTGTTAAACAGGCTGCCATCACCAGGGAATTTTACGATGATCAAATCACGTCACTTACCTTTCGGGCACGCTGATGCGTTTCTCAGATTCTGAATAGACGCACGCATGACCGGCGTCATTACAAGCTGCACAGGGATATGGCGGCGTACCGCAACATTTCTGTTTCCGCCGCCTGCAGCGCTCACATCTGCGATCAAGTTAATATTGATTCAGGGGAATGCGATGATGCGTCAAGCATGTTATCCATACGCAACTGGAGATCGCCTTAACACATCATGTGGCGGTTGACGCCGACGAGCTATAGTCTTCGAAGCTTGCATCTTGCTTGCTTACTGTATAGACGATCGGTGACATATCCTATGGTAACCTGTCATGTCATCTCATTGCTAAACAGCAAGATTTCTTCCGGGACAAGGGACCCGACTGTCTGGTCCATCAAGTAAGTGAATGGAGTCTACCTCGGCGTTATCTCTGGGCACTGAAGCTAAGGCGTTAGTGTCCCAGGCGCTCTCCATTGCTTATCAACGGGCCATCTGCACCGCGAATCTGGTGTCGGCCCCGCAACCCGATCTTTAACATTCCCAACGCCACTCGTCGGACCGCTCAAGATGGCAGCAGAGATGACTGACGGAGACCATCGGCACAGATCATGTGGTTAACTCTCAAGTGTGGTTCTCCTTCGGGAGTGAGTCGCTTCTCGTTGAAAGGGGAAGGGTTACAGGCTTCGTCAGTTAAGAGGGCCACCCGGTACGATATGATCAACTTGGCCCTCTGTAGCTGAAGGGATTGGCCGACCAGGCAAATCAAATCTCGAAGCCACAATGTTCTCGACGTATATCCTCTTCCTCCTATTGGGCGGCGTTGCTCTCACAGTAGTGAGACTCGTCCTCAACAGCCTGCAGCTGCGTGGCATACCAGGCCCCTGGCAAGCACAATTCACCGATCTATGGCGCTTCAATTCTATGAGATCGAAGGGATGGTCTGCCAGACTCATTGAACTCCATCAAAAGCACGGCTCACTGGTACGCATCGGCCCCAAGCATGTCAGCATCAGCGATCCTGGCGCGATCCCCATCATCTACGGAACAAGCCCGGTCTGGCTGAAGGGCCCGTCATACTATGCCGCGGCAACGGTGAGCCAGGGGCGCATGGTGCCAAGTATCATCGCCATGGGTGAACTACAACATACTGCGGTTCGCAAGTCGGCTGGCCGAGCTTTTACAACCAACTCGCTGCTTGACTACGAAGCCTCAATCGAGACATCCGCGGCCGAATTGATTCGCGTCCTTGGAGAGAATCCAACGACCGATATTGCGAACTGGCTACAATTCTTTGCCATGGATGTGTTGATGCGCATTGCCTTCAGCGAGTCGCTTGGCTTCATGGACAAGGGTGACGACGTTGACGGCATTCTGGCAGCAGTCGTTGGGCGTTTCGACCACTGGAACGCTTGGGCTGCCCTACCGGGCGGAGACTATCTCTTCAACAAGGGACCACTTGCCTCTATGTTGCGGAAGCAGAAAGACAGCCCTTTGGCTCGTGTCGGGATGACCAAACTTATGGCGCGCAAGGGCGCCGCAGCCCGGACAGAGAAGAGTGACCTGCTACAGAAGTTTCTCGACGGCCAGGCAAAGTACCCTGACATTGTGTCAGACAACGAGGTTTTGGGCATTATCATGTCGACCATTGGCGCTGGTGCTGATACGACCGCGGGAACTCTGGCCTACACCATTTACCTGCTATGTTTGAATCCAACAGCTGCCCAGTCTCTTATGTCAGAATTGCAGGAGGCACTACGCGGTGGCACACTGACGAACCCACCAAAATGGTCTCAAGTAAACCGACTACCATATCTCGATGCTGTGTTGAAGGAGTCGATGCGTGTCTTCCCAATTGCTTCATGGGGTCTGGATCGCATCGTGCCGGCTACCGGTGCCACGATTTGTGGCAAGTATATTCCTGCTGGGACCATCGTCGGATGCCAGATCGATGCGATACATTTGGACGAAGACGTGTATGGGAAGGATGCATCAGAGTTCCGACCAGAGCGATGGATTGAGGCTAGTGAGGATCAGAAGCGCCGCATGGACAGAGCCTTCTTAGCCTTCAGTGCAGGCAAGCGCACCTGTACCGGTATTCACATCGCCTGGCTCGAGATGAAGAAGGTCCTGCCGCTGATTCTGATGAACTTTGAGGTGAGATGACGATTTTGGAGCCGGGGCGCCTCTGCATGGTCACTAACACGCTGCTGTAGTTGAGTCTCGTCGACCCTGGCCAAGATGTGCGAGGCTCGGTGCGCATCAGTGCCGTCAAATATCCACCACCTATCTGGATGAACATTCGTAAGAGACAATTAGTTAATCTCCCAGCGACCGAATCGGCGCTTTGATAGCGGCAGGCCAGGATTCAGGGAGAAGGAAAAGACACAGGTAAATGTCACGGTTCAGATGAAACTCTGTAGGTTTGTCTAGGGAAAAGTTACGTAGTCATCTAAAAAATAATAGAAATGGCCCATGAAATAGATCTCAAGAATAGGACGAGTGTCAGCTACCTCGGCAGATAGGTGGCAGAAGAGTGTCGCTGAAGCAGTGGCCCCTTTTTTAATTAGTGTCTGGGAAGAGTGCAGCTGCTATCACCTGGCCGCCTCTTCTGCCACCTGGAGCTGCGGCAGCCCCACGTCAGCTCTCTTCACCAGGCATGCTCTACTTGCAACACCATCTTCACACGCCGCCATAGTTGCGACTGAAAAGCACTCCTCATCGATGGACCAGTCATTGAATACGACACCGCGAGGGCACACGCGTAATAAGTCCGCCACAAAGGGTGAGTGTCACAAGTTTGGCTGCCCGCTGGCCTCATCTCAAATCTCAAGAGGGAAAGTGAGCCTTGTCAAGCTCGAGCCACTCGGCAATGCCTTGAGTGAGGAGCGGGCACCTCGACCACAATACCATCATTTTCTCATACCGGGAATATCGCATTAACAAGAATACAGCAACACGGCCAAGGTCTTCTACTAAAGGACCCTTGGATGCCGATGAGTGAGTTTGCAGCTCAGAATGTAGCCGATCTTTGCCCAGCTTGCTAACCTTTCGACAGTGCACCCCTAATGTCGCCGCTTTCGCCTCAACAAGCTTCACGACTGGCACCTGCTCGCCCACCATCTCAGCAAGGCAGCCCTCGTCCGTTAGCAGACAGGACTAGGCAAGCAGCACATTCGCCCACTCCTGTCGTATCTGCGCCAAAGGACTTCTCATACCTGCTACGGCCTGAGATATATCATCCACTCACGCCACTCTCTATCCCTCTCCCTTTCCGCAACTCAGTCAAGCAGCCTCAACCAGACACCTCGCTCCAAGAACTGCTTGCAAGGGGACATTATCGCGCCGCTGCCATTGCTGCTGTTCATGCACTGACTGGCACAGCCGGCGCCACTGCTCCAGATCCTTCAGACCATGCCCGGATTTTCAGCTTGATATATACGCGATTAGCGTGTCTCACACTGATTGACTCAACACAACTCGCTGCGCAGGAGGTGAAAGCCCTTGAAGACCTGAACAGTGCCTTCTACATCGATGAGGTTTCAGGCGTTCATCTCGTTCCCTGGGAGTTACGCGTGCTCAATGTTCGGCTGCAAGCCATGGGCTTCGGGGACCCACGCCGCGCCATAATGAGCTATTATGATCTAGCAAAGGAGGCTCGAGCGCGAATTGCAGATGCGACATCAAGTCATGACAACTCGGCGCGCGAACTCTGGAAGGATAGGCTATGCGATCTCGGCATCAAGGTCGCGGGCGCACTAGTGGAGATGGATGACTTGGCTGGGGCAGCAGCTCACCTCTCGACGCTGAAAGATCAACGCCAGGGAGACATGGCAATGTCGAAGGCATTGCTATGGCTTCATTTAGGTGATGTCGATGCAGCAAGGCAATGTATCGCCACAGGAGGGGTTAGTGAGAAGACGATTGCTGCCCTCTGCGCCATGGCGGATGGAGAGTATCTGGCAGCAATCGAAATATGGAAGGACCTCCAAGAAAACGTGAATGATGAGATGATTGGAGTCAATATGGCTGTCTGCCTATTATATGTCGGAAAACTGGAAGAGGTAAATACAACCTCCTTCTAGCTCCGCTGGGTCCTAACGAATCACAGGGAAGAGATCTCCTTGAGTCGCTGGTCAACTCGGGCTATTCGTCACATACGCTACTTTTCAATCTCACGACAATGTATGAGCTTTGTACCGATCGAGCAAGGAATCTGAAGCTGAGGCTCGCCGAGAGGGTTGCCGCGATGGAGGAGGCACCAAACGGATGGGAGAAGACCAATGCTGACTTCAAGCTATGAACTGAGACTTCCCTGGAGATCTACTCAAACCACTCAACCTACAGGCATTTGATCGCATGATCTTTTATCTTGCACTGGGCAACTTTACCCAGCCTGTCCAGAGTTGCGAAGGCGACTGTCACCTACCGTGACACGTTTCAGCTTTCTCAATTCACTGCTGGGCCGCACTGACAGACCGCCCCAAAGTCGCGGCCTCATAACCGAGCCAAATCACAGTATATGTGCCATCGCATCATGCTGCCGCTGCCCACTGCTCAGACAGCACCTCCTTGAGCTGACGTTTGACATATTGTTGCAGGCCGCAACCATATGGCTCTCTCAGATCAATACCGGATGAATGCGATGCAATTCTGAGGCATTTGAATCCATAGCTTGGTAGCATCTTCATCCGAAAAAAAATGTTACATGTTACAGGAACTTTAGTGAGGAAAGCCCCAGAGTGCCCTGTGCGTCACCTACCTCTCTCTCCAACGCGGCGTGGCGCAGCAGTGATCTCCAAGCCTAGTAGCGATCAAACAACAAACCCCAAGGAACAACCGACACTCGTAGATTTTCTCTCGATTCACTACCTCCAGCCAGCTATGATCTCCACCTGGGGAATTGCCAAGACTAGATTTGCAAGCTGGGCTTTAGCGATCTAGAGCTTTGGGTAGCCAATCGCAAGCTTCGGCCATTCTCGCAAGCGGCCAAAGCTTAAGAGCTGTAGCCTTTGAATTGCCTTACGGAGACACAAAACTTTCAATTGTGTTCGCCATTCAGATGGCATTTCATCTACACTTTCGGATTACCCGAGGCTGGTGTTCAGTTTCCATCGTAATTTGACATTCTGTCATTGATTTTGGATGGCGTATGGAATGTTGCGACCAACGGTTCAGTTCACTTGACAGCATCCTCTTCTGGGAAAGCTTGCGGTGCGTGCACGTTCGTGTTGTTAGGTCTTCCCTCCTTGAAACCCACACCAGCCGCCATGCCATCGCTTGTGTGCCGTGATTCCAGCCGCGCTGCTCCACATCCATGTTTCATGCACAGCAGAGCCAGGTAACGGGGCTAAGCTTAAAGATGGCAGCTATCAAGCTTCTTCTAGGTTCTCTGACCGCATCCAGTCATGGCATCGAAGGCCATGGGCACAGCCTCGCTGCCTCATCATGTCATTGCAATCCCAGAACGGCAAGTCCCAAGCCGGAGTACGGCAAGCCGTACAAGCATGATGCATACAGAACAAACCCCTGAGAAAGTCCCCAGACCGCCGAGCCTCAATGATCCTCAAGATTCGCGCCGTCTCTGAGGATCCACCTATGCTTGTGGCCGTGATGTACCTAGTGTTATCATATGCTTGGTTGCTCTTTTCGAACACATGTGTTCTTCCTGATTGGCTCATAATGCATCCTGCCCTGCCTAACTCCTCCTCCTCTAGCTTTGTGGAGGAAGTGAATTAGTTGCGATTGGTTACATTATACCTAGACGGCGATCATATTTTGTTTGAGATCTGCTCCCGCTGTTTGCGGTACTCTTGAGGAATGAGCCTCCATATGTGGAGTCGTGACTATTGATGATGGATACGGTCGCCTTCTTGTCTTCATCGCGAGACACCAAGTACAAATAGGGCGAGAATCTCCTCCAGCTTTTCCAAAAATTTCCTTTCATCATCATCAGCAGCAGCAACACAATCTTCTTCGCCTCCTCCCTCCTAGTAACCACCGAAATATCGAGGCACTTGGTCCTCTTTTCGTTACAGATCTTCTACCCTCTTCTTCTCGGCCAGGCGCCTAATTTAAAAAAAAAAATACAACTCCTAATACCACACTCTTCTCTTCGAACAGCAAACATGTCGTCTTTCAAATCCATCTTCACCCTTTCACTTCTGCTGGCTGCTGACCTTGTGTCTGGCCATGCGGCTATTGTCAATGCTGTTGGCGATGCCGGTGGTTCTGGCATGGCTCTCGGTATCGATACATCCACTCCACGGGACGGTACACGTCGCAATCCTTTTCAACAAGACGCCACCCGCTTCAAGGGAGATGCCGCCGATACAGTCGGAGAGACCCTAGCAGGTGGTGATAACGATGTTGAAGCCGGCACTTCAGCCATCTTGGCCGAGACAGGTGATGAGCTTCCTCAGGTGACTGCAGGCGGTGAAATCACAATGACTCTTCACCAAGTTAACGCTGACGGAGGCGGTAAGTCTTTGCAATCTAGTTCCAGGAGAATGAGAAGTTTCTAACAGAGTATCAAAGGCCCATACACTTGCGCAATCAACGATGACGGCACCGCGCAAACCTGGCAAAACCTCCAGGTTACAACTACTCCCCCGGGCGAGGACTCTCGCTTTAGGGACGGAGCCGCAACTGACTTTCCCATGGTTGCCGCAATCCCAGCTGATCAGACATGCACCGGGACCGTCGCCGGTCAAGACAACGTCTGTCTCGTGCGATGCCAAAATGACGCCAGGGCCGGTCCATTTGGTGGAGTTGTCCCTGTTCAGCTGGCCGATGGAGCTACTGCTGGCAACGCAACTGTTGCCCGCCGCAAGTTCGCTCGTAGCATGACGAGATCCAAGAGGGCAAGATTTGGTTCTCACTTCTGAAAATCTGTTGAACCGCATGAAGCATCGATAATGGATTGGGGGCCCAGGCGGCCGAAGTAAATGAGCAGACGAGTCAGAGAGCAGGGTTCTCTCAATGCATGCATGCATGGCACCGGCGTTTGCATTTGGAGTCGTGAGGATATACCCACATGGTTATGGCGCTCAACCAGAAAAGCGTCTTCGGAACTTGAGGCTAGGACCCAATCCAGACAGAGAGCCTCGACAAGAGCTCCGGCACTAATACTACCTACGGCGTGGAAGGCGCATAGAAAACATGTACATCACATCTAGAGAAGAGAAATATTTAGTTTACTTCCGAGTCTACGTCACTATGTAACTATCGCTCGTAAACTTTGTAAGTAACCAAAAGATTTTCATGTGGACTACTATTGCAACCTATACTAAAAACTGTGTGTCAAATCTGGTAATTTCTGTTCCTCATCGTCTGCATCAGGGTTCTCGTATGGGAGGTTTCCTGCCTGAACCGCGTTTACTATGGGGTCTTGGTTAGGCATAGCTGGAATACTCATATCGAAAACGCTTTGAATGTGAGTATACTGGTGGTAGCCGAGTCTAGCGATTGGGGCTGCCTTCAAGACATCAAACAACTGCAAAGTATTACATTAGCCATCTGTACCTAGACATTCATGTGTTGTCATAACTCACTCCGTCGCCAGTAATGTATTCACCCTTAATGTGGATGCCAAGAACGCGTCCGATCACTATGTCCGAATTGCCAACCATGTGGGGGCCAGCAGTCTTCTTGCCGTGGAACTCGTTGGAAACGCGCACGATACTATGAACACGACACTCGAAAGAAACTGGCGAGTCAGCGACGCGAGGAGGACGAACGAGTATCGAAGGGGTCTTTTTTATTCCGAACTCCTCGAACTCATCCTCGTAAGTCTCCTTTCCGGTTAAGTTTACTTCCTCGCGGAGATCATATCTGTCAGTATTTTGTCAACTTCTCGACATATCCTCTCTTATTTGAAGCTAGAGATATACGTTGCCATGTTCCAGACAAATTCATTCGTTTCAATACAGTTCATAACGGTATCTCTAGAACGGTTCTTGAAAAGATCTTGATGGCCAACAAAACTGGTAGTTGTTAGCTTTGACCCAGGGAACCCCGATACTAGTCACGTACAGGATTGTAGGAGGATCAAACGAGACGTTGGTAAACTGGCTGAAGGGGGCCAGATTGTCTTTACCGGCTTGACTAGTGGTGCTAATCCACCCGATGGGTCGGGGGATAGCGAAACTCTTGAATGGGTCATGTGGGAGGCCAGAAGTCTCGCCCTTGAGAGGTTTGTAGAAGATGTCTTCGTGGACCATCTTGGTTTCTCTTGTGTTGGCGTTTGGGCGTACTTTTACTCATGAACTCCTGATGAGTCTCGAAAGAGTAGGATATAGTAATTTAGAAAATTCCCCTTGACGCGAAACGAAGTTGGAAGGGTAGGGGGGATGAACAGATGTCGTCCTCTTTTGAACAACTCCATTTGGCCGGCGGTCATTCGTCTTTTGTACCCAAGGCTTGCTGAGTAACGACTCAGAAGTAGCGATACATTCAACTTGTAGCCTTCGGCCTCACAGTCTTCTTCAGAGATCATTTCGCTCGAGATACCGAGGTGGGCTTGTGTAACTGGTCAAACAGTCTCAGATTATCTGTGCTGCCATAAACATCAGTAAGCCACAAGAATCAGTAATCAGAAAAAGACATATCATTCAGTATCCTTTGATCTTGTATAGTGCCTCGGGTGCGCGTTGGGCAAGAGTAAGTTATAATTACTAATCGTTTTAGTTGTCGTATACCGACACACCGCTTGCAAACAATTGAGAACTTGTCGACTTATCACCCAGGACTAAATGGCGTATGTATAAGCCAAGTCAAGTACAATTCCAAATATGAAATAAAAAGCAAAATACCACTCACATCGGAAATTATATCATCTGGATGAGATAATTCACCTGCTTCGTCGAGCAGAAATACGCCTCAGCGCAGCTTCAACTGTTCAGTACAGATCACGATGGTGGCAAGTGTATTCTCTCAACATGGTTCTTGGAATGCTGCAACCAGGGCAATTCCGGCTCTGCGCTTCCTTGAAGTCTATACTAAGAAGGTGGACGCGATTGACATCACTGGCCCGTTCCATAACTGGTATGCACCAAGTGCCAGATTCTATAATAGCAACGGAACTGTGTACAATGGTGGACAAGAAATCTGGTCGTGGATAGGGGGGCTCTTTGGACCATTTGTCTCTGTCTATCACGACAACAAAATCATTCGCCTATTTCCGGCCTCGGAAATGGAAGCTGCTTCAGATAGGGACGCAAACTGGATCATGATTGATACAGAAACAGCGTTCAACATGAGCGGTAAACTCGCTGGCTCCGATCCTATTGTTGTACCTCGTTTCTTGATGTTCCTAGTTGGAAAGAGCGAAGTGGAAGGACAGGGGACTGATGGATTACAGATTCTAGAGGCAAAGGTCTGGTGGGATACCGCGGTGGTGCAACAGGAGGTAATCAGGAGGCAACTGAAGCTTAGTAGCGAAGAGTAGGAACGTCTCTTGGTACGCAGAGACACACCAAACTATTCCGATCGATTCCATGCCAAGGCCGCCGAGAACTCTCAACTCAATTTGGTTCTCGAGAATAGGCAGCTGGCAAGGTTACCTGAGCCCGTGACACATCTTATACTGAGCTATTTCTTTTCAAGTCTAAAATAGATTACAGGTGTGAAATCCATAATCATAAATCTGTCAGTGCTTTAGAGACTCAAGACAGCGGTTCTGTTCCAATCCAGAGCGGTTTGGAAGTACAAATAAGTATATTTCCCTGGAAGTCTTGGAAATCACAACCTGCTTGGATATATCCGACACCCACGGCATCAACAGATGATCTATTTATAGAGTGTCAGTAACTGAAGCGTCTTGGATAATCCAGAGCGGTCACCTACGAATTACTGCAAGCCCAGTGTTGCGTGACGGTGAGAATATCAAGCTCTGGGTCGAAGCTAAAGTCAGCACTGGTGGCCGGGTCTCCAGTTGCTGTCACGTTGCAGCTCCCCTGAAATGAGGAGTTCCCTTTGGTCAGTGTTGAGCAGCGAAACACGTCGCCTCCGGCCATATTTTTCAGTGTAAATGATGGCCCTGAGTCTTGTGGAGGCGGTGTTGTAGATCCAGGGGCTACCGATCCAGGGTTCATCTCGTAACTTCGTTGCCAGTTCTCGAGCTGCCAAGACTCGTACCGCGTGGAACTATACGCGCATGCTGTGCTCGGATCTAAGTGAGATGCTTTCGTGTTGGTGTTGAATGTCGCGGGCGTTTTAAGAGCGCAGTGATTAGTTGAGTCTGCATCTGTTGTGCAATTCATGTCTAGGTTGACAGTGCCAATTGCTAAGGCATCAGATCTGAATCTCGACTTAGTTATTAGCCCTATAATAAAGAACAAAGCGAGCCGTTCCTAGTCAGAAGGGGTCCATACCCTGCTGCATCAGAACAGTTGAACGTGTGAGCCATATACATTGTTCGCTTTGCCCAGTCCAAAGCAAATGATGTAGTCGTGTCTTGTGTCGGCCCATTACCGGTCCAAATGCAGTCACTCCACACGATGTTACTACCACCATCATACCATCCGGCCCACGCCTCTGTCCATTGTGCATTGCATTCGAAAAGAGTTGGCGAGTTTCCTGGACTTATGCTGATCGCTACAGTTGCAAGTCCATCGGCTTTATCTGGGTCAGGACCATCAAATCGTGCGTCGTTGATTTTCCAAGCATAAGTTGTATTCGTCGAGGGCCCGCAGACTCGGGCAGCTCTTCCTACAGTGAGGAGCAAAGATGTGGCGATGACGCCAAATAGAGTCTTTATCATGGTGAGGACGTGCAGGACGCGTTATTAAGACCACACAGGCTTCCACATTATGACGAAAGTAAGAGTATCACACACAAAATTCGATGAGTGAGCTGCAGAGTTTTTAGAGAGTAGAGCACCTGTGTCGGAGCAAGACGTCGCACTTCTGTTGTATAAGCCGGTAATTAGCCTTCTTAACCGCCAGTGGATGATCATTACAATCGAAGAGGGGAGCTTGCTTGGCTGTGTATGCTACGGGTTTTGGCTAAACTTCAAGATTGACTTAACACAACATCAGGCATATCCATTTCTTTGGTAGCTACAATATAACACGAACAACATGAATTGCCATAACTACAAGAAGTGCTTGCATCTAAGTCAAAAAGAATGGCGCTCAGGCGTGAAAGCTTTAAAACAGGTGAGAGTTAAGTGGCAGCCTTTTTTGAAATGGCGTCAGCGATGTTCAAGTTGCTATAGTTCTTGTGGTGATCAATTGCCGAAGATATTATGTAGCCTCAGCCGACTGCCGTAGATATACAATCTTATCCCGATATAAGGCAAGGATGCAATGTGAAGTTCGAGCATGTACCGAACGACATGAAGGATGCATATATAATGATATATTGCACATTGATTAAACTATAGATGATCAACGGATGGCGTCCGTTTGAGTGTGGTATCAGAAAATGGGTTTATCTAGAGGTTTCTGCTATGCATTCTGCGGAACGTAACTTCGAAAGAGTTTGTTGCTTAGTTTACCAGCCTATCTCAGTGCGACGACCATTGCAACGATTGACTAATATGCTCGCGATGCTGGGCAAAGCCTTCATCGTAACGCTGTTGGCGCAGCATGGTGTCTCTCAAATGATACGTTTTGGGTGCTCGCAGCTCGTTATTGAGCGTCTCGACCCGTTGGTAAACCCAGGCCAGGACACTTCACCTCATACGCATCAAATTGTTGGAGGCAACTCCTTCAATGCATCCATGGACCCAGCAAGGCACGACCTTGTCAAAGACTCAACATGCACGAGCTGCACTTTTTCCGAGGATTTCTCTAATTATTGGACAGCAGTCATGTACTTTCGGGCACGCAATGGAACATATAAACGCGTGCCTCAGTTCCCGAATGTCGGTCTGCGTGGCGTTGGTGGCATTACAGTGTACTACATTCCGCCATATGATGGTAAGACGAAAGTGACAGCTTTTAAACCTGGATTTCGCATGCTTGTAGGAGATGCCGTTCTTCGTACGTCACAGGGAATGCAACGACAACTCTGTCATCGCTGCTTGACAGCGGATCTCGATCGAGGTGGTGCACCCTGCACGGGTACAGATTCCCAGCAATTCCCAAAGGGGTTTTGCGGCGGTGGGATCCGTACAACAATTACTTTCCCCACCTGCTGGGATGGAAAGAACACAGATAGCCCGGATCATAAAAGCCACGTTGCATACCCAGTGAACGGCAGCTTCGAGTCAGGGGGTGATTGCCCGGATACTCATCCTGTCAAGCTGCCGCAGCTGATGTACGAAGTTATGTGGGATGTAAGTAATGAGTAGATAGATCTGAGATCGGATTATAGCTCGCTAACATCATGTTGAATAGACGGCGCGATTCAACGATCCGGATCTCTGGCCTGAAGATGGTTCTCAGCCATTTGTCTGGAGTACTGGTGATGCGTATGTTAACCTCAGTTTTTTGACATTTGGTTTTAATATTAAATCTTGATCATATAGGAATGGGTATTCACAACACGGCGACTATGTGTTCGGTTGGAAAGATGACAGTCTTCAGCGTGCACTAGATGCTCGCTGTGCGAATGCGGTATGCGGTCAGCTGAAGACCCAAACCTCCGAAGAAGCTATGAAATGCACGCTACGTCAAACTGCTGTAGAAGACGTAGACGGATGTGAGTTGCAGCTTCCTGTGCTGCAATTATCCAACAGTGACCAGCTAAACATCTGTTAGGGCTAACCGAGATCCCCGGCAATCCCATAATGCAATAACTGCCTCAATTCTCCTCCAAAGTCGATGGTGGCCTAAGTCACTTATACAAGCCGATTGTGCAACTCAATAGACTATTGGATGTTCTCCGAGAAGGACAATACTCTTGCTTAAAACAGCTTGTCAGACATAGGACCGAATCACACATTCTTGAGACGAATCAGTATACTCTTTTTATTTTAGCTTGTTTACTCTTATTAATTCGTGTTTACCGTATCGTGTGGTGTTTTAGAGTCTAATTCTATGAACCCTTAACCGTAATATGCCATGCGCCAACCGATGCTATGCTGATGCTAAAGAAAACTGCCAATGCTGTCTGCAGCCCCGGAAGACAGTAGAACGCCGCAAGATACTTCACTACCGATCCTGCTACAATGCCCATCCAGACAACGAAGAACCCTGTCTCAAACCATGCTTTTCGCAAACTGTCCCTTCGTGCTCTTTCACCGCTTGCCCGCATTGTTGTCCCCCAACCGTCAGCGGTGAGAGTCAGCATGCTCCAAACTTGTACAGCAGGAAGTGGAACATAGTAAAAGAAAATGCCAGGAATAACCCAGCGTAGCGAGTGTCTGTTAAGTCGGTCCGGGTTTCTCAGAAGATTGTAAAAACATCCCACTATTACTCTCAAAGCAAGATCGAGGACTGAGAAGGCGAAGAGTTGTTTTGATGTAAAGAAATAATAGATGATAGCAATGGCTCCAATGGCAGGGCCAAATTCCCGTTTAGCCATGCCATAGAAGAGCAAGGGGTTGCTGATGGCATATACACGTGGTTGAAGGAGAGATTCGATATGTGTTGCTCGAGCCCACCGTACCTGCTGTTTAAGCCATCTTGACATGGTAGTCGGGGTATCTGTTGCGGTGAGAGTGTCTGAGGCATAGATTACTCGCCACCCGCGAAGTAGCAAATTTGTTGTCAAGTGTCGGTCCTCGTTGACAATCTACAGGCCATTAGTAATTTGTGAAGACCAACGACTCTGCTGATGCTTACCATTCTCTTTCCAAAAACAGTCTGAAGATACCAGGGTACGAGAACAGCTGGGAGAGCGGCGAGTCTGAACGCTGTGCTTGGACCGCTTTGACAATCACTCGTTCCCGTACAAGCAGGCGTAGAGCGTGTCAAGTATAATTCGCCCCAATATACTGTCGCCGCAAGATTTGTCACAGCTGTTTCATCAGCATTGTGAACGATCAACCCAGAGCTTGCACCACCAGCAGTAGGGTCGCCTGCAATCGTGTTAATTGTGCCTTCGAGGGAATCCGGGAAGACAATTGTGTCCGAGTCAGATGACCAGAGAAATTCGACTCCTAGAATATCTGCAACGACAAGAGAGAAGACAAAAGTCGTAAACATGATGCCTTTCTTGTGCATATGGCGCTGCTTGATGCAGAGCTGCTTAATGCCACCAGGAGTACCAAATGATACTTTGTGCTGTCTCAGTATGCTCTTCGCAAGGTCTATGCAATATTGCATAGCTACCTTGTCTGCCTCTACCTCGGTCACGGGCTGACCATACTGTTTCTGCATAGCGATCGTCTTTTGTTTAACCTTCTCAGCAATCTCGCCAAGTGGCTCAGGAACTTGTATCACTTTGGAATTGCTGGGAAAGACCTGAGGTGAGGTTAGTATTGGCATGCGCTTGCCTGCGACGTGCTGAGTTCTCATGGGTGAACTAAGAAATTTACCTTGTTGAAAACATTTATCATATCTTGATCCTCGGTTTCGTCTCCATCAATGCCGGCAAGCAGAGAAACGCAGCTTCTAGCAGACTTGTAGCTCTCTAGAGCTCGCTCGTACAAGGCAGGATCCTCTCTCCAACCCACCACAGCTGCCAGGCATTCCAACTTCGGAGCGACGGGTTGTACCTCCAAGTCGATCTTCTCCCAGTCACATTTTTCATCGATATTACTGTACTCTCGGTGACGCTGCTCATCATAAAACTCTATGCGTCGTCCTTCGACGACGAAGCGATTGAGTTCAGTCAAGGCGATAGTGATAAGGATATCCAACGTGACCGGGTATCGACTATGTACTGTTGTGAGATAGTAGCAAGGAATTGCCAGTAAGCACCCGAAAATATTGAGAAATTGGCGGAATGGCGAGACGTGCCGGCCGTAGGCCGGTGCATCCCCGAGATCGGCATCCCGGCCGGGCCCGTCTTCGGGCTTGATCATTGGGCTAGCAGGGCAGGGAATCCAAAGGGAGCACGCGACAAGAACGACGATCGAGTCCAGACAAAGGACGAAAAGTGCAAATCACGACAATCTTGTCGAGGGTTTTATTCCTTCCCCTAATGAGGAGCCACACGGTATACAAGACTTGACTCGGCCCGCTCTCGCCGTGGAGGCATCCCAAGAGAGGCTAGAAGCCTAGAGATCAGCCCAAGAAACTACCAAGCAGGTACACCCTGGCCAACCAATCTTAAAGACTTTATGCTCGAATTATCATGAGGATCGCGTCTGGGTCAATAAGGGGACCAGGGGGTGGATCCCAGCATCTCGCTAAGCCACACCGTTGGTCCCGTGTTTCTTAACTGGTCCAGGGTGACTGCATAGAAGACCGTTGCATCGTGCCCCGGATAGTTCCCGTATTTTAGGCGGCAGCCACTTAACGCCCGCAACGCTCCGGTGCTGACTCAAGAGAGGCTCGACACGGCAAGATGTCACAGGAGCGGCACAGTCGAATCGCAAGAGTGTAAGGCTCGTAATAAAGCAACTGAAGATGTGCGTGACTAGATCTCACTGCTTGGCTGTTCCTCCAGTGAGATTTCCATCCAAGAATAAGGGGCTCGGCGCCGGAAATATGCACTCCATGGAAAATTTGCAGCCAGTCCTCTGGTGAATGAGCCCGGGCGCTATTCAACCCCACCACTCACCAGAAGCCAAGATGCATCCTGGGACGCCAGGCCGGCTAGCCCTAGAAGCCATTCGCGACCCCTGAAGCTCGTATCAGGTTTTGCTCCTCAAATTGAAGAGAAGTTGAGGCTCTATTTCTGTAATGACACTAGCTAGATCTCCCCCCTGGATGACTGCCTAATCATCGGCCCTCTTCCAGGGCAGATTGAAGACTGGGTCAAGCGCCGTGCAACAGAGACCGAGTCTCGCGTCTTTGCACGGCTTGAATCTTCATTGTCCTCAGACTTCCCTTTCTTCTTCCCGCCCTCTCTGTTCGGACTGCCTTCCTGTTCAACGTTGTTTCTGTATGTCTGTCATACACCTGAAGCGTTGTGCGACATGATTGTCACGTACAAGAATAATCGGCTGGTCCCGGCGATCATTATCACCGTTTGTATCTGGCTCTTCTACTGCCTCATAGATCCGACAGTGAACAATCTGGGCACAGTGATAGAATGGCAATCCGGGAAAGACCTGGGTTCTGATATCGTTTCAAATGCCATACCATCGGACTCAACCGAGGTGCCAATTGCCGAGCCGACACATGCTGCTGTCCCTATACCACCGCACCAGGCTGGGGACAGACTTTCTTCAGAAGATGTCCTGCTTATCATGAAGACAGGCAGTACATCGATGTGGAAGCGTCTACTAGTCCACCTGCCTACGACTTTTTCAGAAGATCGGATCAGCAAAGACAATCTCGTTATTTATTCCGATTACCCAGAAACAGTCGGGGACTTCAGCATCATCGACGTTTTAGCGAACACGTCGGAAACTGCTAGGGCCAGATCGGACTTCGAGGTCTACCGCACCCAGGTCGAGTTTGCGAACAACAACGTGTACGCCGAATCTGCTGGTGTGGCAGGCGACAATTATGGACCGCCTGGTGGTTGGGTCATCGACAAGTACAAATTCCTTCCTCTCATCCAGCATGCTGGCGAGAATTGGCCGAAGGCAAAGTGGTATATCTACATGGAGGACGATGCCTATCTGTTCCTTCCAAACGTCCTAGCCTATCTATCGACTTTCGACTGGCAGCAGCCTCACTACCTTGGTAGCTACGCCGCGAAATCAGATGTCGTGTTTGCCCACGGCGGCGCTGGATTTGCGCTGTCGAGGGGCGCATGGGAGCAATCATTTGGCCGCAACCCCAACATGGCCGAGGACTTCAATCAGTACACGGCTGATCACTGCTGTGGTGATCAGGTTCTGGGTCTTGCTCTTAACAAGTACGGGGTACGATTTGGTGAAGAGAACGGAAACGAAAAATTTACCTGGGGGTTTAACCCTGTAGTTCATTGGAACTTTGGTTTCAGCAGATGGAACTGGTGTGATCCCTTGCTATCTTGGCACAAAGTGCACAATCGCGATGTAGCAAGATATTTCAAATTGGAGAAGGGCTGGAATTTCACAGTATGTACTACCTTTAATAAGCGCATATTTCAACCCATGGCTAACCCCGAATTACTAGAAACCGCTACGTCACTGTGACTTCTTCAACGAGATGATTGCACCAGCTCTCCAGAAACGGATTGAGTGGTGGGACAATCAGTCCGAGCTCTTCAGAGTCACCTCCGCAAACAAGGAGGCTCCGCCCACCCCCGAGGGCAAGCACAATAACGCCCTCTGGAAGCAAGCGTGGCAGTCTGTCGATGCTTGTGAAGCCGCCTGCAGGGGCTGGGCTGAATGCGTGCAGTGGAGCTATGTCGAGGACCTGTGTAGGATGGACGACAAAGTGCTTATGGGCCAGGGTTACGCGCCAACCATGTCAGAGAGGAAAACTGCTCTGATGACTACAAGCGGGTGGTTCAAAGAAAGACTCGACAAATGGCACTGTGCTTAGCGACCTTTCATCAAAGCACTTTGTGGTGGCGGGAAATCTGCGATAGGCGTTAATGGTATATGGAAGTGCATGACTTAGACGGCGTACAAATTGATGGTATCATTAGACTGGAGTCAGGGGCAGACAACCTGGAAGGTGAACATAGCAGGCAAGCAGAGCCAAGCTAGTGTTTGGTATTGTCATTCAGGGGGGAAATCCTAAGCTAACAAAATAAATAATGTCCTCCGAGAGACGTATGAGAGTCTTGCATTACCTTAAATTGTCATTATATCAAGCTTTCGTGCTGCGGCGCAGGCGGCGTTGAGAATAAGCTTATCTATCGCCAGGAGACGGCGTTTGGAGCCTGGTACGCGGGCGCATGCTGATCCGCTGTGCCATACGACTCGTCCGCCAGCACGGCGGACCGGAGCCCCACAATTCCGGCGCCGGCAACGGTGAGCGTCATGCCCACTCCACTGTAGTGACGCGGATGACAAACCTGGCATGATCTGTTCATGGGCTTCTATACTACTGATTGTCACTCTTTCAGGAGTAAAAGCGGAATCAAACGCAGAAACACGACCAACCAAAAAATATATAAGATGTCATCCTCGAGTCCGCTCTCTTGACTGCAAGATGAAGATTGTCACCAACAATTCCTACTTACGCGGCATTGTGAGCCTTTTTAATGAATACCCCCCTTGAAACTCTTGAGTACTGTGAAAGCTCAGGCGTTATGGCTTCAGCTCCTCCATATTTGATATTTGGTAGCGGACTCACTGGCAGTGAGTCCTCCGAGTTTCATACTATCAAGGATGTTGAGCATCTACTTGATGAGCTTCAGCGGCTCAGTATCAACCACCTGGACACGACACCTCGTCATCCTCCCGGGCACAATTATCTCGCAGAGACGCTCTATGGGCAAGCTGGTGCCTCTAAGAGGGGATTTATCGTTGACGGCAAAAACTTGCTCGACTCTCGCGACCACTCTGGCAGTCTTGCTCCTGAATCTGTCAGAGCGTCCATTTTGGGCAGTCTTCAACGTTTGAACTTGGACAAATTTGAGACTTTCTATGCGTACACTCCAGACCCAACCACGCCTATTTATGAACAAGCGTCCGTGATGGATGAGCTGTTTCGAAAAGGCTTGTTCTCGAAACTCGGACTGTCGAATTTCCCTGCAGAACTTATTGAAAGTTGGATTGCCGTTTGCGAGGAGAACGGATTTGTCAAACCGAGCGTCTATCAAGGTCAATACAACTTGATTTGTCGCGGTGTCGAGGACTCTCTATTCCCACTGCTTCGCAAACACAACATGCAGTTTGTGGCTTACAGTCCTCTCGCCGGTGGTTTCCTGTCGGGGAAACTGTCGGCAGGTCAGACGGAAGGGACCAGGTTCGACGGCAAAAATCCAGCAGGGAACTTTTTCGCAAGCCTTTATGATAAGCCACAGTTTCATGACGGTATACGGACTCTTTCCGAGACACTTCGCCCACATGGGATCGGACTACCTGAGGCTGCAATGAGATGGTTGTGTTTTCATTCTGCGCTTACACCCGAAGATGGTATTATCATTGGCGCTTCAAAGATCTGGCATCTGGAAAAGAACGTTGGAGATATCAAAAAGGGATCACTTCCACCTGATGTGCTCAACTGTATTAATGATATTTGGCGGGCTATAGCTGATCACCAATAGTCTATATAAGTAGACATCCACAAAATTCATGGTAGATTCCAGGATAATCCGATGCGGTGACAATATCATGCCTTGTAACTTGTAAGACATGCCGAGCGGCATCACTCGGCGTGGCTCCGGCTTACATGACTAAGCTGGATACTGTATTGATGTATGCAGCAATCGAGGCTTCGCACTAACCAAGCTCAAGCCCCACCACAGCCAAAAAAGTTCATTTTGGCCCGCGATCTCTAGAGAGCTCCTTCACTGGTGGAAACAGTCGAGTTATTCCGCACCGGACATTCGTGGGTCTGCTTCCTTGAAGCTGTCAAACATAGCAAGCTATAGATTCAGACGGACTTTCGAGTTGTTTATATCAACATGCCGCCCAATCCATACCTCCTCGCTGCAGACAACAGCCCCGCGCTGCTGCCCCTCCTCCAAGAGAATCCTGGCCTCGCATCCCGACAAGACGAGCACGGCTACTCTCTGATCCACGCCGCGGCAAGCTACAATCACCTCGATCTACTACGAAGCCTTGTGAAGGACTTTAGCGTGCCCGTCGATTTGCGCGACGAAGACTCAGAGACCGCTCTTTTCGTTGTTGAAACAGCCGAAGCCGCTAGGGTGCTGGTAGAAGAGCTAGGCTTGGATCCCAAGATAACTGGGGACGATGGATTGACTGCGCGGGAAAAGATTGAACAAGAGGGGGACTTCCCTGAAGTCGCAGAGTATCTGAAGAGTCAGGAGACGGCGGGAGCAACAAACGGAATTACCGTCAATGGCACAGATGTGAACGTCGCCGGTGATCTTCCACCAGTACCTGAAGGCCTCTCGGTGAGAATGGGTGCAGTGACTGAGCCAGATGATGATATCGCACCGCCTCCCAATCCAGAGCTTAGAAGAAGGATCGACGAGTTGGCGGCCAGAGAGGATTTCCACACCGAGGCTGGCCAAGCCGAGCTGCGACGATTGGTGGAGGAGGCAATTGCTGGGGAGAACCTAACCGAGGATCGCAACGTTCGTGCAAGACAAGGTTGAAAGAGTATGCGGATCACTCGTGACCTTTGATCTCCCACAGCAAGTATTCACCGGCCGACTTTGGCGGTCGGAGGACTGTGCGTTCAGCGTTGTCTCCAATGAAGCCCCTGGAAAACTCAGATGTCGATAACGAAAACCACGACTGGCTCGGAACAGCGCGTATAATGTCGATGAGCGTGTTGCGAGACCAAATTGGGGAAACAAGGCCCTGCCATGAGATCCTGCAGAGCTTTTGCTTCTGGTCTTGATCAGGATTGCCGGGCACTTGGTAGCGACTTATGAATGGATCCACACTGTCCTCGGGAAGCACGCGAGGACTTTGGAGACGCAGTAAGGACACCCATTCATATATCTCCGTTGCAAAGTCCTCGAAGTCGATTCGAGAGTGATCGGTAAGGAACTCTGTCGGAGGCTTTAGGAGAGGCACCATGGCATGCAGCTCAGCCTCAATCTGCGGCTCTATAACATGCCTCGTGGCCCCGAAGGCTAGAATGGGATCCGGATCAGGGGCTTATGAAGTTAGCAATGAATCATGGACAATGAGAGTCTTCTCACTCTTTGTGGATAGATTGCAGAATAGCCAATTGACAGGACTGTTAAGCACATTCTTGCAGGCATAGACAAGCCTGTCAAATCCCTTCTTTCCCTTGAACATTGATGGGCTGCGAAGGTTGAATTCGACAATCCATCGCGGTTTGAGGCCCCGGTTACCCTTGACACCGTGTGGCTCGCCTAATAAGCCTGCCCGCTCATATGTTTCCTTTTCAAGATACATTGTGAGCTTTCCTGCAGAATATGAGCCTGGTGATCAATTTCGAGGGAGTCAAATCACCTACCATCTTTCAATGTGAAGACGGTGTCGGCATTTATCCTTCCTTCGGACAGCATCATGACGTTTCCTATGTAAGATCTATCAATTCACGGAGCTCTGAGAATGCTACGCCGAGTTAGAATTTACCAATTTTGATGTATTCTGTGAAAAAGTCGCCTTGCAGAAGCTCGTCGACCGTCATGGTGACCTTGTAGAATTCAGGGGCATTGCCGGATTCTACAAGCTTTTCGCGTATCGCGGGCCATGAGTCTTGAGGAATGATCAAATCCACCTACCTTTCTGGTCAGCATGACAAAATATTAGAAAACAGACCATCAATGACAAAAACATCTGCCGCAGACATCCTCATTCATTACTGACCTTGTGCACAAAGTTTTGGTTTAGCAGAGCATTCCACGGCTTGCCTTTGGACGGTGGCTGCTTTGGGTCCGGATGCCCCATCGTGCCGTAAGTGAAGAAGCATTTTGACGCCTCATAGACCGTCGGCGTTGTGAATGAAAGCATACTGGCCCCTGTTTTCCAAACACCAGTCAGGGTGCTGTCTTGGGCTGTTCACACAACCTGTTTGCTGGTGTTGTAGGACGCGGGAGTGTTTGTTGAAGAGTAGGCCCCTAGCAGAAAACCACCAAACTTTGGCAGACTCGTTTACACTTGGGGTGAAATTAGCAGTAAGGCCACACCTTGAGCAGGCCTTGAGAATGGCTAGCACGCCCTTGCGAGACGTTTTTTTAAACACCCCCTAGCGTGCAACTAATTAATCCAGGTAGCACCAATGACCGCTCAAAAAAAGCTCGAAAATTACTGCATCCGCTGAAGAGACTCATATCCTCAACAGCGTTTTAACAGCATGCTTTTTCTCACCAAGATTGAGTAGAAGACAATCCGGCCCTTTATTCTCTCGAGAGAAAATGGGGGTCTCAAGACGGATTTTATCACATAGAAGGCAGAAGAAAAAAATAACACACTGCTTCGAGAGCCGTCAAAATGGAGTTTCTCATTCGCCTAACCCAGGCTCATGAGTCCTTTCGCTTACCTGAGATCGAGGCACTCGCGGAACAAGAAGGCATACCAATTTCAGTACTGGAATATAGCCTAGATGTAAGCACGTCATTGCGAGGCGAATGCCTTAAAGTCCTTTGTCTGGTCTTCGCCTGTATGAATGCTCATGCTGTATAGGCTCCTTACTGTATTATCACAGCGCCATCTGTGGAGGATGCCATGAGGCTGGTTCGCAGATCTATCTTGACACATCATGTCTACGAATACTGGGGCAGCGGCAACACCCTGGAAGAGCTCAAGGCGAGCATGGTGGCCAAGTCCCAGCATCTCTGGGACAAATACGAAGAATGCTCGTTCAAGATCCACATCGACTCTTATCAAGGCAGGCGATCGTCTGCGTCTCGCATGCAGACCATCAACTTCCTCTCCTTCCTGGGCTTCAAGGGTCCTGTCAAGATGTCGGGTGCAGACCAGGAATTCAAGCTCTTCGAGCAGTGGGCATTTGACGCCATGGTTTCCGGCGCAGAACACCCTCTGCGTTACCACTTTGGGCGGCAGCTTGGCGGCGCCTCTCGCGAGATCATCAACAAATACGACCTGAAGAAGCGGCGCTACATCAATACTACGTCCATGGACTCGGAACTCGCCCTCATCACGGCAAACATGGCCCTTGCGGCGCCGGGAAAGCTGTTCTACGACCCCTTTGTCGGGACGGGGAGCTTCCCGATTGCATGTGCTGAGTTCGGCGCGATCACTTGGGGCAGCGACATTGACGGTCGTGCTGCCAGGGGCGAATACAATAAACTCCAGGGCAAGGGCAAGTCCAAAGCCGAGATGTCGCTGAAAGGCAACTTCGAGCAGTACGGGCTGCTTTCCGGGCTGGGTGACATGTTCACCGCCGACCTGACGAACTCGCCCATCCGCCGGCACCCAATCGGCGCGGGCGGCGCGGGCGGACGCAGGCGCCTCTTCGACGGCATCATCTGCGACCCGCCGTACGGCGTGCGCGAGGGGCTGCGGGTGCTCGGGTGCCGCGACGCGGAGAAAAGGCCGTGGATCGTCGAGGCGGGCAAGGAACGGTACAAGGAGCCCGACTTCGTCGCCCCCAAGAAGCCGTACAGCTTCCACGCCATGCTGGACGATATCCTCGCCTTCGCCGTGGAGACGCTGGTGGACCGCGGCAGGCTGTCGTTCTGGATGCCCACGGCGAACGACCAGGAGCAGGAGATCGCCGTCCCGACGCACCCGTGCCTGGAGATTGTGTCGGTGTGCACGCAGCCTTTCAACAAGTGGTCGAGGAGGCTGATAAATTACCGGCGCCTCCCGGATGATACGGTGAACGAGGATGATCTGGCGGCCTGGAAAGTCAAGGCGGAGCGCCGTCATGAGGGCGTAACAGCGGACGAGCTCAACCCCTTCCGGAAGGGGTATTTCAAGAAGTTCGTAACGGAGGAGGAAACAAAACAACAGCCTCAAGTTGACGGGAAATGACACTAAAGGTGATGATCCCGTATCTATATCAAAGTTCCCTTACGTTAGATGTGGCTCCTTGACATCGTTAGACATGTGCACCAAGATGTTAGCAGGCATCCTAACTGCGCCCTAAGATGGACGAGGCAGATCATTTCAGAAGCTCAGAGATCTCAGCATGCAAAATCATTTAGCAGCATTGCATTATAAAGGGCCAATAATGGTTCCCTGGGACTATAGACTCCAAACAGAGTACAGCGAATGAATTCATATTCAAACTACCCGAACACCATCCCATGAGAGAATGGCTAGAAGCACGATGCCTAACCGTTGAATAATAGGTGCCCGGTTGTTTACAGTGTCAACTCCTTATGCAATCTGGATTGCTGCTTGGCCCGTCCAGTTCCCGCTTTTGCTTCAATTCAATATTCCACCAGTCCTATGTCAATTAATTAACACTACGTCTCCTTCAGCAAATGTAGCCACGCAACAAGCAGTCAATATCACCGGAACTCCATTGCGCTGAAACAGCCCCTGTCCTCGATATGCTTTAACTCAAGTTGTTGGAACCTAAAGTTGAATTAGCGCTCTATTCTTAAGCCGGCTTCCTACAGCGGTAATGGCTGTAGAGAACTCCAGAGATGTCCAAGACTCACTTTTCGCTCTTACTGTGGAAATATATTCCATTCACCTCTCCCTTGATCTGATTGAAACAGATATAATAGAACCCTTCGAAACTGGCACCGTTGATCGTCCTGACTCGGTGATCGGGGACGAGAAAGTGTTCTTTCCAGCGCATGAAGATGTGCTCGCGTTGTGCAACGTCCTTGATGGCAATCGAGGAGCCCTTGCGGGCTTGCTTCGAGAAGGGTCGGAAAGCAGGAAACTTGGACCAGTGTGAAAAGTCGATCTTGTCGCTTGCGCCCCAGGTATCGTGTTTCGTGACGAAGCCATACTTTGTCCCAATTATCTCTCCCTCGAAGTACGTAGTTAGGGTTGGATGGTCTTCTGTCAGGCCTGGAGAAGCTGATTAGACTTGAAGTGAAAGCGCACAATGGGGACCAAAAGAACTGACCCTGGATCCTTAAATATCCGCACAAAAAGGATTCTCTTAGATCCACATGTTTAATCTCAACTTGGACATCATATACCTGTCGTTCAGATTGTTGTGTGCCATGGAACCGACTGCCTGGCCGGAGGTACGATGATGGGGAGATAGGAATGACCTTGGATGAAACATTAGCACATCCGTCTTAGAAGAGCCTGGCGTAGACTTCTGGGATGCTTTGGCATTACATACTCTCAGATTTGAAGTGTCGTAGCCCACCATGGGCATGTCCTCTTCCCAACGATACTCTTGACCGCCGACGGGAGAGTAATCAATCTTCTCAGACTCGGCATTAGCAGATGTCATGACGTCTGGACGCCCGCTGATACGCCGCCTCGCTATTGAGCCTCTACTGTCTGTTCTCGAATTTCCCTCTGATGATATCTGGGGTGTGTATTCGTCATCTGTCTCGGATTGTTTCTGCGACTCTTCAACTCCCCTCAGGCTGATGGAGCCGGTCTCCAATATTGGCCCATCTCCATGTGATTGTGGCTGCGGAGACAGGGTCGTTGATCGGGATGCGCTCTCATCTTCGGGGCTTGCCGGGTGGTGAGACGGTGACAATTGTGTTGGAGCCATGTCTCTAGCACTGGCATAGACTGGGGGATCCGGTTGCCAACTTGATGGAGAACGGGGTGTCTGTTGTTCTTCTGGGTCTGGACATGTTGATGCAAATGTGTAAGACGGCTCCGGGTTGGGAGCAGATGGTGTGGGCATGGTCGGCGATCGAAGTCGAGGTGTGCGAGGATGGTCGAGTGAGATGACTGTCGTATGTATATACAGCCGCAGGAGATCGTGCGGTGCAATGGAGATGTTCGCTTGCGACGAGGCAAAGAGACCTTCGTGCGAATGTAGGCGTACGACTGAATCAATTCGAGGCGAGAGTCGTAGAAGCGCAATGAGCCTTGCCGCAACTGGAGCAGTCGTTGCCAATGTCCAAAGCGATGCGCGATAAAAGCAAGGGTATCAAGAGAAGAAGATCCTTGGGGAACGTGTCGAGTATCGCTGTGTCGGGATGAATGCCGTCGAGAAAAGGCGAACCGGCGCTGGAGGGAATTACATCAACACCATCGCTCGGTCGATCAACGTGAGCCCACACCGCGAGAATCGTGAGGCGGCTTAGAACGGGGCCACCATGCGTCGACGACGACGGCTAGAAACTAAGATACTCGTGTAGCCGATGAAGGATTGCGGGTATTTGCAACAATACTGACTGTGCTGTACTGAACTGAGATGCAGCACGATCGATGTTCCGCAAATCGTGGCGATGTAGTGATGTGCGTGCGAGCGATCGGATCGTGTGTGACGGACGGACGGGACGATACGGTGGACGGTGGACGGTGGGTGGGCAGTTTGAAGGCCTGTGATCGGTGGCCGATTGTGTTGATAGCGGATGGTTACCGAAGATTGGTGGATGGGCAATGACGACTTTTGGTTGCGGTTGATCAGGTGCCGACTGCTCGAGCGCACTAAATGCCGCCTGTAGGTGCAGGTGTAGGTGAAGGCTGTAGTGGCAGTGGCATCCACTGTTCCGGTACTGTAAATGGCGGCAGGGCCCTATGGTACCAGGTAGGTAGGTACTCAACTGAAAAGTGTCAACGTTTCGTTGAGTCCAACTCGTATATTGACAATATTACGTTAACATAGCCGCAGCGACTGCAGACTGACCGGACAAAAGTAAGGGGTTTCAGCCTTGACTGCCTTAGATCTGACCGAGAAAAGACAAAAGGTCAGAATTGGACGCCGACTATGGAAAAGTTGGTGATTGGGCCAATGCTGCTCCCAGGATTCTGGCCCAGCGCCGCCTGACACCCCTAGCGAGCAGGGTTAGATATTGAACTGCGGCCGGCATACTACCTGCCCAAGTGACTGTGCCACTCATCCATTCATGCCGCTCGGCCGTTGATGAGTCTAAATACATGTACATATATATCCAGCCCAGGTATCTTAGGGAGCCATTCAGCAGACTACACTACATTATAGGACCCGGGATCTGTTCAAGCACTTTGACGCTGAATTTATTATGCAAGTCTCTTCACATTCAAGCAGGCTTCATAGGCACAAGTTTTTATTGGGGGGTTTTTATTTGTTCAGGTAGCACCCTAATCAGTTATAACATTTCTTTCTGAGGTATTCTAGTTGTTTTGGCCACGCGCTCGTGGTCCTCCCAACCTCGGATGGAACCGAGTCTCTCGAGTTTATTTCGGGCCCCCCTTGCCTGCCCTGTCATTGCCGTGTCTCCACAGACACGGGAGGAGGAAAGGACAACAGCTTTCATTCCCACTGTTTGCAGCCCAAAAATCTTAGTCAGACTTCACAGGGGTTTGGCCGTTCTAAATGAGAGATGTACTCTGTGAAAGTGTAAGCCTGGTGACGTTGTTGAGATGCCTGTACCACTCGACGTACCTCTAGCCGTCTAGATAAAGGATGAGGCGACATAGGCTGAGCAAGCAGCACTGTGAGCCTCCATAAAAACCCAAACTTCTATCTCGATTACTAGCGAATTGGCATCTGCTAGTCGCCCGTCATAGATGAAGCATTCCTTTAGATCGGTTTAATTTTGAAGTGAAGGGCAATCAAGCTGAAGACGAGAGCCTTGAGATCTTGGACCAGATAGTAGAAAACACGCAAGCCCTCAGGATCAGCAGACTCCGTCACGTCGACGAGCGACCCGATCTTTGCAGTCTGTTTCACTGTATGTCAGCTATGATGGCCATCCCACGGCTCAAACGAAAGGCCCAGCTCTACACACCTCGAAATTGATATGCTCTCCACCGATCTTGATCTCGAGCTCCTGACGCCCGTCCTTGTTCTTCTGAGGCCAATTCTTGTCATCTTCCCTGTGGCGCGTGTTAAGAGACAACCATGTAACATCGGACAGCCGCAACATACTTCAGAATCTCGCTGGTCTTGATGATGCGCTTGATCTCGTCGATCACCAAGGAGCTGACATACACTGAATGACGAGTTAGATATGTGTGACTGGTTCAGAGGCTTGGGATGCCGTACTCTCTTTGCGGATCAGGCTGTCGTTTCGGTAGTTGGAATTGTTCGCATATCGCGCCATTGCGCTACGACCATCGCCGACCACTCGGAAGTCAAACTCTAGGGTGTAAAGTTAGTATGACAGGAGGCGTGATAGACGTCGAAGATTGTAGGTATCATACCCAGAAACTCATGACCGAATCGCCCTTGGTGACCGGAGCTGTGGACACAATGGTTAGATCTCTCTATGAATGGCTTGCTTGGTGAGCGCCTCCTACTAGTAGCGAATGTAAAAGGGCTCGTTCGACGACGCCATGTTCGCTCTTGTCACCTGGTGAGATGATGGAGAGGAAAGATGCGACTTTGTGGGGGAGGAGAGTTCCGAGGCGCAAAATCAAATGCCTTCTTTCGTCCACTATGAAATGGCCGGCGATGGGAGAGTTAATACTATCTAGGTAGAGCAGGGAGGTAGGCGGGGCACCAAGCTGTACTTTCCTGCCTCTCGGGATCTGAATTATTCCGCGCCGTTGAAAGTCGCGGTTCTGACACGTAATTGGGCTTCGCTTACTGTGCTGGGGCTGCTGGCTGGCCACTTGGCCGACCGCCTGCCCTGCAGATGGATGGGCCACCACCACATCCACACCCACACCAAAGCACACCGGCAGGCCAGATCTCAAGCGACATTTCGACTTTAGGCCAGTCTGGCAGTGAATTGCGACCTCGAAGCTCGGTGATGCCGCCCAGCTGCACTCTCCCCACTGCCAACACAATCACCCTGCTGAAACAGCATTAAAGACCCCGACTTGGACACAATTCAGACGGATTGGCGATTGACCGCGGCCTTGGGAGCCTCGCAGCATCCCACCTCGAAGAGCGGCAGCCCCTAAATTCAACCCCTCGACCGCCAATTAGCTCCTGCTGCTCTACAGCAGCAACAACCCGCCCGCGATGTCGTCGTTCCTCGAAAACGCCTACAGCTTGGTTCACCAGGACAATGCGGCCGATGTGCCCACCATGTCCGAGCTGCGTACGCAGCTGGAGAAGGGCACAGATGAGAGCAAGGTCGGCACGATGAAGACCATCCTGACCATCATGCTCAACGGCGACCCCATGCCGCAATTGCTCATGCACATCATCCGTTTCGTCATGCCCTCCAAGTCAAAGCCCCTGAAGAAGCTTCTCTACTTTTACTACGAAATCTGCCCGAAGCTAGACGCTCAAGGGAAGCTCAAGCAGGAGATGATTCTCGTTTGGTATGTCATAGCTGGCCCCCTATTTGCCCTCCCTTCCAGCAAAGCTAACTTCTGTGCGCAGCAACGGTATTCGTAACGATCTCCAGCACCCCAACGAGTACATTCGAGGCAACACTCTGCGCTTCCTCTGCAAGCTTCGAGAGGCTGAGCTCATCGAACCCCTATTATCCTCCGCCAGATCTTGCCTGGAGCATCGCCATGCATATGTGCGCAAGAACGCCGTCTTCGCGGTTGCTTCCATTTTCCAGCATTCCCCCTCCTTGATTCCCGATGCATCGGACCTCATCTTCACATTCCTCGAGACTGAGAGCGACCCAACCTGCAAGAGGAATGCGTTCGCTGCATTGGCTAGCATAGATCATCAAAAGGCGCTTGCGTACCTCAGCTCTGTGTTCGACGGGATCGCGAACGCCGAAGAGCTGTTGCAGCTGGTAGAGCTGGAGTTTATCCGCAAGGACGCTATTCAAAATTCACAGAACAAGGTATGCTGAAACTCGAACGTTGCCGAAACTTCGCTAACCTAACTCACCACAGGCTCGCTATTTGCGATTAATCTTTGATCTTTTGGAGGCTGGAGCATCGACTGTCGTATACGAAGCCGCGTCATCCCTTACCGCACTGACAAGTAACCCAGTGGCTGTCAAGGCCGCTGCCGCCAAATTCATCGAGCTAAGCATCAAAGAGCCGGACAACAATGTCAAGCTGATCGTCCTCGACCGTGTTGACATACTCCGAAAGAAGAATGATGGCGTTTTGGACGACCTCATTATGGAGGTTCTCCGAGTCCTCTCAAGTCCCGATATCGATGTACGAAGAAAAGCCCTTGGGATTGCGCTGGATATGGTGTCAAGCAAGAACGTCGAGGAGGTTGTTCTACTTCTCAAGAAGGAGCTGTCCAAGACTGTCGATCAGGAGTATGAGAAGAACACCGAATACCGCCAGCTATTGATTCACTCCATACATCAATGCGCCATCAAGTTCTCAGAAGTTGCTGCCAGTGTTGTGGAACTTCTGATGGACTTCATCGCAGACTTCAACAACACTTCGGCAGTGGATGTCATCAACTTTGTCAAGGAAGTCGTTGAGAAGTTCCCTAAGCTACGGCCGTCTATCGTTCGAAGATTAGTAGATACCCTTAGCGAGGTGCGCGCGGGCAAGGTCTATAGAGGCATTCTCTGGATTGTTGGTGAATACTCTACGGAGGAGAGCGACATTAGGGACGCGTGGAAGAGGATCAGAGCCAGCCTAGGAGAGATTCCAATCCTTGCTTCGGAGCAGAGACTGCTAGACAATGTCGATGGGGAGGAAGAAAAGGAGAAGGAGCAAGTTAACGGCCACCACAAGCCTGCTGCTCCTACCGGTTCAAGAAGAGTTCTTGCTGATGGAACTTATGCCACCGAGACCGCTCTTACCAGCCAGGCCTCTGCAGCTGCGAAACTTGAAGCTGTTAAGGCCGCACAGAAACCGCCATTGAGACAACTCATCCTCGACGGCGACTACTACCTCGCGACAGTCCTATCCGCGACTCTTACCAAGCTTGTCATGAGGCACGCAGAGATTTCGTCCGACAGCAAGCGGACAAACGCCCTTCGTGCTGAGGCCATGCTGATCATGATCTCCATAATTCGAGTGGGCCAGTCTCATTTCGTCAAGGCACCCATCGACGAGGACTCTGTCGACCGGGTTATGTCTAATGTCCGTGCGCTGGCTGAGTTCAGTGAACACAAGGAGCTGGAGACTGTCTATCTCGACGACACAAGGAAAGCATTCCGTGCCATGGTGCAGGTTGAAGAGAAGAAGCGAGCCGCAAAGGAAGCAGTTGAGAAGGCAAAAACGGCTGTACAGGTTGACGATGTCGTCGGTATCCGTCAACTCAGCAAGAAGAACATGGGTGACGGTGCCGATGAGATCGAGCTGGATCTCGAGCGTGCAACTGGTGGCGACTCCAGCGCAGCAGAGGATCTAAGCTCCAAGCTGAGCCGTGTTGTGCAGTTGACCGGATTCTCTGATCCCGTCTATGCTGAGGCGTACGTCAAGGTGCACCAGTTCGACATCGTGCTCGATGTTCTCCTGGTCAATCAGACCACAGAGACTCTACAGAACTTGTCAGTGGAGTTTGCGACCCTTGGAGACCTGAAGGTTGTCGAGCGGCCGACAACGCAAAACCTCGGGCCCCATGACTTCCACAACGTGCAATGCACCATCAAGGTGTCCTCCACTGACACTGGTGTCATCTTTGGCAATGTTGTATATGACGGTGCACACTCCACGGACACCAATGTTGTCATCCTCAACGACCTCCATGTCGACATTATGGATTATATCCAGCCCGCTACTTGCACGGAAACACAGTTCCGCACAATGTGGACAGAGTTCGAGTGGGAGAACAAGGTCAACATCAACTCGAAGGCAAAGACCCTACGGGAGTTCCTCGACCAGCTAATGCAGGCTACCAACATGAACTGCCTCACGCCAGAGGCCAGCCTGAAGGGAGACTGCCAGTTCTTGAGCGCGAATCTATACGCCAGGAGTGTATTTGGTAAGCTGACTCTCAATAATTTCCCTTCTGCAATACACACAGGACTAACATATCACAGGCGAGGATGCCCTAGCCAATCTGAGTATCGAAAAGGAGGGCGACGACGGGCCCATCACGGGCTTTGTCCGGATACGCAGCCGCAGCCAGGGGTTGGCGCTGAGCCTAGGCAGCCTCAAGGGGCTGAACAAGATCGGGACCACGGCTTGAGCGGGATTAATGACACTAGATCAAAACCAAAAGGGACGGGATCGGTGTGGGAGTTATGTCAGCTGCATAGATATGCCTATAGTAGTCAAGTAAATCGAAATGATGAAGTCGATGTCAACCATAACTGCACATGTGTCTAGGACGGCCCCTCAGTGGGAGAAGATCACGCATAGATTCTGGGCCTTCAACGTTGAATTATGATATAATATAAGGCTCGGACTTCTTCCATCTTCGAAACATTCTCTTAAGATGCTAGGCGGAATTCAAATTCCACGCGTCATCACCCACACCATGAGGTGGCTATCTTTCCCCGAAGGAAAGACCGTGAATAGAAATGGATATAATATTAATGTGATATATGATGCTTCTCCCCTCTCCACATTCATGCAAAGAATCCAGAGCATCGCATAGTCCAATGCCGACGAACGCCGTGGATGGTGTTGAAGCCAGTCGGTAGGATATACCTCTCATTGAGGCCATGTGAAAACAGGGGTACGAGCAGTTCAATGGAAGGACTGAGCCAGGGCCAATCGGTGTAAATATACGGGGAAGGGGAATAAGAAAGATTAGGGCAAGTGAAATTGCATATAAATGACCATGATGGGGGGTATCTCAAAATAAAATCATGAAGTGTCTCGTAAAAGGTATTGAGCCGATTGTAGGGCTTTCGAGCCCCCAGGACGCATTCTGGGAGTCCAAGCTCACCAGGTAAATAATTCCCTAGCTGAAACCATAGACAGATGGTGGAGAGAAGCATTGCCGACATCGATTAGCCGCCTCCCATGCTTTCGTTCCCGAAGTGAAATAGTTTCGTTTCACTACGTGAAGATCGAGCAGCAGCCAGTCAAGGCCACGAAAGGTGAGCCAAAGAGCAGTTGAACGGCACACGGCCACGATCACTAGCGGTTCAGAATGTTGCCCGATAATGGCGCGGCCAGAAAAGGACGCTGGAGACGGCGGCTGGAAAAGACGAACAAGCGTCCTACCGATGCTCGAACATGAAGGCGTTGACCACCTGGCCCTGCTTCCAGCCCTGTCCCTCTAAGGAGGCATTGTCCTTGAGGATCTTGCCCAGGTATGCTATGCGGATACCATAGTCGTGTCGGTGCTAGTACAGCGTAAGCAAGATGATCACTCTGTCGAAACTATATTGTAGCAACTTACCCTCGTCTCATCAAGGATCCTCCGGGCAATGCTTCTCACCGTCTCGTCCTTTCCCACCTGGAGCCGAAGGTCACGGCCCGTCTCGCTAAGCCTGACTACGACAATAACCTGGTCGCGAACGTCTACTACGGCTTTGCCTTTCTCTTCGCGCCTACGCTCGACTTCACTGGTATCCAGCTCACCGTCGTCGGCACTGTCTTCGCCAGCAGTGATGTCACCTTTCGTATCACCCATCGTGTCATCGTCGCCGCCTTCGACTAGATCGACGGGATCTGCGACAATATACTCGGGCAAGGGGTAGTAGTTTCCAAACGAGTCGTAGACGCCGTTGGCGAGGTCTCCGCTCGGTAATGTGATGTCGGCAGCATCGAATATGCTCTGCGCCGTAGCGACCGCAACGGCGGGATCGGTCTCGGCGCTCCGCCCCACGCCCTGCGCAGAGCGGGCATCGTCCTCTGCCCTGGCGGCGTCGGCGTCCCAGAGAACCTCGACCGCCGCCCGTATGGTCTGCCAGATCTCCTCCCGCCCTGTGACCCTAGTGTCGAAGAACTCGACCCGCTCGCGATTGAGGGCCGCCCGCGTCCACGTGCGATTGCGGCTGGTCCACTCGTGTCGCCTTAGAGGCTTGTTGATGTGTTGCGCCAGCGGTCGATTGGAGTGTGGACGATGCCGGCGAGAGTGACCACTTGTGGGAGAGGGCAGGGACTCGTCCCCTGCAGTCTGGATGCCGGCAGCTGGGTGAGGCGGTGCGTTGATGGCGCGAGCCGAGCCAGAGCCAGCTCCACCAGGATACGGCGAGTTGGGGCCATCCGGCCGGGAAAAACAGCAGCCCTACAAGCGGAAAAGAGAGGTTAAAGATTGAATCTTAAAGAATAGACAAAACGGCGGTAGTAGTTGAATTGGCGAGTTGATGAGAGAAGAGAGTCAGAGGAAAATGAGCTTTCTCCCATCATCATGAACTTTGAGAGCAGGAAAGAGAAGACCTACCATGACGTCTGTCTTTCACCTCTCAGACAGTCAATACCGAGCTCTTCTTGCTAACGCATGCCCACAGTTTGTTGCCAGGCACGCCTAGAGTGTTGATCCTGAGTGCAAGATTCGTGAAGGCCCAACCACTCTGACTTTGGGAGTTCCCGGTCGGAGGTGAAGGTGGAGATGGAGGTGCAGCTGCAGGTGGAGGTGACGGATGTGGAGAGGGTTCTGGCTGTGAGGCTGAAGCGGCGACGACTTATTGGTGCCACGCGGGACCCTGTTGAGCAGGCAGGGTTACTACGATAAGTCTATAACTACCTGGTAGCTAGCTAAGGGTCGCTAAAAGGTGAAGGCTATTTTTGACTCTTGACAGAAAAGGCACGCCGTTCGAGTCAATAGTAGACCCCAAATCCCCAATCTCCCACTGCAGGCTATCCTCGGTTCAGCCAAGCGCACGTTCGCAAACCCACCCATCTAGATAGCCATGGAAACTCAATCTACAGTCCTGTTATCCCAATCAGCCACGAGATAAAAGGTCCTCCGGGTTCATCAACTCAGACTTGGTTATGTTCATTATACGGACAGTAGGGCAGCTTTCATTTCATAGCTGCAAGATAGTCTATCCCCCCTGAAATAATTACTGACAATTGGTACAACACGCATTCTGTAAAGTAGTCCAGGTCAATGGAGGCCAAGAATTGGGTGATCATGACCACAATGACGCAGTGCGGGTTGGTTGCCGAATCGCGATTGGTGCCCAGGTCGCCCAGCGAAGGTCTTCGCTGGGTGCCGTTCGACCTTCAATCTATACACGTTACTACATATCTATTTGTCATGAAGCGATGAATGGTAGTGACATCTGTTGCCTATGTCGCCTTTTCAGATGTAGTTTCAGCCATGTTCTCATTCGTCTGATACTTGCTATGCCGAGAGGCAACTCTCTATGTAGACGGCATAGTACATTAAGATCCATAATTCATACAGGCATGTCGGCGTTATAAACTCGAACCATTTGGTGATGCTTCTCAAACATGGTGATTCACCATAAGAAGCCCCTGCACTTGCGGCTACCGCAAAGGCAAGGGGTCATCTCACCCTGCAAATTATTATCCTTTGCGTCACTCTCCATATCTTCCAGTCCGTCAACGTAATCAAACGTTAGCTCCTCTCCCTTTGCAATGTCACGGATTGCGAAGAGTGCCAGATCATGGATATGCTTGTCGGCATGGTCTCCCACCCTGGCAAAGATGCGCATATTGGGGTCACAGCTGTGGTTGATGAATCTCGTCGGGCCCGACATGAACTCGCCATCGACCTCGAGCGGCGGCCCAGCTAGTCGTGGATCCAGACTATCGGGGTCGGAGAACTTGTCGAGGGCAAAAAGATAGACATCCTTCCTCTGTGCCATACTGGATGCCGCTCGTCTCCTGTTGGCTTCGTTCGCAGTGATGATCTCGCCGAGATAATTATCAACAAACTGGCCACGCTTGATGTCCGCCATGGCGCGAACGCCCCATCCCCGGAGGCCGTCGTCAGTGCGGAAGATTTGCAGCGGCACCTGTCGTCCTCGCTCCACAACCCTGTTGGGACAGTCTCGGCTACATTTGCAGCCCTCATGACACTCGTAGATCGGCTCTCGTGAATGGAGGATGTTACCCTTCAGCATTCCCTTCTTGACGCCGCTCGAGTGATATGCGAAGCGCTTCTTCTTCGATATTCTGCTGCTCATTGAACTCCTACCTCTCTGCGATCCTCGTGTGGGCGCGGAGACGATGCCTCGGGCACCCCTATAACCATTCGTGGCAACACCTCTCGCCCATTGCACAACCTCGTCTTCGTCCTCGTCTTCCTCCTCGTCGTCTTCGTCCTCTGACTCCTCGTCCGAGCCGATCATCTCTGAGAGGCACAGGCATCCTCGGTACATGCACTGCTTGTCGTTGGCGCATTCGCAGCCACTGCGGAAGCTCACCTCAGCCGGCTGGACGCCCGGCCCCAGGATGGTGCGGTCGATGAATCTGAAGGATGGCGGGATGACGGCGCCGTCGTCGGTCTCGTTGACAATCGTGATCGGCAGGGTCTTGTGTGTCGCAAACGAGCGAAGCTGGCACCAGTGACACCTCTGACGCTCAAGCGGTGGTATCTTTCACAGCAAGTTAGTCCAGAATTTACCGAATGTAAGCGTTTAGAGATACGGGCGTACGATAGATCCAGGGCCATGGTGGTGGAAGTGTCGCTCCGTCGCAGCCTCCATATTATCCAGCACTCTCCGACGCTATATGGCACGGCGCTTGACTGGCGACTCCGCCATCAATGAAAGTCGACAGAGAGCCGGCAATATTGCAATCAGATCGCAGAAGCTTGCAGCTCCGGAATTTGTTCGTCACGAGCTTCACTGGAAGGCGCATGTGTGTAGTGCCAAGCAGTGTCGCGGCGCAGAAAGTGGTTCGCGTAAATGCCGTCTGGATAGACGATCATAGCGCGTCTCTAGTGGGTTTTGATCGGGTGCGGAGTACCTAAGCTTGCCTGGATCTGACCCCACACGATCGACAGCTCCCGTATTTCCATGCGGGTCACCCGGGGGTCAAGCTTCCCTGAGGGCATACGAATATATTAACTCTAGTATTGCCATTACACTGGTCTTGAGTGTCATTCCTGTTGTAAGATGAGGATATCCACAAAGTTTTGTTTTGAGATAATGATAAGGGCGCATATACGTCTTCTCTCTCTGCCGGAGACAGCAGTATGAACAATATATGACATGCTCTGTTGAAACACATAATTGACGTTTGTTGCCAGCTTAGCATTCAGTCTCGTATTCACTTCTCAACATTCAGCGTTCCAGGTGGATTTCTCCATCATCTCATCTCGTCTTCTGGTATTACTTGATGCGATCTGGGGCATGATCAGCGAGGAGGCTCTGAAGATGATGCAAACTGCTATCGATGCTGTTTCACCCGCAACCAACAGTTCACAAGACCCGACACCTTGATATGTTATTCATGGCCGCTTATTCCCAAGCTTCTCACCAGCAATGATGACTTCAAGCCACCCAGACACTCACTACTGATCCTGCCGCCAACCCGGACTTTTCTGCCAGGCTCTGCTCGGCCAGGCGCATGATGCTGAGAGCTTGTGTGCCTAGGAAAAGAGGTAGTTTCAGCCTTTGGGCTTCTTCAACCGCACTTTGAAGTTCCTCGATCACCAGGTACAACGGGCTGCCGTCCGTGGTGGCTGCCCATCCCGATCCAGCTTTTCCTTCCTGGAAAGCCTGCATGATTTCTGGTCCGGCACTCTCCAGCATCTTGCTGCCGCCTGCGGCGTTGATGCATAGCTCATACACCTGGTCCAAGTCTAGACCCACGTGCTTCGCGAATGCAAGAGTCTCCGCCGCTGAGCAAAGATGAATGCCCTTCAACAAAGCAATCACCAGTGACAACTTGTCCGCCTCCGTCTCGGCTGCACCCTGCACCGGCCCGACCTTCCCCTTTCCTTCCGCATAGAGTCTTATGAGACTGGCATCATCATCCGGGCCCCATCCTCGGCCCAGGGCAGTGAAGTATGCCTGCTCGGCTGCGCTTGTCATAGGTGTCGCGAACTTGCACCTCCTTGCCTCGGAGGTAATAATGCTGGTGTCCTTCAAGATGATTGTCAAGGCACTGGCGATGGGTTTGTGTTCTGGGTGAAGAAGTCTCGGGAGCCGGTTCTCAAACATCCAGCTCCAGCCGTCAGAATTGATGATAGTTTCGCTTGTCTTCTTCAGGTCCAGCCCGAGATGACTAGCGAAGCCCATCACTTCACTTGAGGAGAGAATCTGATTGGCAGCTAACACCTGGTGGCACATTTTCATGTTGCTGCCCGCGCCAACACCCCCTTTTACGATGTACAGTTTCTTGGGGTCGGACATGGCCTGCAGGAGATCTCGCCCCTTTTCAATTGCAGCGTCGGACGCTCCAGCCATGATAGACAAGGTGCCATCTGCTGCTCGACCTGCTCCCCCTGACACAGGAGCGTCGACCAGGTAAATATCTCCTCGACCAAGTGTCACCAACTGCTTCTCTAGGGACTGGACGTATGCGCATGGCACGGTCGAGCACAGCAGTACTGTGGCCCCCTGAGGCAAAGCTGGCACAGCTGGACTCTCCCCATCCAGCAATACTGCCTGAGCTTGCTGTGCCGTGGCTACCATACAGACGCAGAAGTCCTTCCCCTGAACGGCCTCGGCTGGCGTCTTGGCAGCCTTGCCTCCAGCTTCCTTGAACCTGTCAAGCGTTGGACCCCAGACATCGAAGCCTGTGACAGAATATCCCTCCTTCACCAGATGGGTGGCCATCCCGAACCCCATGGCTCCGAGGCCAATGAACGATACTTCTAGCTTCGTCTGAGCCATATTGACTTGAATGAATGGCCAAATCGACTGTATCCACCGGTGCTGTTAGGGACTTGGCTTCGGAGTTTTCGCCGCGATGAACCGTTGTCTTCGGCGAATTGGCCGTGAATCAATCAATGCTGTGGTTCGGGATTCACGCCGTTTGCAAGCAAGTGGTTTCAACGATTGATTTTTGAAGTTTCTAGATTGTCTGTAGAAGACAATAGCGCGTCTCAGCGCAGACCGGGGGATGTCTCTTCATCAATTAGGCGTCATTATGCGTCTGACATCACACCCATCGTGCCCGATTCTACCGAACCGATCAGGCATTCCGGAGAGATGCCGAGATCGGGCGGGGGGCGGGGCCCTCCCTCCTCGGAGTCAAGGCCGGTATGGCAGAAGCTTGCCCCCCCCCCCCCCCGCCCCACCACGACAATTTACCCGTGCCTATCCAGAGAGCTCCTCTTTCAGCCACGATGATGCCGGTATTCGAAGCTGTATGATTGGCATATGAGCTTCTGTTGCTCCTGTGGGTCGTAGTTCGGCGATTCGGGTCAAATCTGCATTCGAAAAAACCAAAGTCACTTACACGAATAACCTCGTGAGACATTGCAAACCGCTTTCCAAGCTTAGATTTCGAAATTAAAGTCCAGCATTGCGTTCTAGTACTGCATAGTGTTCATCTACGACATCAGTCTCCAGAGTAGCAGACCGCAGCCAAGATGGCTCCGGACCTATCCAAGAACCGCTCAATGGCGATCCTCAACGCCGCCCTCGAGGGCGGGTATGCAGTGCCAGGCATGTGCTGTTACAACATAGAGAGCATCATCGCCACGGTGCGGGCCGCCGAGGCTGCTCGCTCCCCCGCCATGGTGTTGCTGTTCCCCTGGGCCATCGAGTACGCTGGCGACTCGCTCGTACGTGCCGCCGCCGACGCCTGCCACAACGCCAAGGTGCCCATGTCACTACACTTGGACCACTGCCAGACGCCCGAGCTGGTGCGAAGAGCTGCGGACATCGAGGGCGGTTTCGACAGCATCATGTGCGACATGAGCCACTACGAGAAGGAGGAGAACCTGGCGCTCACCCGCGAGCTTGTCCAGTACTGTCATGAGCGCGGGATTGCCACTGAGGCCGAGCCCGGCCGTATCGAGGGTGGAGAAGACGGTGTTGCCGAGACAGTAGACCTAGAGGGTGTTCTAACGACGCCTGAGCAAGCAGAGGAATTCGTTGCCACTGGGATCGAGATGTTGGCGCCAGCCTTCGGAAACGTGCATGGCAACTACGGCCCGAGAGGAATTCAGCTCGAGTATGATCGCTTAGAGTCGATCAACAAGACGGTGGGAGGCAAAGTCAGGCTGGTGCTGCACGGCGCAGACCCTTTCACCGAGGAGATCTTCCAGAAATGTATTAAGGCCGGTGTTACCAAGGTCAACATCAACAAGGGCATGAACAAGCACTATGCGGCTGTGCAGGAGGAAATGCGAGGAAAGCCACTTACGAGTGTCATCGAAGCCGGCACGAAAAAAATGCAGGACGCCATTGAGGAGTATATGCGCCAACTGGGAAGCGCTGGGAAAGCATGAACCCGTCACTTATCGTGTAGATCTAGAACATAGCTATGAAGGGTTGCATAGGGGTACCAATAAAGTTACTCTGCCTCAGCTTATAATACATATTCTTTTTCCAGAGACATTTAAGTGTAACAATACATTGTTCGTCGAACGCTAAGATGGGAATAGTGATTATATTACTCTATCTGTAACTTACATACCGGATTTCAGTCCCTTAATTGCAACCATGGCTCCCCATGCACCTGGGTCAGGGGGCAATTCCTTATCGCCATTCTGCCCAGCACCGACATACGTTGCGCGACCAAGTCTCGGCTTCATCGTCTTTGTAGCCTCCGCTCCGTCCTCTGCTGCCTTAACACCATCTTCGAAGCTGCCCTTACCCATAGCCTCTGCGAAAGGAATCAATGTATCCATCACAGTCCGATCGCCAATCTTCGCCGGGGTGTAGTGTCGCAGATGCTCCAGGGCTGTGGCCAAGGCTTGTGCCCACACCGCTGCCGGCCCCTTTTCCTTCGCCAGTGGAATATTACGCTCCACGGCATTGCGCAGTGAAACAAAGAAGATACCGAGAATGCCACCCAGGGTGCCTCCCATCTTGCTCTCAACGATATCTTCAAGCTCTTGAAGTACTGTTACGATCGAGCCCTTCGCAGCGATCTTCTGCTCGTCCAAAGCCGCCAGTAACGAGGTGGCACCGGTCTTGAGCGTCTCTCCACAGTCTCCATCTCCCATGACCGTATCCCACTTTGTCAGATCCGGTTCCGCCTCGACAAGTGCATCACAAGCACCACGGAGCATCTTTTCAAGTAGGGCGGGATCTATCTTCAGGTCTTTGGACTCGTCCACGGGCTTCTTCTCATCTGCCCGCGGCTGGACGAATTGCTCTTTCCGCGCCCGGCGCTTACCACCCTGTGCGCCAGCCATTGACTCCCAAGCCGTAGTCGTTCTTGTGTCCATAAACTCCTTGATCTGATCGATTGAGTATGAGCAACCCTTAGCAGCAGCAGTGGCATTGACGACGGACACGGAGAAGGCTGGCGCGTTGAGCGAGGTCTCTATGCACCCAACGTAAGTTCGCGATGGTGTAATCTTCCAGTCCTTCTCCAATTGCTCAAGCAATTCGTCAACAAGAGCTCCCATCTCAAGTTGAGACATGCCGCCGAAATTGCTGATGAGCAAAAACGTCTCATCGCTTGGCGTAAAGTTGACATAACCTCGCTCCGGATCCTTCTCATCTAGACAATATGTGAGAATCTGCTTGATAAGGTCTTCTGGTGATGGTGCCGGCGAGAGTTTCTTGTATCCCGGCTCATTATGTGGCCCAGTTCCAAGCTCGACTTCATCCGCCTCTAGTATACCGTGCTCTGTCCTGCCGGGGACGTGGCAGTGGTCCAGAGTTGCCGCAATGGAGACAATCTGCTCAGAGAAGGCCACGCCCAAGTCGTAGACCTCGTCCAGAGAGCCTCCTGCGCCAGAGGCACCACCCATGACTTTCAGGACACCAACTTGACCTGCAAGTCCTCGTCGTCCTACGAGACTTCCTTTCTTTCCCACCGAGACGTCATCTCCGCAGATGATCATTCGGCAGTTGTGGCCCCTGGCCTGCGCCTTCTCATTCGCGAGACCAAAGTGGAGGCAGTCGCCCGTGTAATTGGTAATGACCAGAATCGTGCCTACATCCGAAGCGACTGCCTCGATCGCGGCGAGAATCTGCTTCGTGCTGGGACTTGCAAATATATCGCCCTGTGCTGAGGCAGCGAGCATGTTTGTGCCTACATAACCTGACCAGGCAGGCTCGTGGCCAGAGCCACCACCGCTAATCACGCTGACCTTGGAGCGGTCATATGAGGTGTCGTAGACGACGCGGTTGACCTCGTCGAAGGCCAATGAGGGGTTGTAAGAGACAATTCCTCGCAGGGCTTTGTTGACGAGCCCATCAGGGGACTCAAAGAGATGCCGTTTAGACATGTTGAACTGTTGTATTAGGAGGTATGATAGCTTCTAAGTAGTTCAAGAGCTTAAAGCAGAATGCTGGCAACAAGAGTCTCGGATAAAGAGCTGCGTAACGAGTGACGATCAGTTCCCCAGCTTCATCATCGGCACAAAAATCTGGGAGACTGATCCCCTGAAGAACACGCAGGGCCGGCCTGCCACACCAGCACCGTCACTCCTCCTACCGCCCAACTGCTCTACTCTCATTAGAGCAATCCGACGAATCATCGCTGCCTCTGCTGGCGTTCAAGGGAAAGCCGGAGCAGCTTTTTTGCTTAGCCCCCCCGAGGTTCGGCAAAGAGCCCGTTGGTCTTCGCCTCGCACAGAAACGCAACCGCAACGCTTCTCGGGCTTCCATAACCGTCGACCTAGTCTGCGGTACAGTACAGTAACCACTTGTCAGCCAGCTGTGTTACCAATGATGACATTACGCAGCAGGGGGCCATGTCAATCAAGGCGCGTGTGGCGGGGTAGAGAAGGTAGTGAAGAGTCGAGACGTCCCCAAGAGACCTCCGGATTGCCAAAAGGGGCAACCCGTCCCCATACGATCCGCGCTATCAGCACCCCGTCAAAAACAGCCGGGACGCTAGGAGACAACGCCGGCCGGTGAGGAGCCCCGCACACTGCAGACGACAGCGGCGGATGGGGCCCAGAAGGAGGGTTGCGACAGGAGGATGCGCCGCTGTTTGGTTGGCACTTTCGATAGCGGAGGGATGTGATATTACCTCAATAATTTTGCCAGTGGCAATGCGTCGTCGGCGATTTCGCCTAGGCCGATGAATGGCAGGTAGCTCTTACTCGAATGTATGCCGTAGCTTCCGAAACCGCTCTAGACTATGGGCGGTCGAAGGATGTTTGCTTTGCTTTGCTTTCCAAGCTGGCGGCTTAGGGAAATCTTGAAGCCGTATTGTTTGCCCCCCAGCATCATCACTTACACGCCTTTCACTGTTGAACTGCTGCACTTCAGAACCGCGCGCCAGCAAGACTACCCAACTTGAGGAATCAAAGACAAAGCAGCCTCAAGTACAAATTGCACAAGATGGCTGAGACAGAGCCAAAGTGGAAAATTGCCATAGGGTGCGATGTAAGTGCTCGGAGTTTTTCCCGAGTCCAAGAATTCATGGCGCAGAGTAACTGACGAGACTCCCGGGCAGGATGCCGGTGTCACGTATAAGAACGCAATAAAAAGGGACTTTGAGAACGACCCCCGAGTTGAACTTGTCGAAGACGTCGGTAGCCATGACCACGACGACAAGACAGCGTATCCTCATCGCGCTGCCACGGCAGCTCTACTTGTAGCGGAGGGTAAAGTAGACCGAGCACTGCTCATCTGCGGCACAGGCCTTGGTGTTGCCATCTCAGCAAACAAGATCAAGGGCATTCGGGCGGTTACTGCACATGATAGTTTCAGCGTCGAGCGAGCTGTGATGAGCAATAACGCACAGGTGTTGTGCATGGGCGAGAGAGTCGTAGGCTTGGAGGTTGCACGGCGACTTGCCAAGGAATGGCTAGGATACCGCTTCGATCACGGAAGCGCAAGCGCAAAGAAGGTGGAAGTGATTACCCAGTTGGAGGACAAGCATCTGGTCAATGGGGAAGTGTCAACCGGTGCGCAGTAAGGAGAATCAACAGTTGTCGAATAGCATATCCTGGGTTTCATGTCTTGTATTTGAACCGACCTGGCTTATAGGAAGCCAAGATTGGAAAAGCGAGCCACTTAAATTTCTACAATTCATACTTTGCTACACCCAGATATCAATCCGTAGCTTGAAGAGTACCCCTTGAATAACAGCGCAAAACTAGAAGACATATATTTAAAAACATCCCAGCATAATCGACCAGTTGGTTGGGCCATTCCGGTTTCTTACTGTGACGGTGTTTCTCCGCTTAGTGCATCCAGCTGCTCCACTAACACCAGCATCGAGCCACTTTGCGCGCCTAAGCAATTTCAATGAGTCTCTTTGCTCTGCCAACTCAATATTTCACGAGCTTCGAGCACTCAAACTTGGCCCGGTTCGGCTTTGGCAAGCGAAACAAACGAGTATTCTAATTGCAATTGCTTAGACGCAAGTATTCGGGCATTGCATTGACAAGTCCCGCTCTAGACTCAACCTTGACAATAATCAACTATGTCTACCCCTGCCCGCCGGCGCATTGTTGGCGTCTCAACAAAGATGTACTTCTCGGCATCGCGCACAGAATCCTATGTCTTGGACCTGCTAGCCCAACTATCAGCATCCCCCAAGATCACAGAGGAGATCGACGTGTTCATCATTCCCGACCATGTCACGCTCACCTCCGTCATCTCGCAGCTACGCACCACTCGTGTCCTCACAGGGGCTCAGGACTGCTTTTTTGAAGACGCCGGTGCTTATACCGGCGAAGTGTCTCCCGCTGTTCTCGCTGAAGTGGGTTGCCGTATCGTGGAGCTTGGACATGCGGAACGGAGGCGCATCTTCGGAGAGACAGACGGAGACGCAGCCAAAAAGGCAGCTGCCGTCGCTAGAAACGACATGATCCCGCTTGTATGCATCGGCGAGAGGACGAGAGGCGAGGTGAGCGTGGCGGTCGACGAGTGCGCCGTGCAGGTTGAAGCCGTCATGGCGGCAGTTCCAGGCGATAAGGAAGTCATATTGGCTTATGAGCCTGTATGGGCGATTGGTGCTGCAGAGCCAGCTGGTGCTGAGCATGTAGTGAGCGTAACGCAAAAGATTAGAGGTCTAGAATGTGTCAGTCGACGAAAGGGGTTGACAAGAATCCTCTACGGAGGTAGCGCCGGTCCGGGGCTGTTTGAGAAATTAAAAGACGGTGTTGATGGTCTGTTCTTGGGCAGATTTGCTCATGATCCTGCCCAGTTTCACAAAACTATTCAGGAGATCGCAGAAGCATAATGCTAGAAAGGCTTCACGCCTTTGGCGAGGCTTGTTTAGTGATTATGACAGACCGATGTGGCGGTGCTAATCACTATTAGTATACTAATTATCAAAAGTGAATAATTAAGTTCCTAGTATTAACTCGGTTTGTAAGAGCTACAATCTAAGAGGAAAACCGGAATTACTTATTGCACTCTGCTCTCTTTAGACTTATAGTAAATACGTCAATATATCTAAAATATTCCTTCTTTAGATCTTCTACGGTCAACTTCGTCGATCGCGGGAGATCACCAAGTCACTGCGAAACATCAATCCTGTGAGTCAAGTCTGGCACAAGGTGCCATCTATATACCCGACAATGTCGGTGATGGTAAGGAGGTTACGTTACTAGCTGGACTTAGTTGAGCCACTGATTGGGTCGTGATGACCTGCTACCTAATTATCTAAAGAACTTGCTAGGGCGAGCAAATAGATTTAAGCAATGACTAGATGTTTCAAGCTTTGCTAAATCAAGTCTTTGTATCATATCAACCTTTGTACACCTCTTATACGTTAGCTATGGTCTGCCGAACGAGGTGAACTGAATAATAGATCCAACGGCCAGGATGACTACTCCGACAATGATGCTTCGCTGTGGCCGAGACGTTCGCCGATGAACATAGTCATCAAAGACCCAATCCAGCAGCCAATGTTGCAAACGGCAACTACAAAGCCTTGCAGATTGGCATTGCCGTTGCCAGATGTCGTGTCGGTTGTCGGAAAACGCTTGGTGAATGCAGTGCCGGTGATGACACCGCCCATCACGCCCTGCTCTATTATATGTCAGTGATGTATGCGCCTAGCCAGAACAATTCCTTGACCAAACATATTCGAAGAGTACAAAGGCTGCCGAGCATGCGAGGCCCACGAGCCTGGATAAGGCCCTGCTTTTGATGCGAGGTGAGCCGATGAGAAAATTTTGCATCGTGAGAGGTCTACGCCTGAGTAACTAAGACAATTCGTAGAGAACGAATGTAAATCTAAGGAGTGGGTAGGAGGTTCTTTGAGACGGAGGTTTGAATGTTCGGTCTACATGCTATCAAGACTAACTGATCTTCGGCCGGCAGTGTGATAAGTCATGTGTGGGGATTCCTTGTTGTTGCAAAGATATGTATTGTCAAGGTTGTTTCCTTGTATCGATCCTTCATGATGGGATATACTTGGATACACATTTCATACGCACATCATTGCTCCCCGCCCTAGGTTGATACGGCCCGAATACCTACCATGATACTTCTAGGCAAGATAGGATATTTGCTGTGCTAGATGAGTGGTCAAGAAAGTCACTACGCAGTCTGATTGGGCTCCTCGTATGGAGTGAATTAATAGAACGGATCAAGTAGCTAGGCAGGTAGTATAGCATAGGCCCACCTCGCGTTTCCTAAAACTAAGCTTATTACCGTCTAGGTGCCCATGGGGAATATGTGCGCGTTCGGTTTGAGGTGTGGAGGGGATTAGGGATTGTGACGCGGCGTGCTCTCCTATAATAATAATCTGGTGCCGAGATACTACGGCTTACTGCCGGGTCCTTGCAGCCGAGAGGGGCCGTGATCCGGGTTTATCTAAGCGACTGCCGGCGTGTAAGTCGGGAGTGGCAGATGTGATAGATTTGATTTGTATTACTCGATTGGTTGAGTGCCAAATATAATGTCTTTACTGTTTGCATGGCATCGAAGAAGCGGGTGCTTTACACATTATAAAGACTCCGTGAAATCCGGGCTGCCGGGGCACCCGCCGGCCGATGCAGGCCCGTTCGGCAGGCGGGCGAATCACGGAGAGACACACACCCAGCGGACCTAACGTTTGGTCTCTGCCGATGGCTGAAGATCTCTCTCTTATTGTGCTGTCGGCGATAAGGGGTCAGGCAGGCTACCTAATGTTGTGAGCTGCGGTAAGGCGGCAGGCTTTGAGCACCCGTTTGGCCAAACACCAGCACAAACGGCGGCGGCGGACTCGGCGAGGAACTACAAAAGGAGGCTAGGCTGGCCGAAGGGGGTATCTCTACCTAAGGAGAGTCGTATGACTCGCCTGTCTGCCGCCACAGCGAGAGTTCGGGCCTCCACTTGCTCATTTAGCGCCAGCCTTTGAGGAGCGAGAGAAGACCGCAACGCCCTGAGACAGACCCGCCCAATTCTCCTGGAGCTCCGCCCTGGTGGACTCGGGCACCCGCGTTTTTGCAAGATTTCATCATGGAAAAAAGGAGGGGCAACGGCGGTGATGCAATTGTCGTATGTCTCTTTTTCGCTCTTGCGTGGGGTAGCTCCCCCGAAGTTGAAGATGTTGCTGTCAGAGTAACTGGTGTTGCTGCCTTCGTCTTGTAACATGAACATGTAATTGGGATACGGGGCGGAGGAGTTTGGAGGAGTAGGAATGGGCTGAAGTCTCTCAATGGATCCAGAGGCGGGTTCACGATCTACACTTCCCTGCACAGGTATCTCTCTACATGCATCTATGAATGTCGCTAGCAGAATACGACTCAATGGCGTTGCCCACAGCACCCATGATGCCATGTTTTATCCCGCAGACCGCATATACTGTATGTACAAGCCAAGCAAGCTATATCTAGGTAGCTATGTAGATTAGAAATATGTACGTACAATAGAATTTCCGAGACTGTGGCGCCTCTAAAAAAAATAACTAGAGCTCCCGTGCCCATCACGACTCAATCCCCTCTGTTTGACCTTCCTTCTTCCTTCCATCCACCTTCACGCACCAGAAAGGCCACTCTTTGCAGTTCCCAAAACACCAAAAAGAACTAAAAGATACCCAATCACCCGAAAAGAACCCGCAAAGATGTCATTTGGAAAGACCGCTACCCTCAGCTCCGGCTACAAGATCCCCCTCCTGGGCTACGGCACCTGGCAAGCCAAGCCCGGCGAGGTCGGTGCCGGCGTGTTCGAGGCTCTCAAGGCCGGCTACCGCCATCTCGACCTGGCCAAGATCTACGAGAACCAGAAGGAGGTCGCCCAGGGCATCAAGAAGGCTCTCGCTGAGATCCCTGGCCTCAAGCGTGAGGACATCTTCATTACCTCCAAGCTGTGGAACAACAAGCACAAGCCCGAAGAGGTCGAGCCCGCTCTGGATGACACCCTTGCCGAGCTGGAGCTCGACTACCTCGATGTATGCCTCTTTTCCCCAGTTGCTTAAACTCTCGAATATGTGCTGATTCGACTTTCGTAGCTATACCTCATCCACTGGCCTGTGACCTTCGCTAGTGGAGACGCCCTCTTCCCCCGCAGGGCGGACAATGACAACGAGGTCCAGATTGTCGACGATGTGCCCCTAACAGAGACATGGAAGGGTATGACTTGCACCGTACCCCTTTATATTTGCTGCATTCCACTGACCATGCTGTTGCAATAGCCATGAATAAGCTGCCCAAGAGCAAGGTCCGCACAGTCGGCGTTTCCAACTTCTCCATTGAGCACGTAGGTTTTCCCAAAACCAGAGACTTGGACACTTCGAATCATAGATACTAATATGCGCGCGCGCGCGCCCACCAGCTCGAGCACATCATCAAAGCCACCGGCGTCGTGCCCGCCGTCAACCAGATCGAGCGCCACCCGCGCATCCCCAACTACCCGCTGGTCGAGTACTGCGCCAAGAAGAACATCCTCATCACCGCCTACTCGGCGTTCGGCAACAACTCGTTCGGCCTGCCGCTGCTGGTCGCCATCCCCGAGGTCAAGGCCGTCGCCGACCGCCTGTCCAAGGTCCAGGGCAAGACCGTCACCCCCGCCCAGGTCATCCTCGCCTGGTCCCAGATCGGCGGCCACAGCGTCATCCCAAAATCCGTCACCGCGTCGCGCATCCGCGAGAACTTCCAGGAGGTCGAGCTCGACGACGAGGCCGTCCAGGCCATCAACAAGCTCGGCGAGACGCCGCAGCGCTTCAACATCCCTACGACCTGTGAGTGATTCACCTCCCCCTCGCTGATATGTAGCCGGGGGTAAAGAAGAAAGAAGATCAGAAACTAATCCCACGCTGCGCAGACAACCCCAAGTGGGACATTGACGTCTTTGGCGACGAGAAGGAGAAGGGCACCAAGCACCAGGTCGTCCTGTAAAGCGTTGAACGCTGCTAGATCCGGATTGGCCGACATTAAGGTACTTCGCTTCTGATGAACCGGTAGAATATTATAGAACCAAATTTGAACAAAAAGCACACTCAATTGCTCCCAATGTTGACATGATGAATGAATTGTCAAGGCTATATTTCTGCTTATCATCTTCGCAGCTAAATAGCGGCATTCTTGGGCATGATCATTGAGCTCTTTCTTCATCCAACCTACAACTGGTTTTCTCTTTCGGACAATTTTATTCAAAGACGTTGAAGAGGATTCTTGAAAGGTTGGATGAGGCGGCTTGTCGCAGCTAAAATCTCACTGCCGCCATGTCCACCATGTCGTGGCTGAGTCTGGGGAACCCAAGCTGCATGGGGAGGGGAGGGGAGGGGAGGGGAGAAGGGGTCCCACCTCTGCACGGCACAGCAAGGTACGGACGTCCTGTCAGTAGGAATTAGGTGAAAAGGGTAAATAATCCTAATGAGCTTGGACGCAATCCTTGGTGTCCAATCTCTCGGCATTTCATGCATTTACAAACGGCTCATTAATATCACCTTCAGAAAGCATGGAGACTGAAATGACACGGGATAAAATTCAAAATGCTATACACATGTTGCCTGTTTTGACCAACACCAACCAGCCTGAGCCATGAAAGGCCCCCCAATCCGAGACATGAAAATCCCCGATTCTCGTGCCCAGCAGAATAATTACAAAGTTAGGGAACAACAAAGCCTGTGGGCTGCTTTTGTCTAAGAGCCAGTCGAGCCCGGTAATTATACAGAAGCGAGTTTGCGCAGTCGTGCGTCGGTCTGTCATCGTACAATATCTCTCCCCAGAAAAGAGCATGCATGCAAGTATCAAAAGGGAGTGCCGGCCGGGCTAGTTGCCGTTGCTGGAGAAGCCCTCCACGCCAAAGTCCACCACCAAGCCTAGTAGGTATCATGGGACCAAGCGTTTATAGCTTAGTCGTCAACACCAGCGGGGGTGTCGCACAGGATACCCTGGTCAAGCTGTGAATGTTTGTTAGCAAACTGAGCTTCAAGTCAACATAGTGATTCAAAAGGCACTCACGATGGGCAGGACGCAGCAGCGAGCGCGCTGGCCAATAGCAGCACAGATGGCGCTGAAGTTGGCGGCATCGGTGGGAACAGCGGTCGGGTCACCGCAGTCAAGGTCAGCAAGACCGAGGACATCGGTGGCACAGCACTGTGCGGAGGCATAGAGGCCGGAGCAGGGAGTGTATGTCTGGCGCTCCTCAAGGGGGGCGGCGGAGACGAGGCCGGCAACGAGGGCAATGAGAGCGACGGAGAACTGCATTTTGGTTGTTTGTTTGTGGTTGGTGGAGTAAAAATTAAGATGTAAGGCTTTGGGTTTGGGTTGGTAGGGCTGTGAGCTGAATAGTGATCGACTGTTGATAATGATGAAGGAAAGATGGACGAGACGGAGGGAGAAACTGTTGATATTTATGTTCAGGAGCTCGACCGTCCGTCGTCAGTCTTCTTGTCTCCTGAGGGAGCCCGTTCCGAGTCGTTCACCTTTGCGTCACCGTCCATTGGAGAAGCAAGAAAAGCGGATCGACATCATTCGAGCGGTGACGGTGATCATCATAATCAAGGGGGAGTTCTCAAGGCCAGCGAAGTAACTCTGTTCCCGGTAGCCGAGTTCCAAGTGACGAGATCCATGGCCAATAGACCCGAAACCGCTGTAATATGAGCGCGGGGATAACTACCAGTAGTCTTGGAGGAGTGACGATCTCTGTGTTATGCTCAGGGAACCTTGAAAGGAGCAAAGATACATCACAGGACGTGGCAAGTCCGGCCAAGGTCTTCTGGAAAAAAACGGGCGAGACGGGCTGGGGAGCACAGACGCCTATGCGAACGAATGGCAAACTGAACTGGGTCACCAGCCGGGTGCATGGCATTGTGGAATGGGAAGTTGTTCTGAACGAGGATGACGACGATGGACCGTCCAGGGATGTGTCTGCAGGTACGGTACCGATAACACAACCCTTTTAATGACAGGGCCGGGGTGGGCCCTGCTTCGAGATGGAGGGCTGCCCTTCGATGAGATGAGGTTGGTATGCTTCGCGTAACCCTTCCCGCAGCACTTGGGCTGCATGGGAGAGGCAAGACACGACAGTCACCAGCTGAACCCACACGCTTCGGGGCCGCATCCGTGCATGGCTTCATGTGGATAGCTCCATCAAGTGATATCAGCCCCATCAGCCATCGATCGCCTTGAACTGCCGGTCCTCCCGGCACTCTCAAGCTACCTACCTAGACTAGACTGTACGGTTCTGCTACATTTGCGTGGTCTTCCAGCCTTGAGAGACAAGCTCCGCCATGGCTGGCACAATTTGGCTTACACCCACTCGGGCATCAAACAGGCAGCTCCTGAAGGAGCCTCAAGTCCGAGATGACGGAACACAATCTAGACCAGACGTGTGCGAACCGCTGTCATTAGAGAGACTCATCATGACGAACGGCCCAATCTCGATGTAAGAAACGACAGCAGGGATGTGGAAATTCCCCGATATATCCGCTATGCTTGAAGCATTGACTTCAATCTCTCCGCCGGCCGGGTTGGGGCCGATCAGTGACCGAAAGAGCTGAAAGAAAGATATTTCAGGAGACACGTCAAGCAAGGTAGGGCCCTGCAGCCTGCAGGACACTGGCCAGAAAGGGGTCCTGGGCTCGCTGGGCACTGCTAGGGGTCGGTGTGTGGTTGTCTGTCTGTACGAAGATGTCAGGAACGAGAAACAAGATTTCGAGGAGGTGTGAGTGCCGATCTCTCTGCCGAGTTGCTGAGCAGCCAGCGACAACAGCGACGACATCAGAGGCGCCACAGCGTTAACAGGAAACAGGCCCAGCTCTGGTAGCGAGATGTTTGGAGTCCAGCCGGGGCAGGGTACTACTTACGATACGTCGTAGCCCTACTGGTGGCAGAAACAACGTGAAGTGAGGAGTAGCAGGGAGGTGGCGAAGATCGGATAAATCGCCCTTCTTCTTGTTCTTCTTGCAGGGCTTCCAGGTTTCTTCCCCCAGCCAAAGAGAAAGCGCCGCACACCACCGTTTCGCTGTCAATGGGCCAAAAACGCACCCCTGGCGCTGGGCTCGACTGTGAGAATGCGTGGTATAACGTATAACGTATAACGTTGCGCTACGGCACCGTTGCAACTGTCTCAGTTGTTCGATGACGGAATAGCGTCTTGACTGCCATGAGCCCCGACACCCTGCGCGGGCCAATGGGCCAGCCCTGTCAGCGGGGCCTATATGCGAATACCCCCGGCATCCGTTATAGCGCCGGCACTGACCGTCGTCATCGACCAGTCCCACCTCCAAACAGAAGACGAGGAACATTCCATTTCCCCCAGACCCAACGTGGCTATCGGCCGACGACCGCTGGACTTTTCCGTGTTTCTTCTCAACTGACAAGTGGCGGTGCAACTCAATTGCAGTGATCGTCTCCCCCATCTCATCTCTGCACTGCAGTAGTGTCTTTCCCCTCGAGAGGCTCATCACGCCCCTTTTTGCCCCGATTTGCCATCGTGTGCTTCCAGAAATAGAGACAGCTTCAACCCGAACCGTCGATTTTCTAGAACGGCTAATACGGCGCGGAACCATTGCACATCACTCGGATATCGCGAGTGAAAATCCCAGGCCTTGGAACCTCGTGAACCGTGAACCGTGAACCATGACCCGTTCAACCCAAGCCCTCCCGGGGTGGCCTCCGGGCGCCCGTGTTCAGTCTCTCTAGTTCCGTGTATGACGTCCGTATCATGACAGAATGGCGGCAGGACGTTACATCGTGAACTTGCCGCCCGTCTTGGAACGGCGCCGCCCCATTTGCCAGCGTCTCACGAATGATGCTAGCACAGCTGGGTTCTTGCTTGCTTGCTTGCTTGCTGGTCTCCTTGTCCACACACTGTAGCAACAGAAGAGAACCTGTCGCCCTCTGTCGTCTGCGCCGTTTCTAGCTTCATTTCCCCCCTAAATATGCTGCTGCTTGCTCACCCCTCCCCTAAGCTAAGCTAGAGCCATCCTCCAGAGTCCAGATGTGCTCGAATGTGACGAAATGGGTGGTGGGCATTGGCCGGCACCGTCGGGCGTGGCTTCGGACAAGATGCCCTTCTCGTCGCTTACAACTGTAACCGAGAATGCTTTCGGCCAGCAGCTACGCAGGGGGTGCCGCAGCGCCGCGTGCGATGGGAAAGTGAAGGACGATGTACTTACATGCGCCGTTGGGCTGGGGTCCCGTAAACGGCAACTGATCGGCCGCGGAGCCGAACCAAGATCTTCTCGATCGCATGTGTCTCAGCTCGGGTGTCTCTGCTCGTGCAGATCGAGGAGGCAGCCTCATACAACCTCATGACTACAACGCTACTGCTACAGCCGTTGCCATTGCGCCGCTGCCGAATGTGGTGGCTTTGCTGGTCTCTGAAGAAAAGACGGCAGTTTGTCTAGCTTGTCCAGCTTTTCCAGCTTTACAGGCAGCGGAAACCAGCACAAGCTCGCTTGGAGTACGGGCTCAATCGTGAAATACCATTCGTCAGTGAAGACTGTGCCCACTGTACGTCGATCTTGAAGAGAAATGATCATCTAGTCTTTGATTCAATTGTGGTCATAGCTCCCCGTCTCCTTCATCACTTTGCCATGTTCATGGCTTAGACACTGCAGTATCGTGCCATCCCAGCCTCTCCGTGCTGTCGAGGGTTGCCACATCACGTCGATGTTGAAGGCCGCCCTGTAGAATCCATACCCTACAGACATCATGCTTGCGGTCGAGGCCAGGGCATCGTCGACTGCGCCCGCGGGGCCCGGTGGTCTCACATGCGCCGAGAAGCCCTATATTCTAGCGATGAAGCTCGGTAGAGTTTCTTCGAGCCGTCATTCGATTACCTTGTAACGGATCGTGACAAGAACATAATGCGCAGCTTGCCTTATCTATCCTGATAGATCGGCGTCAGCTGAACAAGGCTTTTGCATGTTGCCAGCCTAACCGTAATCTACAGCTGTAATGCATCACCACAGGGATGCTTTTCCAGATCTCTCCTCAGGGGAACCTACAGAGAATCAACTTGAAGACGGAAATCATTACCTAGATGATATAGAGGCATTGTCTTTAAGGCTAGGCCACGCGTTCTTCGGCGCTGATCTCAAAACAACGGTCCAGTGTCTAGACTGCGCTTCCTGTGGGATAACTATACGGGCCGCAGACATCCTAGATTGCGCGTGCGGCCCTTGAAGGCATGTTCCGTGTATGTCGATCATCAAAGGTCCCTCCGGAGCAGCTCCGATGAGCTAGCTAGGCTGTCTGTCACACGCCGTCGCAGCCCTAGGCATAATCCCTCAGGCGATATGCCAATTGTTGGACCTCAACGGCGCTACAAGGTTGTGGCCCCCCCCTTTAAATGCGCCGATCATCTACATGAAGAACTCCAAAGTGACCAGAATGAACATTTCACTCTGACCGGGAATAATCTGCATCTAAAGAGTGGTATCAACTTACTGTGAGTGTTAGACGTGCCTCACATCAACATACTAACTGCAATCAGCAATCACGGTTGCAAGTCAGGCTGGATGTGGAAGTGGGAGGGAGCCGAGTCAGCCAAGGGAGGCATGATAGATAACGAAAACACCAATAGAGCATCGTGAGAGGGAGTCTGGGATGAACCGATGATGCTATTCCTATAGAGCCGGTGATCAACCCTAGATAATTGTACAAGTGGCTGCCTCGTCTAACATCTGCAGTTCTATAATCCATGTCCGCCTGATCTTGGTCCGGACAACGCCGAATGCAATGATTTGCTGTCGCTTTGCAATGATTAAGCGTAGAAGTTGACAGTCTGTGTGCGTGTTAGCATTAAGGATCATGACTGGACAGAGCGATATTTCCTGGAGAACACTAACATCCTTCTTCTTGGCTTGCACCTCGGCGATGGCATCCACATAGTGCTCGTGGCTGATCTTGTTCTTGCCCATACGGAGCGCAATCATACCAGCCTCGACACATACGGCCTTGAGCATAGCACCGCCGAACTCGTCTGTGCTACGCGCCAATTCGCCCCAGTTCACATTAGGGTCCACCTTCATCTTTCGGCTGTGAATCTTGAGAATCTGGGCTCTTGCCTCCTCATTCGGTAGAGGGAACTCAATCTTTCTGTCCAGACGACCTGAACGAAGCAGAGCAGGATCCAGCACATCAACACGATTGGTTGCTGCAAGAACCTTGATACGGTCGTCAGAGGCGAAGCCGTCCAGTTGGTTCAGCAGCTCCAACATGGTTCGCTGAACTTCTCGATCACCGCTCTTCTCGCTGTCGAATCGCTTCGTGCCAACGGCATCGAGCTCGTCGATGAAGATAATCGCAGGCGCCTTCTCCTTCGCTAAAGCAAAGCAGTCTCGGACTAGCTTGGCACCATCACCTATGAACATCTGTACAAGTTGGGGACCAGCAAGCTTGAGGAAGGTAGCGTCGGTCTGCGCGGCGCAGGCCCTGGCAAGTAGGGTCTTGCCCGTTCCGGGAGGCCCATACATCAAAGCGCCTGGAGAAGAACGAGAGTTTCAGCATGATATGCATCAGATAGAACATGGAATATCTTACCCTTCGGCGCCTTGATGCCGATTTTCTTAAATCGCTCCGCCTCCTTCATTGGCCAGACGATAGCCTCGACCAATTCTTCTATCTGCTTGTCCAGACCACCAACATCGCTGTATTTCTCTGTAGGTTTCTCGTCAACCTCCATGGCTTTCACTCTTGAGTCATATTCGGCGGGGAGTGTGTCGAGGATGAGATAGGAGTCTTTGTTGACACCAATAAGATCGCCAGGCTTCAGGGTGTTCGGGTCAACCAGACCAATGAGCGGCAGGAATATCGTTTGTCTGGTTGAAGTCTTGATAACAGCAGATTTTCCTACTCTTGTCGCATCCAGGTCTATATTTGCACCTTCCTCTGACGATTCTGCGGTAGGATCTAGATCGAGCAGCTCGACAACATTACCGACGAGGTAAGGTAGTTGTCTGATGAGAACAGCGTGTCAGTAAAAAGGCACACAATCGAAGTGCAGGTAGGGCTCCTCCGTACCTGTTATTTGCAATCTTCTCCATGTTCTCCTTGATCTTCTCGCCCATCGTAGCCTTCTCGTGCGATAAGCGCTGGAACTCGCTCTTCATGATTCTGGAATCGTTCTCAAGCAGCCTCTTGCGGGTGAGGATGTCCTGAGTGCTGAGACTGAGAATTTCCTCATCCAAAACATCCTCTTCGGACTCTCCGTCCTTCATCTCGACATCATCATCACCTTTCTTCTCGTTACGATCCTGACGATCGAGATCGTCGAGCTCTTCAAGGGTGGCCATGGCGGAAGCTTGTGGAATCGGCTTCCCGGCGAGAATCGGTGAGTTTAGAGATTAGGACGAACGAATAAAATGGTTCTGAGATCAGCTCGCAGTGATGGGCCAATATCTCGAGCTCTGATCGGTCGGTGTGATGATGGGATGTTGGCGTTGCTGAGAAATGATGTTTTGGGAGGTTGTTGCTGGGGGACGGACGGGAGCTTTGAAGCTGAGGCCGGAGCTGCTGCAAGGCAGGCGAAGTCGCGTAATCCATCAGCCTTGACCCATCCCCAAGGCCAACTAAGCTAACCACGTCCACGACCCACCAGCTGACTTATCACGTGCAGCCTCTCTTTCGTTGAAATGGATATAAGCTATTGTTCCTTAATGGTCCAACTATAAAACACGCTGATTTCTTCTGGTCTAAAAGGTGATTAATCATAGAAAGCAGGGAACCATGTGCTGTAGCGAAAAGAGGTTGATCAAGGCAGTTATGGAATTCACAGCTTCCAATATCACCGAGTATTTTTTTGAGATGAGCGTCCAGTTACATGACCATGAATTATAGAATACTACAATAGATTGATTGCAAAATGAGGTATCATAATCGCGCCTGATAACAGTGTTTTGGGCCTGATCCTCCCACATGTCGCCTGACGCTGCGATTACAAAGGGTATATATATGTACAGAGTCTCGACAGCTCTCCTTTTAGGCCGCAACGATATTGCAACTACTCGTCATCTACGAACCTGCTAGCAATTCTCCCAAAGAACGGAACTTCGAACCTTTGCATTGGGTCAGCATGCTACTGACCAGATGGGAGCGGAGTAAGCTTCTTACCTATCCAGTGTGTCTGCATCTCGGTATGCTCTTAGAGTCAACCATGCAATGAGTGCAAGATCGCCAATGAAGAATACCCAGCTGAGGAAGGTTGACCATGAGAAGATTAGATGAACGATAAAGATAACTGTGAATACCAGGGCTGATTGCCATGCATGAAACCTGGTAATATTCGTCAGCAAATCATCTCATACCCGTCTCTGACGCCCGAGAGGGTGATGTAGTTTCATACCTGACGTAGTCGCTCTTTCGTTCTAATATGAGAAGCAAGATAGCACCCAGTGGTGGACAGGCGAGGTATGCCAGACATGCCTCATAGTCCAGCCTGAAGCCTAGACTTGTGTCAAACTCGCTCACACCCTCCCGTTCAGCAGCCAGCCCGCTACCGATGTTTCCAAAGTAGCCATCACCTCCGGCGTTTTGATAGTTTGGGCTCGGAATGTTATACCCCGAAGCCTGCCAGTTGCGCTGTGGTTGCGGGTGTTGCAGAGGCGGCGGGCTGCTCTGGCTCGGTCGGTTGTGATAGTTTGATGGGGAGAATGGTCTGCGATCTAGGGACGTGCGCGGCGACGCCAGGTTTTCCTGCGGCGGCGAGAATGGCCTGCTGTGCTCGGGAGGGGAAGACTGATACGGCGCAAAGTTGGCCATCACGGCGGCTACCTAGGTTGGTCTGCTTGAATGGGGATCGGTGTGGTGAGTGTTGGTGGTTTGTCGCGAGGAGATGTGCGCTACCTGCTGGACAAAGCTGGCATGGCGATGGATTGAATGTGTATGGCGGAGGATGATGCGTGCAAGTTGCTGTTGTCAAAGTAGAGCTCAGATGAATATCTCAGGCAGCGAAACTTGCGATATGTGCGGAGGAGCTGACGTTGATCGGATGGACGAGATACGCAGCCTCAGCTCGGCGACGCGCAATTCGGGGTGCTTCAACCTAAAGTAGTGTAAAGGCGGGCGGGTCTTCCCTGTCCCGGCAAAGTGTGGAGGTGTTCGCGGTGGCTGCTGCAGGAACTATAGCCGGCGGGTTAGTGGCTGAGCCGCCTAGACCTCGACCACTACCTGCCTGGGTAGCTACCTCTAGCTGTTCATTATTGGCAGAAGTAGAGAAAAGCAGCAAGCAAGCACTATAGAAAAGCATCAACTTCGACTTTGAATCATTTCTTGTGTCACTTTGTCTATTGGTATGGTATGATATGATACAGTAAGTTCTATACAGTGTCCTACGAGATAAATCTCGTGGAGCAGAAACTCACAGGAGATGCCCTGCTCTTTCGTACGCAAATAATGCCATTACAACTCTGGCTCTTTCTTTTCCTCTGGACCTTTTTGCTCTTCCTCCAACACACTTCGCCGGCTCTCCATCGTCAACCAAAGGCTCTTGGAAGCCCCCTCCAGAGCTGTCGTAAGACCCAGTCCGGCAGACTGCAGCATAGTTACCAACTGTGCTCGCAAGCCATCGAGGCCACCCTGAATGCCTCCAACCCATCGTACACCTTCTAGATCAAATATCTTGTCCTCTATTCTGCCTCCTACAAGAAGCAGCTTCTGAAGACCATTTTGGACCGAGAGGTCATGATATCCCGGGTTCTTCTTCCGTGTCGGCGCGGGGAATGCGGGCGGGCTTGGCGACAGGATAGATAGAGCCGCAGCTAAATGCTGTGGTGAGACAGCTGGGAATGTGAGGAGGGCTACCGGTCCAACAAGAAGTGGTGCTAATTGCGCATATGCCGAATCCTCTGGTGCAGCAGCCTCTACTGCCTTGATGGCGTCGTGAGCCGCGGCGGATAGATCGTGATTGTAAGCCTTCTTGGCCATGCCACCTGCTGGCGCCGTGACTGAAGCCGGATCGAAAAATTCGACAATTTTTAACGCAATATCGAACATGCGTGTCCTGACCACCTGCAGCTGGATATTTGAGGCAATGTCGGCTGGTGATTGGCCATCTGGGCCGGCTACTGGTGCCGGAACGCTGGCCAATGCCAGGTTCAGTTCGCGTCTGATAGCTGCCCACTCAGTGGCCGTGAGGTTGTTGTGCTGGAAAACGAGGATCAATGGGGTAGAGCGGAGGAGAGAGGTGTATGTTCGTAGAAGCTGAGACTTTCGGACTTCAGGGGGTCGAGCGCTTGGAGGTTTCGTTGGAGGAACATAGTCAGCAGGTAATCTGAGCGCTGATCCTATCGAAGCTGCAGCTGTAGCGTACGTCCTCGGCAATGGCGCGCCGGTGGTCTGCCACATCGAGGCGGCGCATCGTGATGGGAGCCTCGACCGTCTGAAGGAGGCCGCGAGCCTCCGTGAGGCTTGACTCTGAATTCTAGCAGGCATCCTATGCATATCGTTAGCTTTGATGATGAACTATGCCTAGAGATTGGCAGGCCAGTCTTACAGTAAGACTCTGCCGATGCGGCGATGCCAAAGTGGGTGGTGTTGAATGACACTGTCGAAGCATTTGTAGACTCCAAAATTTCGACTCCATCCGATCTGAAAGTCGCGTGCACAGACCTCCCATAACGAGAGAGCATGTCCAATTGCCTTGAATCACCGCCTTGCCTGTTTCGTCTGAAAATTCAGCAGAAGCTCCCCCGCAAAAGACCCTGCACTGAGCCGCTAGGGCCTGAGTTAGTGCCAGAATGGCGGCCGCTGAAGCTTGCATTGCGAATCGCATTCCCACATGCCACACACGACCTTTGTTCGATGAGTCAACTTAGACCCGGCCATACTCGCAACCAAACTTGATGATATATGGCTGCATTTGATCAATTGAATATATAGCATTCTTTTTCAGTCTCTCGATACTTTAGATCGGACTTAGTTTTGCAAAACACAACGGTATCGGGCGACATGGCGGCCCCCAACCCCGCCAGCGCGGGGCCAGCAGAGTCGCTGCCCCCAGTCGACATCAAGCCGCTACTTTCCAGGCTTTGGCCTCTGCACCCGGAAGTGACAGCAGATGAGATCTCGGATGCCATCTCCTATTTCTTCACCGGTCAAGTGTCTGAAGCACAGGCAAGCGCACTCCTAATATGCCTACATTTCACCGGTTGGGATCGGCAGGCAGAGGTGCTCGCAGGAACGGCGGGGAAGATGATGAAAGCTGCCGCGAGGATAGATGCTGAGCAGTTAAAGAAGGTGGTTGCGACAAGAGGAAGGCCGGAAGGTCTATATAGGGGTGGACTGGTATGTCAATTCCTCCAAGGGGCCTAGAATACAGGTGACGAAGCCTTTCAACTAATGCCGAATCTGCAGTGCGACATCGTCGGCACCGGTGGTGACTCACATAACACTTTCAACATCTCGACCACGTCCTCAATCATTGGATCCTCGTTATTACTGATCTCCAAGCATGGAAACCGTGCCTCGACCTCGAAATCCGGCTCCGCTGACCTGCTTGCGAACATGCAGCCCCTCCCTCCTCAAATCGGTCTTGTCTCGCCATCAACTATCGCCGAGGTATACAGCAAAACAAATTACGCATTCTTGTTCGCCCCGGTCTTCCACCCGGGCATGCGATTCGTAGCTCCGATCCGCAAGCAACTGCCATGGAGGACTGTATTCAATTTGGTCGGACCACTGGCAAACCCAGTGGACGTACACGAATCACCTATGGTCGAAGCTAGAATTCTAGGCGTTGCAAGACATGATATAGGACCTGTGTTTGCCGAGGCACTGAGGCTAGCTGGCGGCAAGAAGGGCATGGTTGTGTGCGGCAAGGAAGAGCTGGACGAGATCAGCTGTGCGGGGCCGACCCTGTGCTGGAGATTGAGAGAGAAAGAGGACGGCGGCGAGGTCGAGATCGAGCACTTCCTGCTGACACCAGAGGACTTTGGCTTCCAGCCGCACCCCCTGAGCACGGTATCACCGGGCAAAGAGCCTGCTGAGAACGCCAAGATCCTAACCAAAATCCTGAAGAACGAGTTGCCGGACGACGATCCGATCCTCGAGTTCGTTTTGATCAATACTGCGGCTCTTTTCGTAGTGTCTGGAATCTGCGATGCAGACACTAGCTCGATGGGTCATGGAGATGACGGGAAAGTCATTACGGAACGAGGCCCTGGCGGCGGACGCTGGAAAGAGGGTGTCCGCCGGGCGAGATGGGCCGTCAAGAGTGGCGAGGCATGGAGACAGTGGTCAGCATTCGTCGAAGTTACGAATAGCTTCGGAAAATAAAAGCAAATCTATGGTTCATGATTGGGACTTTTTTTTCTCAGGGTACATAATATTTTCTGGATCTAGGGACACAAGGCAGAGTGGCGTCCAAAAACTCTTAAACTACCCCCAAGGGCTGCCTGGGTAACAGACAAGCCACTCGAGACAAAAATGCATCATGTATATCTGCTCGTTCATCCCCAAAACTCCATTAATGCATTGTGAAGAAGCGCTTCAGTGGTGGTAGCCGTGTCCTTTCCTGCCTCCTCGAATTGGCAAGTCTGAATCCTATCTCGCGAGCACACCTCTCACGGCACCTTTAAAGGTTGGTCTCCCTTCGAAAACCAGATCTCCTATCCCCGAATCGTCGCCGGCACCCTCCTCTAGCCAACGGGCGAGGAGGTCATTGCTCTCCTTTGGCTTCACCGCATCGTCCCGCGTGCCGATGGTAAGATGAGCTACCTTGTTGATGCATTCCCATTGGCCTTCAGGATCTAAAAGGCGCGCAACGATCGCCATTATACGATCATCATAAACGACCTATAGCTTCATATCAGTATGCCGTCTCACCGAGAACATGGTTTTCAAGAGGTATGTACCCGTTCCAACAGAACCTCACACTCGCCCAGTTTCCCGTCTAGAGGGTTCTTGGCCTCTGCCTCTGCGTGTAGTCGAGTATATCGCTCCCATAGCTCCGGATGCTCCTTGGCGGTGGCACGATGCATCAAGGTGACATGGAATTTCGGCTGGACTCGCCGAGTCTGCTTCAGCTGCTTATAGAACTTGCTGCGTTCTGAGGTTACGTTTGCAAAAGTCTTTTCGAGCAACGCATTGATATCTTTCGCAGGTATGTCTATAGACATGTACTCAAGAGGTTTCTTCTTCTGTGGTTTCTGGGCGGCTTGCTGATTCTGATTTCGGTCATTCTTGCGTCCACCACGGTCTGGAATGGTATGTCGTAAGTCTGGGTTATAGTCATCAAAGGCAGCCTGGATGGCTGCATCTAGCTCTTCTGATGTCGGCACCGCCTCGGCCAGGTTCGGATAGAGTCTCCTCAATTCTTTGACGACAACTCCAAGATTCTCTCTGCTGCTAGAGGTCGGATCTAGGTCTATGATGGAATCGAAGCCATCATCTGGTGCTCGCTCGGGATCACATTCTTCAAAACGGTTGAGAAAACCTTCCATGATACCTACCACCTTACCCTGGTCAGATGCAGCTTGAATAGTTTGATGATTATCCCCGCGAGCGAGGACTCTCTCTCTCGTCACCTCACGAATTCTCTCGATGTCGCCATGAACGAAATTGAGCGCTACAAGTCGCGCATTATGATGCTGCATCTTGACATCAGTCAATATCTGCTTCCTCTCGTGTCTTTGTGCGTTATTCCGATCGGCAAACACCGCAACATGGTCCTCTAACTGATCAAGAACCATCTTTGTGAACCGAGGTGGTCGTTTTGACCCCGTGATGTTGTCGTTCTGAACGTGGCCGAAGTTGAAGAGCTTCGTAAGGGCAAGTCCAATCGTGGTCTTGCCGCAACCTATGGTCGCTATCGGCACTAATATAATGTCGCGGGTAACTTCTGACTTGCCACCAGTCCCGTAGATCTCCTCAAATGCTGCTGCATCGGAACCCTTCAGATTCTTGAAGGCAAGGAAGTCGTCTCGTAGGGCGATGATACCATGGTTCTGATTATAAAGCTTTCCAAGTTTCGGGTCTGCCGCAAGTCGTTTACGCGCATACAAGAGATATTCCTCGGTGATCTTCGCATGTTTCTTGTATCTTGGTGGCTTCCCAGATATGAGCGCCTTTGTGCACTCACGCCATTGACGATACATGAGATAAGGCTCCTCGAATTTGAATTTGAAGAACCAGTCTTGGAAGGGAGCCTTGTCAGGATTATAGGATCGCTTGCACCGAATAACAAAGCCTTCAACGTCGCGTCCTTCGTGCGCTCCAGTCTCGGCGACCTCCTCCAGAAACTTCTTGACCTCGTCAATGCTTTCCATGGTGATGAGGCCAACCTTTTTGAAGCCCCAGTCATCGGCAAACTGCTGGACATGTGTGCTGGGATACGTCATGAATTCTGGCACGTTGAGGTTCAGTCCATGTAGATAAAGACCCGCCTTCTCGGGTCCGTAAGCCAGAATGTGCTCCTCGAAAGCGTCGTCGCACAGCTCAGCGACCGCTGTGATATTTCTCTGACGCAGCTCTCGTGCCAGATCCTGCTTCGTTCGTCCAATGGCTTGAAGCTGTCTCTCTAGGCTTCGCTCACCTGCGCTAGCGTGACTGACATCGATATCGGTGCGGTCTCCCGTGGAATGCTTACTGCAAACCAGAAGTGTATCATCCTCCAGGCCGCTGACAAAAATGATGCAGCCATTCTCCTTCAACGTCAGCTCGTAAGGTGGAGCCGTTTGCTTCATGATGTTATTCCACTGAGTCTCATGGACCTCGCCCACATTGAAGAACTTGTCGTAGCCCCGGACAGCAATTTCTGGTACACCTTTCCGACTACGGGTGGTGAACAACCCTCGTGCATAGGTCGGCAGATCCCGCTTCTTGTAGTCCCAATCCTGAAATCTCCAAGAGTCGACGATGATTCCGTCAGCAGAGTTCGACACGTCGAAGCGTGTCTTCTTGACACTGAATCCATTCTTGCGCTTAGACTTGGTACTCTCTTCCAGGGCTCGGACAAGGCTTGCAACCGCGTCGTGATCCTGAGGGACATAAGGAGCTGGTAGCTCTTTGGCTGTTGTCGCCCCTGTCTCAACCGGAATCTGCGCCATGATAGCAGGTGTGATACGTTGCGTTAGGGTCTCTGGGTCGTTTGTCATGCAAAGTGAGAAATCAGTTGGTGATTCTTTGTTGATATCTGGTCGTAGGATGAGAATTGCGGGGGGGGAAATCGACGTGTGAGATTTAACAGAAAGAGATGAGACTGCCAGTCTTCGTTGGCAGATGTTCCACTGAAAATGACAAGTCAACTCGTCGACGTCAAGATTTCTGGACCACTTTCTTCCCGGGAAGCTTCTCTTGCGGTCAATAATTGAAACAAGAAGACGCGGCGATGCTCCTTTAAGCATAAAAGCTTCAAAACGAAGTCGTAGTAAGTAACGTGAGTCAACCGGCGGCAACCGCCACCAAGAGAGAAACTGTGGGCTGTGCCTTCCTGAGTTTCACTAGGTAGGTGCACCTAGAGGAAGTCTGTGGGGAGCCAATCACGAAAGCTCTCACCGTAACAGTCATTCATCAGCCTCAATCCATATGGTTCCCTTCGAGATTTAATGAAGCTGCACAAAGAAAGTACGAGAGACCGGGGGTTTCAGGCAAGAGCTTACGGATAAAATTGACTACTCGAAGCTGAAAAGATCAAACAGCCCCGCCAATACGGCAAGCCCCACCATTGAGCCTTACGCAGTACCTGCCTGGCCCGCCTTACCAGCCTAACAAATCCACATGTAGACAACAACCATCAAATTGTTCAATATCTATATTCAACACAGATCAGTTTGCCAATTACTCGCAAACTGTTCCTTCAATTGCAAAATCCGAAAATTCCAAGCTGCCCGGAGTTTGATTTTGTCACGAGTTAGAAGATATAAACTCACGTGCTCCCTTATCTTACCTTGGATAGGTAGGCAATTGTTCGCTCATTGGCTTCGAAATTCGGCAGAATACTGTTCACCGGTCGAGCATTTGTGAAGGAAGAGTTGAAATGTCCAAACATGCATTCATTGTCTTGGTCCATTCATTGAGAGGTCGTGGAATCATCTCGGTCTCAGACAAATGCATCTGGGCATTAGCATCGATTTGCAAAGTGCGTGGCTTGGCCCATGGCTTCTGTTATGTGGCGTGTCATTCTCTTGCTGCCGACTCTATAAGTCGACATGAAATGCAAAAATGTCACATCGAGACATCAAAGAGTAACAACATCGCTAAAGTAGGCTCAAGCCCAGAAATGCATAATCAATTCTGGTCCCACGACTTCTTATAAGACCAAAATTCTCACACTGCGTACGCGATTTCTCACAATCAATCTGGTAGTCCTCCTTTAAAGGTGCTGAAATGGTGCGCCACAGGTCGGACCGGGGCTTGTGCGACCCGATCGGCAACCACTAAGCTTATTGTGGACTGGGGCACTGTGGGGTTGATCAGAGGTGGCCCAAGCTCTTGTAGTGATGTCACCGGAGTGAAAGCTCCTACTTTTTTGAGGTGCTGCCTTTCGTCAGACAAATGATGTAAAACGCGGAGCAGCGTTTCTGGTGTCATCACAGCTAAAAATTTCAGGTCAGGGAGCTTGCAGCGAGGCCAATCAGTGAGCGTCTTGACCGTCAAGCCACGCACCTCTCCAGGCTATCCCACAGGCGCGACGGTGAATCCCCTCGGTCTCTTGGTGGAATTTGGTGGAGGAGGCATGAAGCGAGGCAACCCTTACGTCATGCGGGAGGAGCTTCTGCCAGGAGGAGGCGCCTCTCACATCGAGATCATCGTGACATGTGCTGCTGGTGACGAGCCACCATTTGCTGGGCCGTAACAGCAGGTACTCCCATCCCGTTAAGCTCGTAGGCACAATGACAGCTGAGGTGGGCCGTGCATTGAGTGAGAATCTTGTAGCTCCCCGCTCTGCATGCCATACAGTCGGTACCTGACGTCTTAGAGCTTCCACCCTGCAAGCTGTCTTTGTGGGAAGGAACCTCCTAACAGTAAACAAATCGCCGGCAGCCTCAGGTCACCACGCAAGGGAGTGACGTGATTGACTCCTCTCAACACTGTCTTTTGCCTCCCTCTTCTCCATCACCAACTTAAACTCCTAAAACCAAACTCAACCTTTCCCTTTCCCATACTTCTTCTCATTCTGCTCTTCTGCAACCGTGACACCCCAAGCCATCCACTCCTCAATAACGATATCCTGGGTCCATCAGCTGTAGCGAAACAACCTACACAAATCACAGTACACGCAGATCCCACGCATAATGAGGCTGCTGAAGGCCTTCATCTCAGTCGCCCTCGTGGCTGACGCTGCTCTTGCCAGCACTTGGTTCAGCAAGGCCGGTAAGTTCTCACCCGTAAAGGCTTGTTCCCGATGCTTCCAAGGCTCATCTACAAATTCGGTCCCGTGTTTCGGCGTATTCGTCGGCGTTTTGGAATTAAATGCATGAGCGCTGACTTGCTTTTTGCAGCTTATAACAAGTGGCACGAAACTGAGCTCGAGCGATGGCTGTCCGATCACGACGTTCCGTATCCCACGCCTGCCGACCGCAAGGATCTCGAGAAACTGGTCCAGAAGAATTGGGACAGCTATGTCGTCTCTCCCTACCAGGAGTGGGACACCGACAAATTGAGCGCCTTCCTCCAGCAGAAGGGCATTGAGACCAAGGACGCTACCAAGGCTAATAAGAACTCGCTCGTCGCTCAGGTACAGTCTGCGTGGTTCGAGACCGAGGACAAGGCACAGAACGCATACATCTCGATCAAGGACTGGATTCTGGACACATGGACCGACAGCCAGCTCAAGGCTTTTTGTGATCACCACGGCATTCCTGGTGCGTGTTTTGTTCGTCCGCTTGCCCAAAAAACTTGATTTACTGACACCAAACATAGTTCCCCAGCCTCGTAAGCGTGATACCCTTCTCCAGAAGGCGCGCGAGGGCTATGACACCGTCGCACAGAAGACTGGCGAGGCTGCTTCGTATCCAGGAAACTGGCTGTACGAGTCTTGGACCGAGTCTGATCTCAAGGAGTGGCTCGATACCCATGGATTTCCTGCTCCTCAGCCGACCAACGTAAGTCACTATACCAGCTGCTCATTGTCACAGTCCGCTGATTTAAGGATAGCGTGATAAGCTCATTGCTTCCGTTCGCCGCAACTCCCGCCTCGCTTACCTGAAGGCTCAAGATGCTGCGGCCAGTGCAACGTCAAGTGCCCAGGCCGCCTATTCTACTCTCACCGACATGGTTATCGATGCCTGGAGCGAGTCTCAGCTGAAGGAGTTCGCTGACAAGAACGGCATCAGTGGTCCGTAACTTCATGCATCATCATAAGACGCTATGTGTTAACTCTTTGTTTAGTTCCTCAAGGTACCAAGGTTAATGAGCTCCGTGCCCTTGTTCGCAAGCATCGTGCAGAGCTTCTCGGCGACACTGTTTCAGGAACTGCTGCATCTGCGTTCGGTGCTGCTACCTCCAAGGCCGGCAACGAGTATGCGAAAGCAACCGACAGCGCTTCTTTGGCTGCCCAGGAGGCTTTCAATGAAGCTGTGAACACTTGGTCTGAGAGTCGATTGAAGAGCTATCTCGATGCTCGTGGAGTGGTAAGTTCAACACATCACTCTTGAAGCTATGATCTTCTCACACAAGTATAGCCTGTCCCACAAGCCTCCAAGACTGATGAGCTCCGTGCCCTTGTTCGCAAACATTCACACAAGGCATCTACTGGCTGGAGCACATGGACCTTCGACGATTACTCATATGAGAACTTGAAGTGAGTCAGGAGTTAAGCTCCAAGATGAGTCCCTACTAACGAAGTGACCAGGAACTATCTTCTCAACACTGGAGACTCATCCGCAAAGAAGGCTGCTAACAAGGCCGGTGCTACGCGCGACGATCTCGTCAAGGCGGCTCAGTCTGCTTATGCGTCTGCGTCTTCTGCGGGTGGTTCAAACTACGCTTCTGTGACAAGTTATCTCTCCCAGGCCACAGACTCAGCCAAGAAGAGTACATTTGACACCTGGAGCGAGAGCGAGCTGAAGTCTTACCTTGACAGCTATGGAGTCGTAAGAGTTGCCCGAAAACTTATACTTTTATACAGGGATACTGACAAATTATGCACAGCCTGTCCATCAGGGATCCACCATAAACGAACTTCGAGCGTACGCACGCAAGCAGTCCACTTACTGGAAGTATGGCACCTCGAGCCCCTCCGAGACCCTCTTGGCGAAGCTCAGCGAAAGCGCTCAAGCCAGCTGGCAGTGGGTACTGGAGCAGCTAAACATCGGTGCCAACGCTGCTCAGAAGAAGGCCGAAGACGCTAAGGCGAAGGCGAAGGAGGAGCTGTAAAGCTCGATCCTCGGAAGCTACATTTCATGATTGATAATGTACACAGGGGATTGACAGGTCAGAAACTCATCAATTTGGTAGTCGATAGACATCGACAGGTGGAGGAAAAGTTGCGGTTCTTGGGTTCGGACGTGAGAGTCGATTGCTCTTTTATTCGACGGACCGCGCAGGTGGTAAATGGACCGAACAACGGGTCTCAATACTTTCACAACTTTCAGTAAGGGTGGAATTTGATACCTGCCTTGTAATCATAGGCTGTTACGATTGCATGAAATGGATTACGATAGCTCTCTTTTACAGTCTTGAAAATTACTCGTGAGTCGTGTATACCAAGTGAAATTGCCAAATGACGTTTCGAAAAGACAACAGACCAGACAATTTCGCGGCTGCTCGCTCTTAAGAGACAATGTTCAGACATCACTAGATATTGCTATAAGTGCTCTGCGATCAATGGCGCGAAGCCTTCTTAAGTGATAGGTTACTGATTGTTATACAATAGAAGCCATGGGCTAAAACCGTCTCACTTTTCAAATCCCTCTATCTGATGTTGTCAAAGGCGGACCATGACAGCTCATTGGTGAACCAGTCATACAGAACAGTTGCGATAAAAATGACGGCCATGGCTGAGAGCAAAAACTGCCCATAGCCCTCAGTCAATGGTCCAACATCCCTAACTCCCTGAAGGGACGGTTGATGAACTGTTCCGGTAAAGTCTCGCATGAGACCATAGAGGACTCGAGTAGCGTTTCCTGGTGCCTCACGCGGCCTTGTCGTCAACAGGCGAGACGGGGGATATTCCGGGATGGGTGGAATAAGTGGCCCCATCACGCGAAACGGCTGTAGCAAGTTGTCGATAGCCTGTTGTTGCGCTTGATGCTCTTCCTCTTCCTAGGATGATGATGGAGCTTCAACGTGCTCGGCTGGGTTCTCAGATCCTCCAGCATGCCCATTTCCATCTTGAGGATATTCTGGGAGAGCTGCCGCCGCGCCGACTGGCTCTCCTCGATCTCGCCTACGGCGCCAGTCGTCCATGTTGATCAGCAGCTGTCGGATCAGATACCTCGCGACCCTGAGTTCGCTGAGCGCCTCAGAAAGCAGTCTCCGTCCCCGTTCCCAGACTACGCGGTCCTGATCCCGCACGATATCTTGAGAGTAGTCCTCGTATCGTCTTCTGTAGAGAGTGGCTTGTCTATACTCAGTATCGAGGAGTCGCTCGAGTTCTTGGAATGCTCGATATCCGGCTGCAGTTCTTCGGTCAATGTCCTGCATTCGTTCACGAACGGCTGAGACAAAGGATCCGGTATCTGCGAGTATGGAGATTGGTTGGAACAGATCCTGTAGTAATATGTTAGCTAGCTGAGCATTTTTTTTATGCGTGGTATAAGGGATAAGAGGCTTTCCCGTACAGTATACCAATACTCAGCGTCAAGGTCTAGCCTCTCACGCGGAAGAGTCTCGAAGGCGAAGGGCGCCATATTGGCCCAAGGGTCGGAGTTGTCAGGACTTTCGGCACGCATGATTCTGAAGGTGCCGCATCGGTCCAAGTAGTGATATTTACCGAGTGATACTGACGAGAAATCGATAATGGAGCGGCAAGAAAAGGGGGTAGCCGGGGTCAAGGTTGCTTGTTGACGGTGACGCCGCTACATATTTTAATACGTGCTCTTGTGTGATAGAGGGAGGGAAGGCAGCTTTGGCTGATTTGTTTATCTGGTTTCGAGGGAAGGTGCGCAGCTAATCCATTTACTTCATGACTTGACAAACCATAAAATATGACTGTGATGATTAATATTACTTTCTATTTTCAAATTCAAACACTGTTACATTTACCACTGAATACTGATCTTCAAGAATTCGTCATGAATCGCCGAAGCTTCGACATGGCAGCCTGGTCTCATGGTCGGTTTCTTATGTCACCACCAATCCCCCATATTCATCCACCACCGAATAATTGCTATGTCCCTCGGAGAGCCTAATGTCCAGCAGAACAAGTACCGGAGGTCAAAGACTCGCACCTCCAGTGCGGCTCTAACAATCCTTCTGAAAGACACAGGTACTACAAAACCGATTGTCACATTTCAAGCTCAATTTTCCATACCATATAGTCTTAAAAAAAAAGTAGAGCAAAAGGAAAGGGGAAGAGGCGATTCATCCGTCCCCACTTCCTCTTGAGTGGTTTGTATAAGCTCTCTACTCCTCTCCTCGGTACGAGTTGTGGTATTAGAGACAGAAAATGAGCTTGAATAGAAGCGAGATCAGCGAATGTAACGCTAGATGTGCGGAATAAAGCAACGTACATTTGAGTTGGATGAAAAAACTATAAACTAAGCCATCGTTCAGACCTACTGTTCAAGTCGTCTTCTTCATGACGACGCAGCAGTCTCGGGGTTCAGACTCAGTGGCCCTCGTGACCTCACTGGCTTTCTACTTTCATTTTGCAGTCTCAACCGCTCCATTCCGTCAAGTACTTCCTTCACTGCATTCTTCTCACGCGTTAGAGATATTATTGCATCATCAATTTTTTCCCTTGGGATGTTCTCGACGTTTTCACCAGCCGAGTCCCTGACACGTAGCCAACTTGCAACTGATGCATCAAGAGTTTGTGCTAGATCATGGACTATCTGGTATCCGACTTCCGTTTCTGGATTAACCAATTGAAGAATTTGGCTGCTCAAAACGACAGGTAGGTCTGCATCCCTTTTCCATGGTGCTGAAATAAGTTAGTACATTCGTTTATCAACAAAGTTATATTGGGTAGGGTGACACAGACATCTTGCAGCATTAGGCTCATGGAGCTTCTCTGACTGTTTGGAAGGCATATCGAATGCTGAAATGTTCTAGACTTAATGAGATCTAGGGCAATGAGAGATAGTAACGAGTTCCTTAAGTTCGGAGGTCTGGTGGTCACGTCCGCTATTTTATATTGCGATACAGACTCGTATTCGACGATTTGACAGAAACCAGTCATTGGCCACGTCACATTAGACGACTTTGCGATACATTCACGTCAGAGTCATCAAAACGAAGAGATTAAACTTGAGAGTCCAAGGAGAACATATAACATTGATAATGAAACAGCGCTCAGTTCCGAGTCTGGAAGGGTTGAAAATAAAGTAGGGGTTGTAACTCTGGAGAGCGGAGATTCTCAAGTGACATAGATTCTTGCATCTATCATAGTCCATGTTTCTGTACGCCGTACCTGATCGACCCGGCTGTTGTCAAATAATATCTGGCCAACGCAAGAATTCAGACCAGACACCATGCGCTGTAATAATGTGTCCCCAAAACTCTTACGAGTTGTCGACGAAATCAAGAATAAGGGTATGAAAATCTGATGAGTGCCGATTCAGCGAATATCAGATCAAAGCAGACAGATAGCAACTGGATACCGGTGTGAGGTTACATTATACAGAAAATGACAGCTACTGCATTCGTCATGAGTAATGTTGTAAAACTGAGCATTATTCGATTTGAAGGCGAGGGAGAATTTGACGCTGCCGCATTTGCTGACTCTGTAGACGATTCTGCCGATGACACAAAGTTTGTGCTAGAATCTGAGGCCGCTTCATCTGAAGTCACCAATGTCGGCAATGACTCAGTGGCACTGATCGTAGTATCTGAGTTCCCAAACGTGGTCACTTCTCCAGGATCAACGGAGGTTCCTTGGGTGACTTTCCCAACCGTTGTGATCTCAGTCTGAGAAGCCACGATCGTTATAGTTTTGTATAAAGTGACAGTAACAGTTGGCGTAGCATCTGTCACTGTCTCATATTCTACCTCTGTACTCGTCTGGGTCTCCGTCTCTGTGGTAGTATCATAGTAGTCGTAGGTCGTCGAAGGTAAGTGGGCTGTACTAGTGTCGTAGACGGTAGCAATTTGCCAATTCGTGATGTACGTGTAACTCGCTGTAGCCCACCAACCAAGGACATCCAGAGGGTCTTCCAAGGCGGCACAGTTTGTGGGGAACTCCTCATCACAACAATATGAGTTGAAGATGTTGGTACCAACGCACCATTCACTCAAGGAGTTGCCTAACATAGAAGTGTCAGTTCCGGGGTGAGGAAGATGGGTTATTGACATGACTTCCGAACTTCTGTGTGGACATACAATAGAGGAAGAGATTTCCGTAGCAAGAGTCATCACGTCGTAAGAGGCGAGACATGTCCAAGTTAGGACGTCCTTCTGTATTGTGTTAACATAGTGTTCAGACGCTGTCAAGGTGTGGTGCTGACCGTCAAATCTCTCTCTCCTAGCAGCAGTTTCCGATCTGGTTGAAGTCTCTGTGCGTGTGACTGGATCGGGTGTCTCAGTGAGAGTACTGATAATCTCAACAGTATCCACCACGGTGATCGTGTAGGTGATAGATCCTCCGAGCTCTGTAACAGCCGGTCCATCGTACACGGTAGCGGTGCCCCCATCAACATAACTTGTTGTGGAGGGAGTAACATAGATATAACAGCCGAAAGTATACGTCATACTAAACCAATCGCTCCAGGAATCTGTATATAAAGTGCACCTGTTTCCGTCGTATCCCCAATAGTCTGGGCACCCATCCGCAGTCCTATGCCAGACCAATGTCATAGGAACATATGAAACATCAAAGCAGGTCGCTGAGGCGAAGTCCGATGGCGGGGACGCCGAAATACTTGAGGCGAAGGTGTCAGTCACTGCGGAGGGGAAGAGCGAATATGTTGATGTATAGTCGGCCATTGTAAAGGATAAAATTTATGCTTATTTGGAGCGAGCGTCTCTATGGTGAATGGTGAAGGTTACACGAATTTGACAGAACACTGACAGTAGACACAATTAGACACCCTCGGGTTTAACCGTAAAAGATTGCTGAATGTTATATGGCGGACAAAGCCAAGCTCTACGTAGATCTCAACTCGAAGAAAGACTAGATTGAGATCCCAACTCAATTCCTCATTCGTTAAGAGACCATCTCAGCAGACACTGACGCATCGCAACCTGACAGCACTTGTGCATCAAAAAAATAAATCTCACGTCGCCTGTCTATTCGTGGCCTTCTTTCTCAATCAATGACTATTGGCAGTGCCATTTAAGTGGCTATACCGAAGCGATCGAACGCAGCATTGGCTGCATCTAGCTGAGTGTTGAAGGAACGAAAATGCTGTTTCCTTTGTGAGAAGATTGGCCCAAGAAACGCCACGAGAAGATTGTTGCAGCTGATCACTGAGTTTCATTGGGGTCTGTTCGAGACACTGTCTTTTAGACACATCTGGCTTGAGTGAACAATCGACAATGATGGGGGCCGGCATCAATGGCTTGCTTAGTCTGCAGTTGGGGACTGTCAGAAAGCGGGAGTCGGCTTAATCATTTAAAGGCGCCTAACCCTCATCTGTGCATCATAACAACGCCACCCCCAACTTCAACCATTTCTCTATGAAGCTTGCCCTCATAACCACCCCATGAATGAATCAAGGCCCTTTCACATGCTACTCAAACAAATTTGTGAGACTCTTCGTTTTCCAACGGCTGAGCTAAGCTTAGACTCATTATGCGAGTGAAGTGGCCAGAATCTTGGATATGGATGGGGATATGGCAACTTGGAAGCAAAAACAAAACCTCCGCCCGAAGCCTCTCATACAGGATAGCGTATTGTCGTATCAACGATGGTAGAGCCAGAGCTTGATGTCTCACTCGAAGTCTGATGAATAAGTGTGGTATGTTATAGTTGAAGCTAGCTCGAACTGAATGATTCTTAAATTGGACAGACTAATTTTGGTTCGAGTATATTAGGTGAATTATGCCGGTCTCGTGAAATTGTCAAAGAATGTTTGAATGATGCTGCTCGCCTCTATGTGGGTAGGCAAACCCCCAGCAGCGATCTGGGAGAAGTTAATGTCTTCTGATGGCCACTGGTGCTTCATGTCGTCAACCTTGTAATGTTGTAAAGCTCCATATAGGCCCTGACACGTCCATGTCAAATGGTGAACGTCGTCATTGAAGCTAGAGTCGTTTGATGGGGGACTTTGACAGCCGTTTCGATCTGCCCAGTAGCCCAGCCACGTAGGAATCGGAGGCTCGTAGCCTCCCTCGCCTTGCCCGCCATCATACAAAACCGAAGCGTCGCTCCCGCCGTGAAACTCCATGATAGGTAGAGGACTGCGAGCCGGCGTGCAGCCGGTGCCGTTAGCATCAGTATAAAAAGCTCCGGCGACTGGCGCATAGGCCGCAAATTCGCCACCGACTGTGTCATTGCATGCAAGAGCTCCGATGAAACCGGCCCCGTTAGACATGCCAGTGGCATATATGCGAGCGCTGTCAATGCAGTATCGTTGACGTACGTCTGCGAGCAGATCATGCACGAACTGCACATCCTCTGCCACAGCGACGGTAGAGTAGCTTGCGCCAGCCCAAGCTCCATCGACGCCGTCGGGGTACACCATTATCTTGTTGGCTGTGTACTGGGGCTCATCTAGCCGGGTATCGGCTTCGAAGAATAGACCTATGCTGTCCGACCCGTGGAAACCGACAATTAGCGGATACTTAGTAGACTTGGAGTAACTGCTAGGGGCGTGAACGGAATACGTTCTTGCGCGTCCTCCACTCTGGATGCTGTAGTACTTGGTGATGCCGTTAAAGAGATGGTCCTGGCCGCAGCCGGACGTGTCGCCCTCTGCGTAGATAGACGTCTGGGCGTCGAGGGGCGCGGCTCTCGCGACAGACCCCCATGCGAGAAGATACAGGAGTGCTATGATTAGCACCATCTCTTGCAGTTTTTGCGACGCTCAGGCTTCGACGGTGTCGCGGGGGTTGAAAACTCCCATCTGTAACCAGAGGCGACTTCCTCAGGAAAGAATTGAAGCAACTCCGAGCAGTTTCACTGAGATTCGCAGCAAAAAATCTGCATTATACAGAGTAGGAGACCGGCATGCAAGGTGGCCAGCGAGGGTGTGGCGTCACTTAATAACAGTGGCAAGCCCTATGCGACACCCGAGGCCTCGCTTTATTCGACCATAATGTAATGTTACAGTAGCAGCAAGGCACGAGGAGGCGGCCATTGTCTGCTCTAGCCGTTTTATTGGCTTGAGCTCTAATTAGCTAGGTACGTGATGACACCGAATGAGAAAAGCCAGGTGCCGAACGAGCCGCCTGGAGGAACCCCACTAACCATCTTCACATGTCCCGGATCCTGACCTTTGGAGCAATAATCCAGGCGAAGTAGAGACAGTGTGATAACCACTGTTCATTGTCGATTAAGATGGTGCTTTCACTGACGGTTTGTATGCAGGAATGGAAGGTTTCGGCTAGACTTTGAAGTCCACTACAGCCTCGATAGACGGTGAATGCTATAACTAGCCGTAACGACTGATGCGCGCGGGCTTGCTTGTGCTAAGAAAACATCAAATATGCGGGAAGCTAGAAGCTTCAAACAATGGCTACGCTAAGACATTTCGTATGCAATATAAACCCAGTCATAAACTCATCTTCCGTATAGGCCAATCGCCACTAAGATGTAGGCACCTCACCCGCCTCAGGTTTGCGCCCATACACAAAGCGTAAATTCATCCATCCATGGATTGATTTGTTCTTCAAGCATTTGCGCATGCTCATTAGAAAGATTTGATATTCGTCTTTGGACCAGCCCAGAATGTTGTTCCACATGAAGAGTGTATATCCTTGAAAGTGTCAACTGACGAGGCATCACAAGAGGTCGTGAACATGGCGACTCTACTCACCCTCAATGTCATTCTCAATTGTTAATTTGACAAATTCACCGACCTCTTTAAGTCTGGCATCTTGCGCCCAGCCTCCAAGGGGGACCTGTGTCAATAGACGTTAGTGTTACAGGAACCTGTAATTGGGTCAGTCAAAACCTGCCTTGTAGTCGACGTGCTGAATATCAACGAATCCGGCCTCTTTGAATGCTGGCATCTGCAGATCTTCCTCGACAACACAGAAGCTTCGACCAAACTTCTTGCCACCCTCCCTATAAAGAGAATTCCACATCTTTATACCCCATTCCTTGTCAGTGGTGCCATCGTCACTGAGAAAGACTGGATCGACCTCGCAAGACTCAACCCAGCCGCCTGGCTTACAGACTCGAAACGCCTCCTTGAAGAGAGCACCCCAGTCGGCGATAGCCCCAAAAAGGTAGCGCAAATGCACAAAGTCGAACTCGCCTTCTGGCCAGCTCCATGTTTGCAGGGCGTCATCCAGTTCAAATTTGAGGTTTGGCGGGACCCAGGTCGGTTGGATCGGCGATAAATCTGTTCCGATGACTTGAGTATTTTCGAACTCATCGGCAAAATCACTAGAAAATGTTAAGTAATCAACTCAAGTCATATCTCGGCGAAGACGGATTCACATTGCCCAAATGCCTACAATCATTGTTAGTTAGTGGCAATAAGAACGATCACTCTTGACATGACTTACCCGTGCCAGTGCCCACATCAAGAACTTTCTACAAAGTGTCAGCAAATGTTCAACCAAAGTTATACTGTTGCGGTCGGACTTCAACATCTTTCTTGATAGGTGCAAGGAAGAGCTTGCCTCCCAGCAGGACTGTTAAATAGTGATGACTGATGGCTGTCAGTAATTTATACCGCTGCCAGCTGGGGCTTACGTACGTGATATCGACTGATTCGCTCTGCTGTTCATCGTTTGGCGTAAAGTATTCGGTGTTGTACTTCTCACTGTGGAAAGTCCGACCTTGAATAGTTCGATAGTTGAGAATGCTTGAAGCGACGGATGCTGTAGAGCTCACACTATTTTTCTATATTAGTATGCTTAACCAACTCAAGAGCTCGGAAGCGCTTGCGCATCTTCAGCTCCCAGCGCTGAGTCGGCTTCGTCATTCTCCTCTTCACCCTATCGGCAATCAGCATCATGTGGTCGATCTCGTTACTCTTTGACTGAAGCCCAGACAGAAGCGCGTAGATGAGCAGACCCAGGATTTTGGGTGCACCTCTTCTGTACTTACCTCGGGCAGTACAGCAGGAATTAATTCCGCTTGGGGAGGGTGCGCCGGCGCGGGAGTGTCTCCAGGCGCCTGTTGGCTCGGACTACTACCGGGAGCTGGTGCAGCGGGTTGGTCCGCCATCGTCAAATGTTCTCTTATGTCAGGTGTCGCAATCAGATAATGGCAACTAATTGGTCATCACCAGCAAGCACAAAAGAAGAAATGAAATGTGCGAGTTCTTTCCGCAGTGGGGAGTCAATGGCAGCAAGAAAAGGTTGGGCACCAAACATCGACTACAAGGTGGAGAAGAGAAAGAAGGACCTTCCATGTTCCGGGACACCGGACAAGACCCGAAGCAGTTGATTTTGAACAGGTCATTCGTTATCAATTTAGCGTGGGATGAGGATAACCTGCAGGGAGGCGATACTTGTCTGGGTAACTTCACCGTTACTCGGAACCTGTGCTAAGGCTGACGTGTCATTCGTGCATAAGCGAAAAGATGAAATCTGAGCAAATTGTGTCAAGTTTATAAGAATCGCCTTCGTTAAGGATTCAATATTGACTTCATAACCCCCCAAAGTAGAGACATTTGAGCGTACAGCAAGTAGAATTGATAGTTTGTGGGTCAATAACTTGAGGCTGCATTTTATTTCAGTCTCTACATACAGTATAGTATTCCAACATGAATCAATTGCTTAGTTTGACTGATTGCGCACAATTGTTCGCAAAGTATCTGAAGACGTTCAAGTCACACACGCGCGCCTTCGTCATGTCTTAGACTTCAGGCCAGTTGAAGCAACGTACACGAAGTTCTAGGTTCCGAAGAGGTATCGAGTCATCCATCCTCAGGTGCAAGTAATTTGGCTACTTCGAGATTTTTGGCGTCACCTAGTCCCTTGGATCCAGAGCAGTCGGCTGGGGTGAGATTGCAGAGTAGAGAAGTATATGAAACTTGAAGAAACTATAATGCATTTTTCATCGTCATCTTACGTCGAAGTCGTTATGAAACCATGATATAACGGATTATGGCTGACGATGAGGGGAAAGTCTTTGGCGAGGGGGCGAAAACTGTGGGAGTCTGCAGCATACATAGAAAGTCGCTCTAAGTGAGTAAATCGCCATGATATAGTGTAGATTTCTACGTCGTCGATTTAAAGTACGCGGTGAGCCGCAGTGCCTCTTTTAACAATGCAGCCTTGGAGATGACATTTGGGGTGGCTTGCAAAACAAGGAATCCACTGAATCCTCATTCCGCCGTGCAGTTCGGACGAAGCTGTTCCAGCTTATGAAAGCATTGTCTGCTACCTGAGTGCTGCTTTGCCTAGCGCAGTCTCTCCCGTTGGAAGCGCTCTCTACCGACTTGCTCTAGTGCTGGTCCGGCCCGTTTGAAGGAATACAGTGGCGTGCTAGTGGACCTACAGTAGGGTATAGCGCGGAACATGAGTCTTGGCGTTTTGCTAAGTACTGGTGAATTCCCAACTCAAAAATGCTTCAACATCCTAACTTGTCGACCCGCAAGAGCTGTTAAGCTATTGCTGGCCGAGGATGCCAAACACTAACAGACACGAGATGGGATGCCCTTTGGTATATAAATCCAGCATTTAATGTTAGAAACGTGAAGAATATAATACTTTCAACGCAGTATATCGTACTTGAGCGTGGTACTTCTGTACACATAAGTCTTCTCTACATTCTTCTTTTTCACTTGTGTTCGTCAGCTTTGCCTACTCTACTTGTGTAGTCAATAAGAGGTGCTCACCCAGCATGAAAGAAGCTCGTATTTACACAGATGAGGCTCATGGTCTCAGGGTCCAACTCCATGACGTCCCAGTTCCAACACCTGCACCGGACCAGGTTCTGATCAAGGTTGTCGTCTCTGGGTCCAACCCCAAAGACTGGAAATTTCTTTCTGTTTTCCCAGACCGAAATGGCTTCAACTCTGGCGATGATATTGCAGGCATCGTGGAGAGCGTTGGAAGTGAGGTGACGTGGGAATTCAAGCCAGGCGACCGGGTCGCAGCCTTTCACACAATGATGAGTCCTTCAGGATCGTTTGCGGAATATGCACTTGCATCTGCCGCCACCACATTCCATATTCCTCCTGCTACCAACTTCGAGGAAGCTGCGACAATCCCTCTGTGCGCTACCACGGCTGCTCTGGGTCTATTCTCTAATCTCCGTTTACCAGAGCCATGGGTTGGCGACTGTGAAGCACGAACGCGAGTCCGACAGGGCGGCATTATCATCTATGGCGCCGCCAGCGCAACAGGTGCCTTTGCGATTAAACTGCTCAAACAAGCAGATATACATCCTATCCTCTGCGTCGCAGGGAACGGCATCCCCTACGTTAGAACGCTCATAGAACCCGCCAAAGGAGACAGGATTATTGATTATCGCGAGGGAAACGAAGCCATTGTCAAAAGCCTCGCTGCTGGCATTCCCGCTGGACAGACTTGCGCTTATGCATATGACACCGTCTCAGATCAGCAAAGTACCATCAATATCTCTCAGGTATTAGATCCACATGGCCACATTTCACTGCTTTGGCCCTTGGGCGAGTATCCACATATCCCCAAATCTGTCGACCAGGTCATTGTTAGTGTGGGTGCTGTTCACAGTGAGGAGAAGTATCGCGACTTTGTTTATGCTTGGTCTCGTCTGTTCGGCTATGGTCTTCAGCAAGGTTGGTTGACTGGCCATCCATACGAAGTGTGTGCGGGTGGATTACTCGGCGTGGAGACTGGACTGAGGAACCTCATGAATGGCAAGGCGAGCGCTATAAAATATGTATTCAGACTAGACGACACGCATGCAAGCTAACAGAAATACTTCGGGGTTAGCCTTCGCCACATGGTGGCGACTATAGTGTGGCAATGGATTAAGATCGATGCAATGATAGTATTCTTTCATGGAGTTACTTTGGATAGGCCATATTTGAGTGAGTACATAAGCCTTTGATAGATAAAATATATATCGGGTATATGCAACTTGACATTTGTGTACCACAGATCTGCTCCTTACTCTCGTCCGGTACATCGTTTCTAAGAGTCTATATCTTCCCATAGAGATGAGGTGCTTTGCAAATAATGAGTCTAGAGACGAGTTACATGCCCTTCGCGCGGAGTACTTGATGGCTTTGACCAAGACTCATTTCGCATGCCCCAGGGATTCCTCTTTTGAGGCGTGTCGTCTGTGGTTATGAATTGGTCAGCGATAGGCACTGCTGCTTGGCCCTAAAATTTATCAGGCCAGCGACTCAATCCACTTTGTTTGGAGCCCATTCAATCCAAGCCATTGATTACATCTCTCATCAAGCCAAGTTCAAGCCCATGCAGTTTTGGTCATCTTAAGATGTCCGTGCCTCGGGCCACCTGTTGGTCAGTCAATAATCACCAATGGATCACGACGAATATTTCACCTGAAAGCCCAAGAAAGTCATCTGATGAAACAGTTTTAGACGAAGTTTTAGTGAAGCTTATGCTTTTTCCTTCCCTGTTTCAGAGCTGGGATAATGATCTTATGGGATTCCCGCATATGTCTCAACCAATTGTCACGACGAGCGAAGCCTCCATGGTATGACTGACAGGACTGGACGGCGCATCTAAATAGTGGTGAGGGAAGGCCCATGTCGGCAGCGCCCGACCATCGATGCTTTTTTGTTGTTGTAAGATGACGTTCAACGTCTCTCACCGATGATGCTGTAAAGTTGCACGTCATATGTAGGCACCTGTATCGAGCAGTGCTTTTACTGGTCCTATTTGTGGAGCAAAAATGCCAGCAGAGGTCAGCAACAGCTACTTTTTTCGATGCAGTTATATCTAAATCATGTAGCTGACATGATTGAGAATGTACTGCCATGGATACTAGAGGCTGTACTCACTTCTGTGCGCTTAAAAGTGAGAAATCCTCTAGCGGACTGCCCGGCGTACTTTTTGTAGTGATGTCGAGACAAACATCTTCGAAAGCCGTGGAATCATCAATATTAGGTATAGGCATATGAGGTAGTGGTTGTTGGGTTCCTCCGGCAGACAAATAACAGCGATCGTTAACAGCGGTGGGATTTACAGGTAGCCTGGCTGGCTCGGCCGCAAGATTGGTATTGTGGGACGACCATGGGATTGGGGATGCACCTTCGGTGAACGACGATTCTAGAATATCGTTGTCTATACTGTTTGGTATAGACCATGCCACCGGACTTTTATGGCAATTTGGAACTGGCGTTGACATCGTACTATTATTTGTGGTCATTCTCTGTTCTATCTTTAGCGATTGAAGGCGTTTTTAAATGCTTGTAAAACATTCTTTATCTTACCATTTCGTCTTGATTAAACAAGGACATGACATTAAATGCCGGACTTGCAAGGGGGTGGCAGAGAACAGCCGATGACATCAACGGGGGAGTTTGGATATAATTCTTGGAAAGGGGTTTCATGACCCTGGAGTTCTGGCTGTAACACTACGGTAGTATTATAGCTCGACTCCAAACCGTAGTCAATGTTGTCTAGAGGAAACAATGTCGAATTTAGGGTCGATTCCTTGAACATGGTCAACAATGGTAATGTTACCACGACATCAGGAGAACGTACTGTATGAAAAGTATACTGCTCGTCAATATTCGATCGGTCGTGCCACGTTATTGCACCCATTAATCCAGGAGCATATAACATAGATAAACCTGACATGTGTGGCTGTATCGTAT